GTCTTCAAAAGAAGGGAATTGTATATAGGACTACATCATCTAAAAACTGTTCAGGAAACAATAGAGAATGCTGAACCAGCAGTTGACAACCCAGGGACCCCCTTCTCCTGGATCACTCTAACCCACGAGGGAGCAGTTCTCCTCAATTTGAGTAGCCCTGAGAACTTCTCAGACTGCTTCCTCTGTGCTTCCCTCAGCAGACCCCCTCTGATAGCAGTCCGAGTGAACGCAACCCCCTCTGAAACAACAAGACCCAGCCCAGGCCGGTACACCGGACCAGTCAAGGCTCCCCTATATAAGAACCAGGGGGAAGAGTCCTACCTCAACAGCTCGGACTGGTGTAAAGAAAAGAGAGCCACTCCGCCCACCAGATGGACTATTTTTCTGGGCCAACCAGATCTTACTTCCAAAGATTAATTGCTCAGATACTCAGGTATACTTTTTAGTAGCCCTAGCCCCTCAGCTTTTTGCTTATCCTCCAGGTGAATTAGAAGCTAAGTACATCGGTTCCACCTTGCATAAACGAGCTGTATTCCTCCCAGTTTTAGTAGGCCTGAGCCTTGCAGCCTCTATCGCTGGCATCAGTGCAGGGGGAGCCGGCCTAGCCACTAGTTTGCAATCCCAAGAAGCCATACGTCAGGAACTCCACGAGGCTTTATCCTCAGTGGCCACCTCCATGGCCTCACTCCAACGCCAGATCCTCTCCCTGGCCAGAGTAGTGCAGCAGAATCGCCGGACTCTGGACCTCCTTTCTGCAGACAAAGAAGGCACCTGCATATTCTTGGGGGAGGAATGCTGTTATTTTGTTAATGAAAGTGGCCTAGTTGAAGAAAATATCCAGCGCATTAATGAACTAAAAACTAGGTTCAGGCCAGGCTCAGGGAATGGGCCCACGTCTTGGTGGCAAGATATTTTACTCTCCACTCTGGCCCCCATCCTAGGTCCAGTAATAATACTCATACTTATTATTACTATAGGACCCTGGGCCATCAGGACGGTAGTCAGTCAGCTGGAAAGTACGTTAGTGAGGAAAACCACCAGCCGCATACTAATGCTTCAACAACAGTACGAGCAGAGGAACCCTCTCCTGGGTGCAGAGACAGACGAAAGCGCTGTCTAAGCACCCACGGGGGGGATGAAGGAGAAGCCCCAGGAGACTTTGGCTCGCCTAGGACCCCGGGCGCAACAGGAGAGCGATGGGGCTGTCTGGAGAGCGGATGGCCAGTAGGACTGAAACTAGCACCCCCACTGATAGAACGATGATCACATTCTGTTTCTGTACCCCACATTTGTCACGTACACAGGAAGACCCCTAATCTATATATCCCCCAAGAATCCTTTGTTCGGGGCTCAGAATTTGGAGACTGACTCCTCTGGGCCCGTGCACGTAAAGGAATAAACCTCATACTCCAGAATCCCTCGGTGTCTGGTCGCTTCATTTCCACGCAACATGAGCACCCCAACCCCGGGCTGCATCCCCCGTTAGGCGAGGCCATCACGGGAGCAGCTTGTTTGCACATAGTGGGTAGTGAGAAGTAAGCCGTGTACTCCAACCCCTGAACTGAGGAGTCTACACTGACAAAATGCTCACAAATATCACCAACTCTTACAGTGTTACTTTAGGCTTAGATGTCGACTCAGGTTATTTTTCTTTGGTGGAGCCAAAGCACAGGTCCCAAAGCAATGCGACCCAATGAAAACAGACGGATGTGAGTTTCGCGCTCACATGCTTTAGCAAGTAAACTTTTTGAAAAGGTTTGACAAAAGATGACTTGGGAAAGATGTTGGGCACTTTTAAGGCCCTAGAAGGTGACAACTGTCTTTGCACTTCTCCCTGTCAACGGCCCTACAGACGAGCTGGGATGGCCCTTCCAGGACTTCCAGGAACCAGCCTGCACAGCACCCACTCACCTCCCCCTCTCCCGAGTCACCACCAAGCCAGCAGCCGGCACAGAAAGCGTCCGGCGCACGCCCTCCACACTGGAGCAGACACACCAAACACACCCCGGGGAGCGGCCGGCCGGAGACAGAGCCACCAACAGAACAGGAGTCCGAATGTCCTGAACACGGGAGCGGCCGGCCAGGGAAGGAAGGAACTATAGTGACCTGTCCAAGGGCAAAGTCACTGGAGAGGAAAACCATCTTGCAAGCGAAGTTCTATAGTTGAAAGAGGAAACAAAACAAAAGAGAGAATTAAGCCCAAGAAAAGCACTAACCGTAAATGAAAAGGATTTATTTTAGAATAAAAGCTACAACAGTCATTAAGCACAACATTGGGTCCATGAGAGGCATAAAAAGTATAAACAAGCAATTTAAACTTGAGAACCTCAAAGAGCTAATACTGTGCGGGAGTCACATACAACAGGATCCAAACAAAAGCAAATGAAAAAAACAAGCAGAGTTTCTGGATAACGAACTTAACGAACACAGTAAGTGTCAATAATCTAATCTGGAGGAAACAGTAGAAAATGCTTTCAGAGGTATTTGTCTGTATTTATCAGAACCCCTCCACTTTTTTTTTTAGTAGCTTCGTAAGAGAAGCTACTCCGTTGTCCTGCGTGGCACCCACCTGGGAGGCGAATCCCTCGCCTGTGTCGGGTGAGTCGCCAGAAAAGCCCGCCTCGCACCGACGTCGGGTAAGTCCATGGGCACAAACAGAGCCTTTCAGATGCCTTGCGACTCCAGTGCCGGCAGCGGAGCGAGAGCCACGGGAAAGCAGCACCCGCCCTCCGCACCCACCAACATCCCAAGGGCGCAGAACCTAATTCCTCAAAGGGGGTGTCCCACAATTAAATTCCATTTTTAAAAAACTGGTTGTGGCATGTGTCTCCTGCCTCCCCAGCCGCACCACATCCCTGCACCAGAGACAGGGGTCCCCTCCTCTGCACCCCAGTCACACGGGGTCGGAGCTCCAGCACCACCCATGCAGGAGGCAGCCCCGGGGGCCCACGCTGCTGGGCTTCCCAGAGCACCGTCTCCAGTGGGGTGGCGGGTTCAGAGGCAGGAACAGCCCCACAGCAGGCGTGTGCGGTGTGGACTCGCTCCCTTCCCCCCACGCCCCTCAGGCAGGGACACGCACCCCTAGCTACCACAGAGGGCCAGGCACGCACACGGCCAGGACAAAGGGACTCTAAGGACATCAGCCTGCCTCTGCAAGCACATGTTGAAGTCCAAGAGTCGCCTGAAATTCACAACACAAAGGAAAACAGTAAGTCAGCGAGCAGGGGGGAGTGTCAAATCTGCCCGATTCGGAGGAACCCAGTCCGTCACCCTGCGGCCCTGCCTGGTGTGACTGTCGTTCAGGGAGGGGGGCCTGTGCTGGGACCCGAGCTGGCTCCTCTGGTGCAGAAGGAAGGGCGGGAGAAGGTGCCCACCACGCTGCCTGCTGAGAGGTGCGCAGCACCAATCCGGGCACAGAAACCTCGCTGCTGGAGGGACCCACCTGCACCTCCTGTCCTTCCAGCGCACACACAGCCATCCTCGATGCTGAAAAGGCACTTTCCACGTTAATGCCCGCCCTGGAACTCAGAGGGTCTTTTTTCGCAAAAAAAATTTCAGCCCTAGCCGGCGTGGTTCAGTGGATTGAGCACCGACCCGCAAACCAAGGGGTCTCCACTTCGACTGCCAGTCAGGGCACACGCCTGGGTTTCAGACCAGGTCCCCAGTTGGGGGCGCTTGTGAGGGACCCACACATCAGTGTTTCTCTTCCTCTCTCACTCCTTCCCTTTTCCTCTAAAAGTAAAAATCTTTTTAAAAAATTCAAATTACTGTCCTAATGTACCACTAAATATATACTTTTTAAAACAGAAGCTTGCCTTGGGCATCTGATCCCACGGACACAATTTCCAACAACACTGGGTGTCGGTGCCCGTGTGACCTCGCGGAACAGCACAGGCCAAACAGGAAGAGGCGAGTTCCGGGGTTCGCTGCCGTCTCAGAAATGCTGGTGAAAGGGTCACATCTTTCTCAAAGCCAAACAAACATGGCCCTAAAACACAAAGATTGTCACTGCACCCTGAGCCCTCACTGAGGAACCGATGCTCTCGCCCAGAGATCTCTCTGATAACCACGATCAGACAAAACTCCTGGACAGCCAGCAGGGGCAGCTGTCACACCTCCGTCCTGGGCCATGTGCTGCCCAAAGGGCCCAGGGAGGGGTCACCCAGCTGCTAATCAGCAGGGGGCCAAGGACCAATGTGGGCAATGCCAGCCAGGGCCCTGCGGCCAAGGGCAGGAGAAGCGCTGTGCGTTTTTCCCACGTTCACGGTAAGAGGAAGAGAGACATTTTGTGCCCGGCACCAGCACACGCCCTGCACTGCACAACCCAGCCTTAGCCAGAAGGAGCCACTTAGCACATCGGCATCCTGGTTTCCCTGGGTAACTTTACACACTCACGGAGGTGGTGCCAGCAGACAGACACCCGATGACAACATTCTCCAGATCGCAGCTTCGGATTCACAGGGACAAAACAGAACCGAGATTCCCAGATCCTCACTGTTTAACATTCCTCCACCTTCTGCACAAAGTCTTCCTCTGCACTTCAGTACGAGACCACCCACCTCCTGCAGGACCGATCTGCACCCCAATGACGTCCTCTTTGTTCTTCCTACAGTGTAAGTGTCTTCGAACTTGTAGTCCTTCTCTATCCAAATTCTTCTCGTGAGAATCTGCAAAGTCCTGTCCTGACTCACTCTGCATTTGTTGTGCTTTCGTCCCTTGGCGCTGACCGGTGTTGGTGCCAGTGCCACCTGTCTGTCCAGGCATTTCCACGGTTCCCTGGACTTCGGCTGAGCAGATGTGCATCAGCATCAGCACGGAGTGACAAACTTTCTCTGTCGAAGAAAGCCCTCGAGATTTCCTTCTCCCCAAGGTCTACTTCCTACATTTGTGTCCATGCACACAAGGAAAACTGGCATGAATCTTAAATACGACAAAGGCTCCCCCAAACCAAGACTGACAGATACGATGCGGTACCTGTGGGCGTGCAGGAAGGGCCGTACCTGGGGGGCAGACGGGCTGAAGGCCACCGCGGTGACGGTGTCCGTGTGTCCTGACAGTCTGTGGGAGAAGGTGCTGGAGCCCATTTCGTACACGTACGCCTGGAAGACAGAACCAGCAGGTACTCTGTGTGGGGACAGTCAACAACCCGCTGTTACACAGGGATGCGGTCTGCTGGGTGACCGTGAACTGCCACAGCGGACCTCACACAATGGACAGAACATGTAAGTCACAAAAGTTTATGAGAACAATGAATTTCTCCTTTTCCCTCTCAGGATTTTTACATTAACAAATCTGTATTATACTCACTACCCTATCACAAGACTCCACCATTCTCTGAACAGTTTTAAACATTTGCTCACGTCTGATGACTAACTTTAAGGAAGGAGTAAAATCTTATTCCAGACTCAATGGCTCAGTGTGAGGCAGCACAGTTCTGCCGCAGCCCAGGTGCTGCAGCTTAGCTCCCCGCCCAGCTGCACAGCTCCTCTGCCTGGGTTTTTCAGCTCAGCAAGGAAAACACAAACCCCAGCCTTCAGTGAAAAGGAAAAGCGAGCTCCCAAAACCCAGGGGACCACTCCCCTGTATATGTGCACAGGAATCCTGGCCCTGGTCCCTGACTGGTCTGCCCTCATGCAAATGAGGACTGCAAATCCTCAGAGTTTGATGGGCCCAAAAGGCACTGTCCTCACGGGTCACAGCAGAGCCACTGGGATTGGTCTGAGCTGCAGAGCTGGACTGAATGGGAAAGCCCCAGTCCCGTTGTCTGGAACAGGACCCCAGGGCTGCTCTCCAAGGGCTCAGTGCTGTCTGCTCCCAGAACGTGGGTTGTGTGAGGGACCCAGTGCAACAACAGTTGCTAGGCTTTGTGTTTTGTTTACTTTTTAAATTTATTTGTAAAAGATTTTATTTATTTTTAGAGAGAGGATAAAGGATGAAGAGAGAGGGAGAAAAACATCAATGTGTGGTTGCCTCCCACACGCCCCCCACTGGGGACCTGGCCCACAACCTAGGCATGCGCCCTGACTGGGACTCAAACTGGTGACCCTTTGGTTCATAGGCTGGCACTCAGTCCACTGAGCCACACCAGCCTGGGCTCAGACTAGAGTTATTAATCTATTTCTTCCCCTCGCTGTGCACCCTGGCATGTATACTTTCCACTGCTTTCATTCAAACTTGGTCTTGAGTTTGGAAAGTGTTTTCTCTTGCTTTCCTAGATTTGTCGGTTTTCATCTCACACACTCCTGTCGTACAGCAAGTTCACTTCCAAGCTCTCGTGTTTCTGCTGCGGCCCCGCTGTTAAAGTCTGCGTTTTCTTAATTTAGTTCAGTTCGTAGGCAACTATACTGTGGGGCCTCATCGGAATAGAAGGTACACTTCTCTGGAGTGGTCTCATGGTCTGTGAGACTCTTTTTGGTTCATCCTCATTTGGTGTAATAAAAAGAGTGGCCACACACAAAGTTTCCATGGCGCCGTGGAGTAGAACGGACTAGAAGTGGGACACGCGGGAGGGCGGAGACGAAGTGAGGCAGGCTGGGGGCACACTGGGGAGGCCCCCGCGCGCCACACGGAACATGTGTGTTTATGTGTCACGCTGCACAGCCAGCAGGCCGTGCTGGGCAGAGGGGCAGTGTGGTCAGCGGGACGGGCCTCCCAGCCCTCGTGAGACCTGCTGCTGTGACGAGGGCATTTCCCTGGTCTGAGACCGCAGTGCAGTTCTTCCGCTTCGCATCCTCTGAAACTCCGTTACCAGGGGCGCGTGGGTTCAGACGAGGACGCCTTCCGCGCAGACGGCCACCGCGGCCATCAGACGCCCTCCTGCCCACTGGCAGCGCGTTGGGCCTCCAAGTCCACCTCACACCCACGTCTTCTCATGCCGGCTCCACTTCCTGTCTTCCTGCTTCCAGTGTCTGTGTCTCTTGACACTGTGGATCTCAGTCATTGTATCTCCAAGCTTCACTCACGTATGTTGAACTAAAACACAGGGATCCACAATTTCAAGGAAACCAGTGTGCACGCCTGGCTTCTGAGAGAACAAAGCCCACACTCGGGCCGTCTCGGGGTCTCCTGGGAAAACGCAGGGGTGTTTGAGCAACTGAAGGTTTTATATTCTACCTGAAAACCAGGACGTTGTTGTATGTAATAAAACGTTACAAAAGACAATTTAATTGAATACATGGGTGGATTGACTGGAATGCATGGATGGGTATGAGACTGGATGTAAAAAAACAATTGAGAGGGAAAACCAAAAATTCCATGATTTTGTTGCTGTTCATGGTGGTGGTGGTGTTGGCACGGTTTTTACTCAAAATTGCAAAAATAATAATAGTAAAATGTTTAAAGAGTATATCCAAGATGGTGGCAAATGGTTCATATTATCAAATAAATGTTACTTATTTTAATGTTTTAGGTTGTTTTAATAAATGGGCAAATCATGAATGAGCTGCATGGCACTCAAGTTCGAGACCACTGGGCTGTCTCTGAACGCGCCCGTGGCGCCCGCCCAGCGCCGACCCAGGAGGTGGCAAAGATGGCGACGGAGCCGCTGCTTATGAGCGGGTAAAATTTGACAGATAACTATTCCTATTTACGAGTTTCATAAAACACTTTTCAATGTTCTTAAAGTTGATTCTCACCAGTTAAACTGAATAAGATATTTCAGAAAGTAAATGCGACTCAAATTGTAAGGTGATTATTTCCAAATAAACGTTACGATTTCCTTGAATTTTTGGAAATTTCTGCGAGTCTTTTTGGTTTCTACAACCCTCGTCGATTTGGAGAGACTTGCACGTTGCCCTCCAAAACGGCTTGTCCGAGTCCCAACCCCAGCGCCTGCCAGCAAACGCCATTTGGAAACAGGATCTCTGCTGGTTTCGGAAACTAAGGACCATGGAGAGTCGAGGACCCAGGGAGTCCGGGGACCAGGGTCCTTGTCTGGGAAAAGAGAGGGGTCCCGGGGCCACAGGGAGGGCAGGCGGCCCGCTAAGGGCAGGGGAAGCCTAGAGCCCGAGAGCATCGCGGACCGGCCGCCAGCAGCGAGTGGAAGCAGGGAGGGCCGTCCCCTCGGAGCCCCCCAGTGGCCCAGCATCAGACCCGGCCTCCAGGCTGTGGGAGCGTAGGCACCTCTGTCGTTGAAGCTGCCGAGTCTGCAATCACTCATCACGGTGGCCACAGGGACTAGCACCAGGCCTTTCAAGCACATGAAGGGCAAACAGCTCTACCAGTCAGTATGTGTCCAACTCTATCGCAAAATACGCGTTATTTCACCATGAGCGCTGCTTTCTCATAACTCAAAGACAGTCCAGCACATACTTAACACTCAGCAAGCAGTTCCCGGGGAGGGATGACTCGGTGAGCGGGACTTAGCGTTCTGCCCTTTGCTCAACACGCCCCAACGGCCTCTCGTTGCCACATGTCACTGTCGGTGAGATACCGCTCATGTGTGAGAGTCTTGTGACTCACACTCCCATCTCAACCAACGTGCACCGCCCCCCCCCCCCGCATGGAGGCCGGGCCTCCGGGGGACAGTGACCAGCACCTACGTGTCTGTCCTCGGCCCCGCTGGCCAGGAACCGCCCACACGGGCTGAAGGCCATGCCACACGGGTAGCTGCGGCTGGGGTGGCCTTCGAATCGGCGCTCACACCTGCGGGGAAATGAAGGCAACACCAGGAGAAAACCATTTTGTCGTTTTTAACACAACTGAGGACAAAGAAATCTCGTCCTTTCCTTCAGAAAAATGGACAAACCAGTAAGAGCGATCGTTTTTATATGTGAGGATATGAAACCCTTGGCAAGGATCTTCGGAAGTAATTACAGGACTTCCCAGAATCGTAATCCCTCAGAGGTCCAAGCTAACACCAATGACATGCTTTACACGTGATGACTATTTAGTGATAAACATATTGTTAAAGACATAAACTAACCTTTTAAAGTCGTAAATTATTTAAGTCAATGATTCAAAAACTTTTGAGAGGTGCAACATTCTATCAAGGCAGGTTAATAAGCCTTACAGCCAACTATACGTAAAATATACGTAAGATCTGTTTGTTGTAAAAAAGCTGTCAGGAAATCGATGCCAGTTTTATCAAGAAAAACTGCCATCGCCTTTGGGGACAGCCAGGGCTGTGCGAAGAGCGCCTGCGCCACAAGTGCCGACACCGGCTGGGCCCCGGGCCCGATGGCCCTGCCCAGGCGCCCTCGGGTGGCCCCCCTCCACGCAGCCGCAGCGCCGCCGTGGGGCTGGGGCCTGCTCAGCACTCCACAGGAGAGCGTGGACACTGCTGCCTGTGCTCTCGTGGGTGCCTGTGCCCACGCGCGGGGCAGGCAGAGTAGGGCTACACTGTCCGTAGGGGAAAGATGAACGATACGAGTAAACAATACAATGACCAACAAGTAACAACACAAGAATAAACCGTTGGCCCGCTTTGCCCAGCACCTCGTATGTACACAGGTGAAAGTATTTACTCTGCGTGTTACACAAAGAATATGCTGGGGTCGTTAGGCCTAACCTAGCAGCCAGAACGTCTTTGCCAGGACAGGGCAAAATCTGAGCAGGTGCCACTGCTGTGTGACAGCACCGATGGCTGCTCTAGGCCTCTCGACGCGCGGGCCACGGCCCCGGCAGGGCAGCGCGAAGGCGGCCGTTTCCCTCCCCGGCAAGTGTGGGCCCCACTGAGTGTGCGGCAGACTTTTCTTTGGTGAAGGAAAGTCTGGAAAAGGACGCCAGACACGCCTGCCGCTGTGAGCGCATAGTGCTCCGTGGGGCCGAAGGCAGCGTGTTCCTCACCCCCCGCCCCGGCTGCCACCGGCCGCGCAGGACAGGCCTCACCTCAGGGTCCTCAGGTCCCAGAGTCGGACCCCGTCACCTACGGCTGTCGTGGCAAAGAGATTATAGGCCTCGGGCTGTTGGGTCGCGAAGGATGATCCCTGCAAAGCAAAGGACGAGACGGTGGTGTGTGTCCTGAGTGCTGCTGCTGCACCGCTGAGTCTGCAGGGAGACCTGAGGGACTTGTTTCTTCCCTGTACCAGTTCGTGACCGGACTCCCAAACCCCTCCACGCGGACAGCTGCCCGCCGTGCGTCCCACCACCCGAGATTCACTGACGCCATCTGCCCTGCGGACCCTCAGGACCCAGTAAAGACACACACGGGAAAGACGGCAGCGCCGAGATGGCAGTCTCCACCGCTGGCTGTCGAAGACGGGTCACAATCCAGCCAGCAATCTGCTCATGGCTGTGCCCCAAGACCCTTGTGACAAGCCAGGTGAGAGGCGGCGTGTGCCACCTGGCGCCGACCCTGAGGGCACGCGCCCCGACTGCACCGGCAGCAGCAGGCTCGCCGCGCCCGGGCTGCTGCAACCGACAAATGGTGGGATTGGCGCCTTGTGAGAAAGCTGACTGCACCCTCTACACGGCATTTGCTCCAAAACTGAGCTGTCTTACGGTTCTCGACAGTCTCTTTCCTTCTGTGTGGAGAGTCCCGCAACATCAGGGCAGACGTAACGAAGTCCGTTCAGGGCGTTTGTGCCTATGCTGCACCCCCGCCAGCAGAGAGGCTCCCCCAGGACCGGAAATACAGACTTGGACAAACCCAATGGCAAACCAACACACACGTCGAGTCCCAGCTCTACACCAGACGGCCTCCCTTCCCGTCCACCCGTCACACCTGGGCGGTGCAGACCGCCTCACGCCCACCTCCAGGTGAGCCGCATCCCTCATACGCGTCCCACCAGCAGGGCCTCCCGCTCCAAACCTGGGCCAGCCAGTGGCCCGAGGCCGCGCACGAGCAAGCGCACAGAGTCAGCAAACCCCCGAGATGCTCTCCCAGGCACGGGGCATGTGCGAGGCTCTGAGCACAAAAGGAACAAACTCGGCTCTGGTTCGACGGACAGGCAGGAAAGCAGGGTCCGTGAGGTGCCCACGCCTCCCAGTGGCGCCGGAGGGCGGACCACCGACAGAGGGCGGCAGCGCACACAGTCAGAGGCTTCTGAGTCTCATCGGCTTCCGTGCAGACCGAGTTCTTGCAGCTTCCCAATAAACCCCAGAAGGAAGAAAGAACAGGACAAGTGAAAGAAAAATAAAATAGGTATTTATACGGAGAGGATGACAGACCGGTGTCCACACAGGAAAGTGATGAGAAAGAAGGTGACGGATCAAAGCACAAAGACCCCAAATGTGTTTGTGACACAGACGCAGGCCCAGCTTGGGGGTGACCTGAGGGAAAGGGGGGCAGGTGGAGGTGGGCAAAGGGGGGAAGTGGGGCAGAAAGAGGCGTCACTTGGGGTGACGGGCGCAGGATGATGTGCAGGTGATGTCTGGCAAGCTGGACGCCTGGTACCCGTATGGTTTTGTGAGCCTGCGCCACCAGCACATTCAAGGTAGAAAGAGAAGAGCGGTGACCGTGAGGGGGACGAAGGCCACGACTCGGAGACCAGGCGGACGGAGGAGCCACGTCCTCACTGTCCGCAGCGCATCAGAGATGGACGCAGCATGTGGCAGCAGCCGGCAGGAAACGCGTGTGAAGGGGACACCACCATACAGGGCTCCCGCCGACCTTCAGGCCTGGCCGGTCCCCTCCAGCCTGGTGACAGTGGGCGTTTCCAACGAACTCTCCCCGAGCTGCAGCAACCGAGGGCCCAGAGGAGCCTAGAAAACCTGACCGGTGCTCAAGTCCACCACCACGTTCCAGACAGCGCCCGTCAGAGCTCCGGCTTTGCACAAACCGTCCGCTGCACCTTGAGAGCACACTGCACACCTCCAGATGCTGCCGGCCAGACTTTGACCCGAGACCTGTGTGCTGGCTGGTCTCCCAGAAACTGTGCCCCGCGCAGGTGCGCCAGACTCCGACACCAACACCTGCTTCTCCCGGTGGCAACAGGCAGCTGTCACTCCAGTCGGCAAACACCAGGTGAGCGGATTCCCGGTGCGAACGCTGTTCTGAGCCCTCAAAGCACTGGAACACCCAGTGCCCCGGTGTCTGCCAGCCCGAGGAGCCCTGCAGGGTCCCACGGCGAGCGTCCCTGCAGTGGGGAGGGCGCAGGGGTCAGGTGCAGGGAGACGGGAGGACACTGGGACGGGAGGGGTCAGGTGCGTGGGACCACGGCGTTCACATCTGGAGCAGAGGGCCTGTCCCGGCCACAAGCAGCCGACCCCGGGGACACGAATGAAAACATGGGAGGCCACCCTGGCGGGGCCAAGCTGTGCGACTGGTGTCGTGGGTGCAGTCACTGTCTCGGCAGAGGCCTCGTGAAGAAGTCGCAACGCGCTGCACGGGGGCACCTGCCATGCGGGAGGCCCTGCCTCGCGGTGTTTCGGATCCTTCAGTCTGTGATCCTGCGGGCGATTCTGCACGAGTTCGGAAAGCAACGTGATCTTCTCTCCAACGACCCTCTAAGCTGGAGTTTTCCGCATATAAGCCAGGAAAACTTTCCCGTATCATAGTTTCAAATGGCTTAATTAATCAGCCTCCTAGGGGATACCGATGGGAAAAGGAGTCGAGGCAGATGCCTTCAAAGATGCCAACCAAGAGACCACAGAGGCCCCGCCGGGAAGCAAACGACCCGCCCTGCAGGTGCCCCCCACAAAGCCCCGTGCTGGCCCCGCCCCCCAGGCCCACTCGTCCATAAGGACCGCGAACTCGGCGCCCAGGACGGCACTTTTTCCCACTCGCACGGGCTACCCGCACGGGCTACCCGAGCGGCAGGGAGCGTGCAGGGGCCCAGGGACGCCGCACTCAGACTCAGTCTTGCTCCCGTGCAGCGAGACTTTAAAAACCGGTGCCCTCGCATGATGACCTCAGGCGGCACTGGGAGGCCGGCCCTCGACCCGGAGAGCCAGTCCCAACGCGAGCAAGTCACAACTGCGGCTGCGCCCCAAACGCGCTGCCGCTCCGAGGTCTCCGGGGCCGCTGCCCCGTGAACGACAAAACCCCTCCGAGCCGCACTAGACTCGAGTCCATCCACCCGCTCCCCTCTAATCCTGAGCCTGGACCCTCCGCGGCGGGTGTTTCTGAGCCGTTTCTCTGCCAACACGGAGCAGCCGCACGTGAAACCTGGAAGGTGTGGGCGCAGGAGGCTGCCCCGCGGTCGCGCCTCGGTGTGGCCGCCCCTCAGGCCCCCGGAGCGGGACACCCACGCCCTCGGAGGGATTTAAGCGAGCTCGTGTCACTAGCAAAGCCAAACGAGCCCTTAAAACAGCCCAAGAACCACGCACAAGCCTTAGCGTCCGACACGACGTGAAGACCTGCCTGTGTCAGATGCCGAGGGTCGCCTCCAGCGCGGCGGCAAACTCACGACAGCGCAGGGGGGCTGCGTGGGCTCCACACCAGAGCGGGACGTCTCGCGAGTGACACGCGGCGGCGTGCGGCACTCACCTTGTTCTGGCAGATCTGGTGCACAGGCCGTGCGTGGGCTCCTGCGACCACGGCCACGCTGCGGCCGGCGTTGAGGTCGAAGACTTCCAGGGCCCGGTTCCGGCCCGCGGCCAGCACGAGGTCTGCGAGGGCACGTTAGGGACGCTCTCAAGCCCTTTACTCACTGAGGGGGATGCTGCCCCCGGGGGTTGAGGGGGGCAGGTGCGGTTACACCCAGCCCCATGCCCCAAGCTGCCCGCATCTCCAGGTGCCTGTGGAGCCTGGGGGGCTGCTGCGGACAAGGGGGAGGCCCTGGGGGTAGAGCAGCTCTCGAGATGGAAGTCCACGAACTCCCCTAACAGCTGAGTGAGGGCCGAGGGGGGCAGCGGGCAGCATGGCCGGCGCATGCGCAGGCAGTGGGCTCGGGAGAGGACACCGAGAGGAACGTCACAGAGCCCGCAGGGCCGGCCGGCGGGGCCCAGGCTGCACAAGTGAACAGGGACACGTCACAGGGGGTAAGAGGACAGTGCACGAACTCAGGGTCACGTCACCCCCAGAACTACCCAACTGCCCGTTTAGCTGAGAATGCTGGACAGTATACACCGCAGAAAAAATGCACAAAACCACCAAAAAGCGTGCACTGCAGACCTAGTGCCGGGCGTGATGCCGAGCGGCCACCAGGGCAGATGCCACTGGGTGTGAGGCTGGGCAGAGCGGGCAGAGGGGCCCCCACAGCTGCGGGGACAGAACGACAGGTTCTGCCCAGCGGTGGCGGTGTGCTGTTTTTAGCAAAGGCTCTAGAACACAGATAACACTATCTAACAGAACTTATATAATAGACATATTCTATTAGATAACAACGTCTAATAGAATAGAATATACTAGAACTCTCTAACACCTTACACCAGTCCTTATGAAATTTCCGCAACAGAACTCTTCAAAAGAATCTAAATCAGGGCTTTGATAAATTAAAATGTTACAAAATAAATTCCTAAAGGTTATGATTTTTGCTTTTAAATAAATTTAAATCAAAGTTTTTAAATTAAAAGGGGTGCTGCTGGCCATAAAACCTCAGAACTGCACTGGTTTGGGCTCAACCTGACATCCCACTGAATGGCAGCAGCTCCCAGGCTCCCGTAGTGGGCGTGGCATTGACCTTCACACACCGGAAGTTTCCAGGCGAGCCTCCCGCTGCCCAGAAGAAACAGCAGGTGAGACTCTGCTGTGCCAGTTTTTTCCCTGTGGGGCGCTCTCCACTGTTGGGATGCACCTGTGACATTATCTGGAATCGATTACTCAGAGTCTGCATGCCCCCCGCCCGCCCCGGGTCCCACACGCAGCCCGGAGCTCCGGAAGAAAGGATACAGGAGTAGAACTCGTTGACGGCGGACAGGCAGGTGATCTCCGCAGCGCCCGCCATGGGGAGCCTGCAGACAGGGCTGCATCGGCTCCGCTGTTTGTACCTGGAGAGAAGGCGAAGATCAGCAGCCTTGCTCGCCTCCACTACCACGAAGCATCCCACCCACAAATCATCCAAACCAAGTTTTCACGGCACCTCATAATCATGTTCTACAGCTCTGAGCGAACGTGAGCTACCTTGACCTCACTTTGCAAAACGTCATGAAAACCCTTTTTTTATATACAGCCACAAGTAACTCGCTGCTGTCTATGAGACAGCACGCCTTTCTCCTGATCCTAAAGTAATTCTGTGTATGTAATGAGACATCCCGTCGCTGCTAAAGGGTTTGTATTTCCGTTCAAACATGCTCTCCTGATGCTTCCCTAAAGGCTTGGTAAGCGTGCGGTCTGAACCCTGATGATGGGTGGTCAACAGTGTGGGGAGGGCGGGGCAGAGGAGTGGGGAAGCACTGGGCTGGCGGTCTGGACGCAGGCAGGTGAGGGGCCGAGCTGCTGGGGGCGCTGTGAGGATGAGCCAGGCCGCTGACCACACCTTCCACGGGCGGGACGGTGCTGCACGGGGTCTGGGCCCACCGATGGGTGCTCCTGGGGTGATGAGGGTGCAGGACAGGACTCCCACATACAGGGGACCAAAAGGGGCAGCTCAGAGAGCACTGGCCCCACGGGAACGCCAGGGACAAAGTGGGTGAAGCCGCAGGTGTGGGGACGGAGCCCAGGGACAGCAGGACAGCCACCAACAGAGAGAGCAGTTGGTGCAGGGAGGCTGCCGAGTCTGGTGGACCACAGAGGGGAGGGAAGGCACATCAGAGAGACAGCGGGTCCTGTGAGGGGACAGGACGTGGGAGGACTCGGGGCTGAAACACCAGGCAGTGGGCAGGACCCAGGAGGGGCTGCAGCAGTGAAGATGAAACAGCTCTGAGGGGCGGGGGCGGGGAGGGGACACCGGTTTAAGTCACGCTGTCGGTCAGCAGCAGCTGCACCCATTTCAACCCGACAAGAGTGCCCCAGGGATGGGGGCCAGGAGTGCGGCCTGGCTGGGTGTGCCGAGGGCCACAAGTGTGGAGGTGCTGGTGGTGCGGCCCCCTCAGCAAAATGGCCCAGGGAGTGGCAGGTACAGACCAAAGCCACCAGGCCCGCTGCCACCTGGGGTAACAGCAGCCTGGTGACGGGTGCTCGTGGCCTGTGGCCACGCAGGTAAAGGTCCTGTACTTGGAGCCCAAGGGCTTGGGGGTTAGTGGCCGCTTCCAGCCGAGGCCAGTGCTCGCGGGTAAAGGTCTGAGAGTGACAGGCCTGGGGAAGCTGTGCCCAGCACTGCCCGGGGAGCACAACCCGGGATGCAGGACGGCCACCCGCTGGGACACGATGCCGCTGAGCTCTCTGCAGCCCCCGGTGCCATGCGGCCACGTTCGTACCCGTGACGCAAGGACCAAGCACAGCTTGCTCCTCTACAGAAGGAGGGCCCAGGAGGGCCGGCCACCGACCTTTTCAGCTCATCTTTGTGAGTGTCCACATGGTACTTGAGCAGCAGCAGCTCGGGGCCCGAGGACAGCAGCAGGAAGGCGTCCAGATAGTAGAACTGGGCAGCACGCACGGGCCGTGCCAGCACGTCCTTGCCCTGCAGAGCACATGGCACCTCGGAAATGCCGTTGCTCTCAGCGGGGCGCGTCCGCCCAAGCCCCGAGCACAGATGCTGCCGGTCTCGGCTCAGCCCGCTCCCCACCGTCGCCGCTTCTGGTCCCCTGAGTCCTCTACACGAGGTTATGGGGTCAAACTTTCCTGTCACCAGCGTGGGGAGGGCGGCCATCAAAAACCAGAAGGAAAGACTTAAAACTCGGCAGCAAAGATATTCACTATTGAGGATTCTGTTAAAGCCAGAATCTTAAACGGTTTCCAACAGCAGGTGTCGGGCGTCCGCGCTCACTCGGCACAGCCCACAGGTGGGGCGCTGGTCCCGCACACGCGCCTCCTCCGCCCGGCCCAGACCCTGAGCCCGAGCCCTTCTGGGTTAGCTCTCCTGGTGTCCAGCCCCGTTTCACAGTGAGAGGCACACACACGAGAAAATGTGACCCGGGTCCCGTCGCCCCTGCCCGCCCCACCACCTCCCGTCCCCCTTCCCGGTCTGCTGCCCAGCAGCCTCCCCCGATGCACCCAAACGGCTGGTTTTCTCCCCAAAAGGCACTTGCTCCCTGTGGCGCACCCCGGGCCACCATTCCCTCTGACACTTAACGTGTTCCCGCAGGTCGGTGCTGTTTTGCCATTTTGAGTCCATAGCGAATGTAAGGCATGTCTAACTGCAGGCGTGTGTGCACGTGTGTGTCATGCACACGGGCCCTTCATGACGCTCCCGTCACTAACAGTCGGTGCCTTGAAGCACACAGCCGGTCGGCCCTGTTTCCCAGCCTCCTCGCCGAGGGTCAAGGTCAGCCCTTGAGGTTGTGATCGCCCAGCTGTCTCCCAGGCACAGGGACGGGCACCAGAGGTTGGCACAATTACCAGGCACAGGACAGCCTCCCTGCTGCGCGCGGACCACAGCCTCAGCGTCCTGTCCTGGGAGGCAGACAGCAGCCATCGGCCATTGTGGCTCCAGCCCAGGGTGCTCACGGCCCCGTCGTGACCTGGCAGGGGACAGACAGGAGGGAAGGACTGGGGTCATGGTCAGGTGACATCCAAAGCCCACGGAGGCGGTGACATCATTGTAAGGCTTCCGGTGTTTCTGAAGAACATGTTCTTAAAATTCACATTTTTTAAAATATGAAGTTCAAAGTTGTGGGCTTCTGAGAGTAGGTTTTAAGAGAACTGTATTCATTCATTAGGTCAAATAGTTTTTTGGTGAAGGAAAGAATAAACAAATGGGACCTCATCAAATAAAAAGCTTCTGCACGGCTAAAGAAAACAGCATTAAAATGAAAAGAGAGCCAACTGTTTGGGAAAATATATTTGCCAATAAAACTTTGGACAAAGGTTTGATCTCCAAAATATATAAAGAATACATACAACTCTGCTATAGGGAAACAAACAACCCAATTAAAAAATGGACAAAGGCCCTGAACAGACACTTCTCCAAGGAGGACAGACAGAGGCCCAGGGACACGTGAAAGGATGCTCAGCATCACTGGCCGTCAGAGAGATGCAAATGAAAACCACAATGAGACACCACCTCACACCGGTCAGAATGGCCAACATAAACAAATCAGCAAGTGCTGGAGAGGATGTGGAGAAAAGGGAACCCTAGTGCACTGTTGGTGGGAGTGCAGACTGGTGCAGCCACTGAGGAAAACAGGATGGAATTTCCTCAAAAAACTAAAAAAGGAACTGCCTTTTGACCCAGCAATTCCACTACTGGGATTATAGCCTAAGAACCTGAAACACCAACCCAAAAGAACCTGTGCACCCAATGTGCATAGCAGCACAATTTACAATAGTCAAGGGCTGGAAGCAACCTAGGTGCCCATCAGGAAATGAGTGAATAAAAAAAAAAACAAACTGTGGTACATTTACACAATGGAATTCTATGCAGCAGAAAGAAGGAAGGAGCTCCTACCTTTTGCAACAGCATGGATGGAACTAGAGAGTATTATGCTAAGTGAAATAAGCCAGGCAGTGAGGGACAAATACCGTACGATCTGACCTGTAAGTGGAACCTAATCAACAAAACGAACAAGTGAGCAAAATAGCACCAGAGACACAGAAACAAGACTGACGGTGACAAGAGGGGAGGGTGGGGGTAACAGGGCAAAGAAGGGGAAGGGGGGAGTCCAGGCACGTGGTAAAGGGCCCGGGGACCGGGACAACTCGGGTGGGGGGGACTGAATGTGGGAGGTGGGTGGGAGGAGCAGGACAGAGGAACAGGGGAAATGGGGACACTGTAGCGGAACGACACAAAAACGAAAAGCGCGGAAGAGCCTCATACAGCGCACAGAGGCCTGCGGGTCCCGAGAGCACAGAACCGCATTCCTTTGCGCAGAAGGGAAGCCCCACGGGGGCCGCGGAGCCCACCCTCAACCCGACTCGGGCAGAACCTGAGGAGCTTTGGCCACGCGGCCGGTCTCACGGTGCCACCCTGGGGGGCTCTGACGCCCCCAGATGGTTGATCTCACGGCCGCCACCGCCCGGCTCCCCAAACGCACAGGAACGCAGAGCTCCCCTCTTGCCACTGGCTCCCCCGTCTCATCGACATGGAGCCAGGCAGCGGGTCCCTCAGACACCGTGGCTCTTATGTCTGTGGCCACCACGCCAGCCAGTCATATCCGAGGGCCGGGCGGCTGGGAGGCCAGGCCAGTGGAGGCACAGGCCTGGGCCCAGACACTGTCGGTGCAGCCCCCACCCCGACTGTCACAGAGAAACCAACCACGGCCCGAGGGGCGGCGGGCACTCTGCAGCCTGCACAGCCCGGTGGCGGGCACGTGGGCAGCACCACCTGCGGAGCCCACAACTCCAACTCCGTGAGGGAAGCCGTGGAGAATAAGCCACCATGGCTGTGGGCACCCTGCCCTGGCCCCTGCTGCTGCCACGTGGAAATCACACTCCATCGTTTGCTGAGGACTCGATGAGCCCCGCTGCCTCCCGGCCACAAGAGTCAGGGATCCGGAAGAACCACACAGCTGGCAGATCCGAGAGGGCCCCTCGGCAGTTCTGGGACAGGCCGGAAACCAGCGGCCATCGGAGTGGCTTTGCTGCCCTCTGGTGGGCACTTCTGGGAGTGCCGTCACCTCTGCTGCTTAACTGACAAGTCGCCAGGAAGGGCGGCGTGACCTTGCCCTGGACCATGTGTTCGGGGCTCCGAGACCACTGCCACCCCTGCCAAGGGGCCTGAAGGCCCCAGTGCAGCCGCCCTCTTGGCCCAGGAAGCAAGGGCCCCGCTGCCGGGCTGCGGGACCTGCGTGTGCTGACATGGTGGCCACTCCGAGCCCCACACACAAGCACAGAGCGAGGGGGGCCACGTGGCCCAGGGACACCGACGGGAAGTCACGGCCCGTCACGGCCCGATCATCCAGGGCCACTGCAGCTCCCAAGTCGTACCCTGGCCCTCCCCTCCCTGCTGTCCCTGACAAGCAATCAGCCCTCCAGACAGGGTGCACGGGCCCCAGGCCCGCCCTGAGCCCCCCAGCCCGGGACGAGCGCAGGTGGAGGGAAGAGGCAGAGGCTCACTTCATGGTCAGGAAAATGCCCCGAGCCGAACGTCCTCCTTTCAAAAAGATGGTTCTGTTTGTCCACCACCTTTCGTGGCATTTTAATGGAAATGGAACGTGTCCTGGCCCTTGTCCCTGGGTGGGGTGCCGCCGACAGTGGTCCTGCGTGGGGGACGGTCTCCCTTCCAAGGGGAAACCTGAGCTCCTTCACCAAGTTGGACACAACTGTCACCTGCCGCCCTCAAACCCGCGCTGTGCCCTCAGGGACCGAGCGCCCTGCAGGGAGCCCTAGTTCAGCGCCAGGTCCTCCCCACAGTCAGACTGCCCAGCACGGCCTCACCCGTCTTCCTCTGCTGCCCTCTGGGAGCTGGGAGGCCAGCCCTCCTTCTCGGGCTGACTCGGCCATGATTTGCTGCCAGGGCTGAGGCCCGAGGGCCCTTCCCCAAAATAGACACCGAGCCCTTGTTTTAACGAGGGCTGAAATATCACTGTGTTTCCTGAAGTCAGCAGGCCACTTTTCCCAGCTATGAAACACCTCAAGCAACATCCAGAGGACACGACTGCCGGGCAACTGTGTGTGCCGAGCTACACACACTTGGGGTCCCTGGAGTCCACGAAGCCCCCCTGGGGCGCCCACTGCAGCAGCTCTGAGCTAGGACACCGTGTACTGCCCGCAGACGCCCAGCACTGGGCTGCCCCTCCAAGGACATGGCCCTGGACAGGGAGCCATGGGCCTGGGACACCCTGGGGGTATCTGTCCCCGCAGGTGCGGTCATCTGCTCCTGCCCCAGCCCCACCTCTGCAGTCCAGACACTCGTGGGTTTCTCTGGGCTGTCGTTGCCGGTGTTGCTGTGTCTGCCCCGCAGGTCTGGGGGCAAGCGGCTTCTGGAGCTGGGGGCAGAGGGCAGGGACGGAGCCCACAGTGGGGTCAGGAAGTTGTCACGACCACAGTCTGGACAGGGCTGTGCTGATCTGACACCTGCTCGCTGGAAGGTGACGCGCCTCCCTGCACTCACGGCAGCGTCTGTGCGCACCCTCCCGCCTTCCATAGCGTGCCAAGGGTGGTGCGGCCCGACTCGGCCTCACTCCCGACCCGACCCGGCAGGCCCCAGCAGGCCACCGGCTCACAGGGCACAACCTCTCCGGGCAGCAGGGCTCCACAGAGTACGGCTTGTTAAATCCCTGTGTCCTCCCCAGTTCTGCTCTGTGCTTGTCTTTAAGGAAACAAAACTGGCCTGCAGCTATTAACAACTAAAGAGACTGGCCAGCAAATCCTCGTTCACTGAAGTTTGGACACGGTTTACCTGAGAAAACAGCAGGTGTCCCAGTGAGATCGGCATCAGAGACCAGCAACAAGTGGTTGGCTAGGCCACAGGCCAGCCGCTGCCCATCTCCTGCCAGAGAAAACAAGAGAGGCCCTTAGGACGGCAGCTTCCAGGAGGCAGGCCTGCAGGAGGAGAGGTGCAGAGCTCGGGGGCACCGCCCGGCGCTGCCTTGAGAAGCGACAACTCCTGAGAGGAGCAGGCTCCGGCTTCCCTCGCTGGCACAGTCCCAGCACTGCAGGCTGCATGGCTTCCTTCCAGGAGCCAGGATGCATGGCAGGGTGGCCGCACCCCGAACCCTGGGTGCCCATGTAACCCTGCGCCGCCCAGACTCCTGCCGGCAGAGTTTTCAGCGACACCGCTGGCTAAGCAGCTCCGTCTAAACCTCGCCCTGAGAGGAGACAGAAATAAACCTTCAAACCTGAGGACCCTCAACGCACAGTCGCACGCTGAGCAACAAGCATATCAAATGTCACAAGGGCATTAGTTCACTGGAAAGACTACAGATCTGATCTCCCAAAATTACTTTAAAATGCCTTTGGCTGGAACTGCATAAAGAACAGAGGGAATTTAGCACAGCTGTCAATCCTGAAAACCTTCAGGAATGCACTAGAACCCCCAGGCCCAAGGCTGGCCACGCCCTGGAGAGTGGCGGACGTGACTCAGGCCCCGCAGCTGCCTCCCCTCCCCCATCTCATGCAGCACAGAGCCGGGTGCCAGGTGGGGCGTCTGACACCGGGGTCCGGGTGCCCCGAGGACAGACGGCTGCGGGAGAAGCGGCAGTGCGAACAGGACACCTGGGGCGTCTCCTGTGCACGCTCCTTCGCCCACCTGGGACCTGGTGACCGGTGTCCAGGGCAGGTGCTGTCCGTTCAGCCGGCCCTTCCTTCCCGGAACCATCCTGCCAGGCCTGCCCATATGCCAGAGGAGATGGCGAGTGGACACGGGGACGCGGGGACACAGGGACAAGGGGCACAGACCTGGGAGCCTGCACCTGAGCACCAGCCCCACTAACTCACAGGGCGGGGAGATAGTCCGGATCCCGACTAGTCCATCTAAGCGCAGGCCCTGCTGCACGGCCTCGGGCCACCGAGAGTCGGTGAAGCCCGGGTGCAGCGGTGCCTCCCCGGACACCGACCTGAGAACTGGATGCAGCACACGGCAGCCGGGCCCTGGAGGACAGCAAGCTGCCTGCGGAGCGCGGTCGGCACGGGCTTCTCCAAAGGGTACTCCTCGCTGGAAGGAAGACGGGCGAACACAGAGGCCAAGGGAGGGTCCAAGGTCAGGCGGGAACGAAGATCAACGTGGTGGGGTTTCCCCACTTCCCTGTCTGGTTTCAGCCCGTCACACGGGAACCTCGCACACGGTTGCTCTCAAAGTGACGGGACAGCTCCTTAGAGTAGACGGGGGCCTCTCAGTGCCCCGGATGCTGGTGTTTTTAGAACAAATTATCAAGAATGCATCATATTCACCATCAACCGACCCAGACACCTGACGGCTGGGGGGGTCCCCAGGGGAAGCGTCCTACTGCCCAGCCCAGACCCTAGGCGAGGGCCAGGTGACACCGACCACCCACAGAAGGAGCAAGTGGCCCCTTCACCGGAATGTCACCCCCCTCCCAGGGTTTGGGAGCAAGGGCAGCAGGCCCGGCCGCCTCTCCACACAGTGTCCCCGCCCGCTACTCAGGGCAGGCGCCTGCTGGGCGGCCTCGAGGCGGCGGCCGGGCCAGGCCAGGGCCAGCAGGCTGTGGGGGCCTCGCGTGCCCTCCCCACTCCGGGTCCCAGACCCACACACAGACTGAAGCCCGCACCACACGGTGCCACCATGGGTCCTAGAAATGTGGTGACAGTCAGAGCACAGCAGGGAGCCAGAGCAAGAGCAGCTGTGATCGGGAAGCACATGTGCTTACCCACACGTGTCACACACTTATCTACACATTTGCACACACATATCCACATTCGTACCCACGTGCATGCCTGCACTTGTCCAACCGCATTTGTGTGCTTATCTACATGTGTGCATGCATGTGTACCCACATGTCAGTCACATGTCTGCACCCCGCCCACACAGGTTCACACTTATGCTCACACTTGTTCAAACAAGTACCCACACACATGTCCACACTACCCACACATGTATCCGCATGTGCATCTGCATGCATATCCACACTTATCCAGGAACGTATTCCCACATGCTTCCCCACACGTGTCCACACGCCTGCCTTACAGCACAAAGGGCCATCCCTCCGGCCTCAGGCTCAGGTGTCCAGATGCCTGCACCCAGGACAGGCGTGAGGCCTGCACACTCTCTACAGAAGGCCCCCAAGAGCCACCGTGTCACCCGGGGCGGCTGGGTCTGGAGGGCCAGGTCCTGCACCCCAGTCTCCAGGAGAGCAGCTGGGGCCCAGCTATGGGGCTGCGCTCACTGCCCCACTCCAGGCACAGCCCGACAGCCACGGCCACCAAGGAGCATGGCCGGGAACAGGATGGCTCTGGGGCCTGCTCGCACCCGCAGGCGAAATGGGGCTCGGGGACAACTGATGAAGGATGGAGTGAATAATGTTTCAGGTCCTGCAGCCCAGACCTCTGCCCACATGATGTGGGGTGAAGCCCCCCCCCCACACACTTGGTCTGCTGTCCACCCAATGGCCGGGACTGCCCGGCAGGCCCCGTCAGGGTCGGGCGTGGAGTCGGAGCCGGCCGTGCCCGGGCAGGCCTGAGAGCGGAGGGGTGTCCCAGCATCAGCGAGCACGTAGCTGGCCCCGCAAGACCAGGGCTGGGCCGCCCCCGGGCCAGCATCCCCATCCAGTGGCTCCCCAGGGACCCCACCAAGGACAAGCGTCCTCTGCAGAGCATCTTAAAGGCCGACTGTAACAAAAGTTCAGTGTCCCAAAGCTGCTGGGGGCGGTAACGCAGCAGCTTGTCTGAGGCATGACAAACAGAACAGAAGTAAATTTGACTGAAGAGTCTTCACACGTGTATGGATGTGCACACACATCCGTGTCAGCAGATGTGTGTAAACAAGGCCTCCACCGCCCGAAACAGCTCAGTGGGCTGTGTAAGGGTCTCCCCGAGTCACCCGGGTCTGTGCGGGGCGGGGAGGGGGGTGCCTACCGTCGGTGCCTGGTCCTGCGCCCTGAAGACCTGTCCCGGTCACCCTTGACTGTGGTCTTCCGTGAGAACGTGGCGGCACTGTGGGGAAAACCACGTCAGGCTCCGATGAGCTCGGAGCTCCTTAGAAGATCAAGGGAAAACAAAAACGCCACTGATGCCCCACGTCCCCGACGAACCGCGTCTTCCGGTCACTCACTGACACTGGCCGGGCCAGGCCAGGAAGGGAAGGGGACTGGGGTCTGGAAACCCTGGAGGGTCAACCCTGTGCTGTTCACTCACATGCGAAGCGCCGGCCACGCAGCAGCGGTCCGGCTGCAGAGCAGCAGCGAGATTGGGGGGACGGGGAAGGGGGGCCGGGGTCCGTGCTGGCTCCACCCCATGGCCTCCGGGGGATGCGGGGGCAGGAGGGGCGATGGGGAGGCCAGGGGGTGCACAGAAGGCGTGAGATCAGCGGGGACCGTCGGCCGCAGGGAGCCCTGGGGAGCCTGCCCAGCGCCCGACCTGCCCCCCGAGTGCGTGACCCCCCCAGGCTTCCCAGTGGCACGTGGGGAACAGACGCGGGCTCGGGTCTGCGGTGGCAGCAGGGAGGCGGCGGGTCTGTGTCTTGCTTCTGAGAACCGTGGACCGCCCGGCGGCCGCACCCGCAGTTCTCGGCACATGCCGCTCCCCGAGGCGACCCCACTGCGCGTCCCCCCATCCCGGCTGTGCGTGCCGGGGCTCCACGGCCCGAGACAGGGCGACAGAGCAGGGCTGTGGTCTGGGAGCGACGTGCTCCTCACGAGGTCACAGCCAGAGGGCTGACCACAGGCCAGGACCCAGGACGCTCTCAGCAAACGCTTCCTTGGCAGCTGCTGCCGCTCTGCAGCTGGGACCCCCGGGGCCGGCCGCCCTCTACCTGCTGCCGTGCCTGCCTCCCACCCCCAGGGGGGCACCCGCAGGGCACACTGGGCATTTGAGCCCCGACAGCCACAGGGTGCACGTCCCGCTCCCGCACGTGCCGCCCGTGGGATACTCACTGCGGGGCGGCCGTGTAGCCGGACGACCGGACCGAGCTGTGGAAAACCAGGGGCTGGTCCCGCACGGCACCCCGAGCAGCTGTGTGAACACGGGTTTGACACTTGGTATTCGGTACGTACTCTGCACTGTATCACAAAGTAACTCAGGAGGGTGGATGACGGTGGGGAGTAATTCTAAGAGCAGCTCTGCTTTACAAACTAACCCGAAGGAATCTGGTTGTTTCAAACCTGGTGCCTGAACCACATTCCCAGCAAAGACCGCGTGGGCGTGGGCGTGGGCCTGGCACGCACCCGCCCACAGGGGGACAGCTGGAAACACGCTCGGCAGCGGCACCGCAGGGCAGGGAGAAGGGGCAGCACCTCCCCGAGAAACCCGCGGGCCGGCGGCCGGAGAAGGCGACGACCAGCCCAGCGGGGGCGGTGTCTTCCCCAAATGGACCCCCGCAGGTCTGAGGCCTCGGGGGCCTTCACACGGCTCCGCGCCCCAGGCCGCACGTCCTCCTCACGCCGGCCCCGCTGCCCCGGCGACGCTGTGGGTCGGTGGTCTGCGCCCGCCTCCCTCGGAAAGGCTCCCACACCCGCCAACCCCCACAGACGCGCCGGAAGGTCAGCACGCCGGCGGCAAAGGGGTCCACGCGGTGTGTGACATGGCGCTTCATGTGTGCGGTGACGTGGCAGGCGTGATGTGGGACATGACAATGAGAAGGCGTGGTGCCAGGTGAGGTGCTGGGACAGGTGGCATGACTTGGCATGACTTGGCATGACGTGGCATGACGTGGCATGATGTGAGGGGCAGGGGGACAAAGGTCGAGGGGCACCTCTGTTGCTCCCTGGCCAGGCCAGTACAAGGCTGCTCGAGGCGGACCAGACTCTGGCTGGGTCGCTGGAGGGAGTAAAGACGTCCGTGTGGACACGAGTTAATGTCGCCGAGCACTCCCGTGTCGAGAGCAACGAGCGGGTCTGTGTGGACGCCTCTCAGGGCAGAAGCTGGGAACGGATGTGTGAGAAGAGCCCTCCGGGGCCCCGACACCCACGGCGCTGCCAGCTGGGGCCGTGGGCCTGACTGGGAAGGGCTGTCCGTGTGTCTAGAAAGGCACCCGCGTCTGTGAGGCAACATGACGTCACCGAGACTCGCTTCAGATTCTTCAGGCAAGAGAATGAGAGAAAATGTTGTCATGGTAAATCATCACTGAGTGGCCACCATGGGCCACCGCTGGGCCGGCCCCTGGAGAGCCAGCCACTGGTGTTCTGGACACAGCCACCGAGTCCCCGCGAGGCGCACCGGGTCTGGGAGAAGAGCGTGGGGCACCTTCCCTGCCCTAAGGACACGAAGGGGCAGGACGCGTGCGAACCCCAGAGCAACGCGGCGCCACCAACGCCTGGACAGCGAGCACGAACGTGTCTGTGCTCCAGTGTCCCGGACAGCGAGTGCCATACTGACCGGTGCGTTTGTGGCCGCCCTGCCCGGCCCGTCGCTCCGCAGCAGTCCCGGGACACAGAGGAGAGGTGGGTGAGACACAGGAGCTGAAATGACACGGCACTGGGAGCGGGCGCGCCTGCCGGGCCGTCTCCGGTGAGTCCGTGTGGGGGTGAGCGTGCAACACTCGGAGGACACCTGCAAGCTCACTCTCACCTGTGCAAGAGACAAACGTGCGTCTGGTGACAGAGCTGCGCTGCCGCCTGCATCCTACCCTGAAGCTCAGCAGCTCAGCGGCGTTTCCCACAGAAACAGCCCGAGCCGCCTCGTTTCCAACCAAACGCGCACAGCAGTAAGCTCCTCCAAACGAGGTTAGCGCAGTGGGGAGCTCGCCACTTCACCCTAAATTCTGCCAGCTGATCAGGAACACGCGCAGCCCCCACACAAGCAGAGCCACCTGGGCAGACCCACCTGGGCAGCACTGAGAGAGGCGTCCCCAGGAGGGGGCGCTGCTGAGACCTCACGAGAGCGGCCAGGTCGACCTCCAACAGCACGATCTCAGCCCCAAACATAGAGGCGAGTAAACAGAAGGCCTGCGAGGGCGGGAAGAGGTGGGTGACTGCGACCCGGCCATGAACGCGCAGACCCGACTCCCACACACACGCAGCTCTGACAGCGGCAAACCTGCGTCCTGCACCAGTGGCCTCGGGGCCTGACCATCGGGGCCGTCGCGAGTCCCCCGGACCCTCCACACCCTCCTCACACCTCGGCCCCGAGCCCGCGTCGCTCACGCAGGAGACGTGAGCACAGTCACGTGATGGACGGATGGACGTACAGACACGCCCACAGACTCCCAGGGGCTGAGTGGGGAGGACTGACCTTATCGCCGCTGCTCGTCACGGCACAGGACCCGGCAACCTGAATGCTGAGGCTCCTAAAATCTTGATTTTCAGCAAGAAAAACAACAAAGCAACGTTTAGGGGGTAAGAAGGGGCACTAACAACCCAGGGACGCGTCTGCCCAGCCTGCTCCTGCTGCGGCAGGGACAGGACAGCACCTGCCACACACACACAGGTGAGCAGGCCGGCAGAGGCCTGGGCAGGTCGATGGCAGCCACTGAAGCCACAGTGAGAGTGAGACCAGGGAGGAGTGGCGTCCCGTGAGCAGGGACTGCGGGCCTGGGCCACGCTCCCCATCTGACTCATCCCCAGCCCCACGGCCCACAGGCAGCAGGGCCTGTCTCTGGGGAGCCTGAAGGAGCAGGGGGCACGGAATCCCAGCCGCGGGTGCAGTGGAGAGGCGGGGCAGAGGGAAGCCCTGGGCGAGTGCCTTCCCAACGGGGGTGGGCAAACGGTGGGGGCAGGACTGCACGGGAGGGCACGTTGGCCCCACTGGGAGTCTGTCTGGGCACAGCAGGCACTGACGCCCTAGGAAGGAGCCTTGGGACAGACGGACGAGCGCCAAGGGCCGGGGCCATCCCACGAGGCCATGACCCGGGGAGAGGGCCCAGCAGCGCAGACGTGTCCCTGGGCCTCCGCAGGCCGCGGCCGGCACCGTCCGAGAGGAGCAGACTGTCCAGAGTGCACCCCCACCAGGTCCTCACACCCCAGTGACAGCCTTTCACCCCTAAAACCAGCTCCCCCAGAACAGCCAGGAAAGCCCCGATGGGACACGGGAGGGGCACCGAAGGGACTCAGAACCTGAATCTCACCCTCGTAACGCAAGGCGGCCTCCAGTTCAAAGCTCGCCAAGTTCAGCACAAAACAGCCGGTGGAGCTCCCGATCCACAGGCAGCTGGCCTTCTCCGCGGAGGGGCTGTTCGCGGGAGAGAGACAGGAACCGGCGCCAACCTCACTGCGGCTTCAATGTCCCGGCGTCTCTGAGCCTCCACGGCCTCCCCGGCGCCCAACACAACCATGTGGGCGGAACCGGTCTCTAAGCGCCGCGGAAGGCGGCTGGCTCCTGTCACCTGCCATCTGTGACTCCCACAACCGGGCTGCTATTAGACCCGTTTGGGGCCCCGGTTGGGGTGGGTCAGTGGTTAAGTGCTGGCCTGCAAAGGTCGCCAGTTCAGTTCCCGGGCAGGGCACATGCCTGTGTTGGGGGCCAGGTCCCCAGTGGGGAGCAGACAACAGGCAACCACACACGGATGTTTCTCTCTCTTCCTCCTCCCTGTCCCCTCTCTTTAAAAATAAGTAAAATCTTTTAAAGATATAAAAATAAAAAAATAAAATAACATCGTTTGGGATTTCATGGGAACCTAGTCTCCAGTGAACACAACTGGAAACACCATAACCTGGTCCCAGCTCAACTCTGACCTGCGACCTTTTTATTGCTCCTGAGGTCGCAAGAGGCCACGGCCCCCACAGGACTGCACGCGGCTGGGGTCCCTGGGAGGGGCCCGGTGCCGCCAGGCCCGCGGGAGGGGGCTCTGCACACGACGGACAGAGGGAGAGGAGGCCACGCTCAGAACAGTGGACACTGGACTGTGGAGGTCAAGCTCCGCCTGGATTGTATGAGTGGAAGTAAAATGGTCCCATCTCTTTCATGGTTGAGTGCATTTAAAATGATCTACCAAGTTTACCAGCTTTAAAACTTGAAACACGCAACCCTAAGAACAGCTGCAGTTATTGTCACCCCCCACCCCCCACAGGATGCACCGAACCCAAGAGGCTTCCTCCCTGGGGCCCCACCCGCGCTCGGCATATACTCACAGGCCCCGGCCAGGACCGCGGACCCGCGCCAGGCCCAGCACGGGGAGCGTCGCGTCGACCACGTCCCCTCTCCCTGGTGCGTTCGTGGAGGGGAACTCGCTGCCCTCTAGGAACAGAGGCCCTGGTGAGCCAAGAGGTGTCGCCAGAAACGTCTGCCGGCGGCAGCACATCAGGGGCCACAGGGCGTGAGCAGCCTCCTCAAGACGGAGAGGAGAGCGTGGTGAGGGTGCAGGGCCCCGAGGTGCGGCCGTGAGGGCGGACGGGACGCAGCCGCGGGGGCCTAACTTCGTAATGAATGGGTGCTGATACAACCAACGGCGAAACACCGAGAGCCAAGACGCAGAGCAGTGGGGAACACGGGCCCCTGGAGTAAAGGTGATTCCTGAGCTACTTCAGAAGAAAATGGCTTAAAGCCACAACACAAACTAAACTGGAAGAATAACGAGGACGAGAAACCTGAAGGTCAGCAAAGACGCTTGTGCCGCACAACGACAATGAATGGACCAGGCGACCTGCAAGAGTCCGTCGCTGGGTTAAAAGCAAAGCCTGACGTGTCCCAGCAGCATCAGCTCCGGGCAGACAGGCAGACGAGGGAGCACAGGTCCACCCGGTGAGCCCACACCCACAGGTGAGCGCCCGGAGGACACGGTGGGCGGGGGCCCAGCCCCGGGGGGCGAGTGCACCTGCGTGCTGAGCACGGAGAAGCCCGGGCGCTGGCCAACGCTCACCTCCAACCCCTGGTGCCCTGACAACCGCCTCCTGGCACACAGGGGGGCCCCACGCACCCCTCTCCGCGCCGTCCCTGCTGTCCCTGCCCCGCCCAGCACATGGGACCCTGTTGCTCTGAGAGCCCAGCGCAGAGTCCCGGCCCACTACCTGGCCGGCCGCACGGCCTGGGCCCGACTGTCCTGGCGCGGAAGCTCTCCACCTTTTTCCTCAGGTCGATGCGCGTCACACACCGGTAACAGTGGCTTTCCACCAAACTGCAGACATAAAGCTGGACCGGCGGCGGGAACAAAAGGCAGAAAAGGACCACGAGCAAGTGAGCCAGCAGCAGCCGGGGCAGAAGGCCAGGCCCTAGGGGTCCGAGGCGTCCCCTGAGCCTCTGCCCAGGATCAGGGCCCCACGGCCAGCACCCTCTGGGAAAGCTGCCCTCGGGCGGGGGTGGCGACGTCCCCAGGCCCTGCCTCCCCGAGCTCGGCCCGAGAGGACCTGCTCTGCCTCCCAACACGCGACACCGAGACCTGGGACACCACGACCCGGCCCACCTCCCACGTCCCCACGGAGGAAAACACACCCCCTGCCTCACACAGGAGCCTCGCCGGGACACACGCACTATGTCTGGTTCCAGCAGAGTCCCGAGAACCCCGGGGGCTTTTGGGAGGCTCACAGTGACCTGAGGGACAGCTGGCTGCCAGGGTGACACACGGGTCACTGCGGACTTCCCGGGAGGGCGAGGGGCCGCAGCCGGGGTTCAGTCCCCAAGGCTACCGATTTATTCAATCAAAGGTGCCTGTGTGGTGAACCCTTAGGAAATCCCGAAATTATGGGGCCCAGGCTGGCGAGCGCACCCCTCAGTGAGGCTGACACACCCGCCCCCATGGGGCAGCGGAGTCTGGGCGGGGACCCCAGGGGACCCCAGCCCCACCCCGTGTGCCATCTCCACGGTGCGTGGCGGTTCACATGGAGCAGACCAGCGGCTGTGAGGACGTGTTCCCGTGTCCCATGAGTCTCTCCAGCGGATCAGTTGGGGGACCAACTGATGCACAGACACGTGGGCAGAAGTGGGAGGAACTCAGGGACAGGGACCCAGGAAGGGCCCTGAAGTGGGGGCCAATCGTGTGGGACAGGCCCCTACCTGGGGGGGTCTGACCTTCCCCAGGTCTGAGCTGAAATGCAGGACACCCAGCTGGTGTCACCAAGAACTTCTTGGTATGGGACCAACCGCCTTCCGTTTGGTGACCAGAGTGTGGAAGGGAGTGTTCTGGGTGGAAATAGAGGAGAGTCCCGGGGGGGGGGGGAGGGAACCAGGGTCTTCCTGATGGGACCCTTTCCCAAATTCCATCAACAGAGAACAGGACCCACACCTGGTGCGATGACCCTAAACCACTCGCCTAAAAATCTAAGTTTTGAAAAAGACTGCATGTCCTCAAACCCTTCAGGAGAGTCCAGGCTGACCGTGAGGCTGCGGGAGGGGCTCTGAGCGGGGCTGGCCAGCGCCGCAGCGCCGGGACGGCGGGGGCTGTGCCCTCACCTGGCCCTCGGCACACCCGGCGGCCAGCTGCTGGCTCTCCTCGTCCACTGCGAGGCTCAGGAGAGGGGCGGCTGCGGAGGGAGAGACAACACTCAGGTTCCGAGACACCGACACGGTGTGAGCGGAGGGCTCCGTGCTACTGACTCTGACCCGCGCTCCCACCGTTCTCAGTGACGGCCTCACAGCAAGTGAAAACCCGGCAAGAACTAAGGGGGTCCCAGGGGGGATGGGGGGTGCCAGCTGGGGTCCAGGTGACCCTCGTACCGTCCCCGTCCCCACCCCCGGCAGCCCTGCAGAGCAGCTCTGGAGAGGCCGAGGCGGGTGAGACCGGGGGCTCGGCGGTGAAACAGCAGTGGGATGGACGTCCGTGTGAAACGGCCGCCTGACGCGCCATTTCACCTGGGACACCTCTGACTCCCAACTGCCGAGAACTCGGAAGGAGAGTTGAGATAAGTAGACATTTAAAAGCCTCCCACGTCCTAAAACACTGTGAATGACGTCAAAATCAAGACTGTGGCTGTCTTCTTCACAATCAAATACTTCCACGTAATTTCAGGAAGATAATTCCAATTTCATTCCAAGAACTGTGCTTTGTCCCTCCGACTGTAATGTATTCAGGACGCTACAGTGTCGATGCTTCACACAGACCAGCCAGCTCAGGGAGGACGTCCCTCGGCCAGGTGACAGGCACCTGCACGTTCCCAAAGCTGCGCCCAGGGAGGCTGCCCCCGGGGCCTGGACTCGAACACGAACACACACCAGAGAGAGGGAGGCGCCGGGACACCAGCTGCAGAAGGTGCGGTTGTGGGGGGGGGGTGCCCTGCAGAGGAGTTGCACCCTCCCTGCCTGGCGCCCACCCCCAGGGGACCCGGAGGTGCACCCGCGCAGCCTCCCGGCCCGAGGGACCGTGGGCGGACGTCAGCCGTGACCGGGGACGGTGTGAGGCAAGCACGCAGCGACCAGGAACGACCAGGAGCCGGACCAGCGCTTCCTGCCCGGGCAGCGGAGGCGCGGTAAGCGTGTCCGGCCTCGGCCCGGCCCACAGCGCAGTGCTGGGCCGGTTCCCGGGGCAGCACCGACCACACATCTCCCGCCTGGAAAGCTCCAACAATGCCCACGCTCGCCCGTGAAAACTAAGAGAACTCTAGGTTGGGGGGGGGGGGACAGCTGTTTCTGTCTCCAGTGACACGGCGCCAGGGAGCCTGGTGGCCCGGGGCCGCGACGGGAGGGGCACCCCCGGGAGAGGCACCTGTGAGCACTGGCGAGCTGTGCAGCAGGGATCCCGCGCGGCAGTCCCAGACCTTCGGACAGACGGGGGTGTCCTCAGCGGTGACGGCAACACTGCTGCCGTCACCGCTGCAGGTGAGCTAACACTTCCAGCTAAGCTCTAGTCACTCTACGGAAAAGGTTTCTAAAAGACAAACACACACTGTAACGGTTACGTGTAACAAAACTGGACACAAGAGACGTCAGAAAAAAACTGCGTTTCCAGGAGTAAGAAGCTGTGGTGTTGGGAGACCCAAGACAAGGCCCAGGGGGACTCCCCGGCTCTCTCTCTGCCTCATGCGGCCGAGGGGTGCAGCTGGCCGCGGCCCGCACCAGACCTCACGCCTCCTCCTCCTCCTCGCACGCCTTCCGTTCTGTGCCAGGCACACTCACTGCTTCCCGACACCCACTCCTTCAAGTCTCATGACACCCGGGAGGCGACCAGCAGCACCAGGCTGCTTATTCCTGCCGCTTCCGGACAGGAAGGTGGGCGCAGCATGGCCACTGGAGAAGCAGGGGGAGGGGCGCAAGCCTCTGCCCGGACCTGCTCCAGCTGCTGCCCCGGGCACAGCCTGGCGGGGACCTCGAGGGGGCCTAGTCCCTGCGCTCCCCACACTGGGTCACCACCTGGTGCGTTCCCCCCCACCTTCCTTCTCTCACAACCGCAGTGGCCCTTTGCCACCGTGCTCCTCATGACACTGACTAAGCAGCAGGCACACAGGCCCTGAGCTCACACTTTAATTTACTCTCTTCTGATCCTGGAAAGTGGTTTCTGCCCCCTGGAACCACCCTGCAGATAAACTGACGTTTCCCTCCCCGGGGCCCTGGCGTGGGGGGGGGGGCCTGAGCCGACTGGAGCCCACAGGGCCTGTGGGGGTGGAGGCCGTGCTGTGAGCTCCGCCCACCTTCCCGCACCCCACCCACAACCCCAGCCAAAGCGTCCCACCGAAGGTCAGGACGGCAGCCATTCACAGGACGCGGCAGAAATAAAATTACAGGCGCGGCAGCAACCAAACCCGGGAGGCCCCACACAACCGCGCCACAGCCCAGCTGGCCAGGCCCGTCCTGTGTGCCAGCTGCCCCCTTACCTTGAAGCACCTGTCCTCCGACACGGAGATGACGACGTCCGGCTGCCAGGGACAGAACTCTGCCGCGGTCACGGGGCCCTGGTGCCCCTGCAGCCGGGCCAGCACGGACCGGGCCTGGGGCGGGGGACAGATGTGCTGACAGTGGCTGCAGGTGGCAGCTGGCAGCTCCCCGCATCTTGCCCAGGGCAGTTTCCCTTCGAACACGGTGCCCACCACTCTCCTCCCGATGCCACACTCTCGGTGCACACACCTGGGGCTCACACCAGACAGCTGCACACAAGTGTGCGGGGGCCCCAGAAGCAGGGGTCATGGCAGGGAAGCCGAGCGGGCCCCTCCCCCACGAAGCCTGCGCAGGCACCTTCCTTGAAACACCTGATGTTTAGAGCCCCAGCCCCAAGCCTTGGCAGGACAAGCCTTGGAGGCCCCTGAGCCCAAGGACACGTCCACTGTTGGCCGGTGACGTCACTCGTGACATCGACCTTGCCCTGGGAGAGCCTGTGTTTCCCAGTCGGTGTGTAGAGACCCCGGTGCACCCAAGTGCACCGCCGGCCCACCAGCGTGCGGCACCAACGTAACATCATGCCCACGTCCTCCTCAACCTGTGTCCTGTCACCTGGCCACGGCCCGGAAACCCTCCGCGGGCAAACGGCTGTGAGGGGGACTCCTGACTCCAGGCCCCAGGTGACCTGTCTCCACAGGATGCCACCAGCCGGCCACAAGTCCAGGGGGCATAAAGCTGTGTCCTGCTGCCTGACAGAGGCTGACAACGCCATTCCAGCAGACCTTGGCATGGCGAGGCCCCCGCAGCCCCGCCCACCGCCCCAGGGACTCTTACCTGGATGTCCAGCAGGAGGACCTGGTTGCCGGCGCAAACCGCGACCGCCCGGTCGTCTGGACGGCACCTCACACACAGCACCTTTCCCAGTGGGGTACCCAGGACAGCGCCGCACGGACCCACCCCTGCGGGCGCAGGCATCGTGTTGGTTATCGGAGGCGGGGCAGCCGCTGTCGAGGGGCGTCACCCGCCCTCTGCAGCCCCCGCAGAGGAGCGGCCTTCCCGGGACTCCAGCTCTTCGAGAGCAGCAAAAACACTGAACACAAAAGTCCTTCTGGAAATGTGGGGAGTTGGAGGGCACCCTCCCCATCAGCCCCGGAGAGGGGTGCAGGCGCCCAGCAGGGACCCTGGGCGCTCCAGAGCTCCGGGCCAGGCTCGGGGCTCCGCCGCTGCCATCTGGGAGCAGCCGCCACATGGCAGGGTCTGTGTGAGGCCCCCAGAGACTCAGAGAGAGGCTTTGGGGGCATCACCCCTCCTGGCCAGAGCTGTTTGTTTACGAAGACCCAGGTGGGGAGCAGATACCGGACACGAGGCCCACTGGACATGTACGTGCACCTGTGCATGGGACACGTGTGTATGCTTGTGTAGGTGTCCCTGTATGCACGTGAGCCATGTGTGAGTACTGTGCACATGTGCACACATAGTACAAGTGTTACTATATACATGCCTGTGTGTGCTATAAATGGGTGCCGTGCCGTGTGTGTGTGGACACACATATATTGTGCGTGTGTGTGCTGCATGTGCGTGATTGTGTGATGTGCGCAGTATGTGCCTGTGTGTCCTACGGGTGTACACGATGCATGTGCATGTGTGTTGTATTTGTGTGTACATGTGTGTTCACATGTGGGTGCGCATGTTCTGTACGCGTGTGTGTACAGATGCTGGTGGTAACATCCTCATGACAGAGTGGCCAAACTACAAATTGAAGGAGGTGGATGAGATAAGCTATTGCCTAAAATTACCTGATTTTAACCCTATCGACTCCAAATGGCACTCCGTAATGCGGTCCCCACTGACCCTTCACGGCCACCTGACACCACCCTGACCCACCCCCACCCACGCAGGCTCGCTCCTGGCTCCACAGAGGGGCCAAGCCCTTCGTGCCCAGGCCCCACCTCCCCTCCACCCGAACTGTGCCTCCCCTCAGCTCCCGTCGCCCAGCTCAGCAACACCTCAGGCCAGTCCACGCGGCTGCCAGTACCTCTGCCAAGGGCGCGCCCTCCACTGCACCGCCGTGGGGCACAACCGCCTGAGTGTCCTGCTCTGCGCTGCCCCCCATCCCTGTAAGGAACGAGCGCACGCCTCGGCTCGCCCCCAGGTCTGCGGTCCCGCAGGAACCACAGATTTCACAGGGAGAAGGTGCGGACAGTCAAACCCACGGAGCATAAGACGGCTCCTCACGCGGCCATGGTCCCTGGCCTGCACGGTCCCCACACAGGGCTCCCGGCCCCACAGCTGCTGTCCAGGTCACAGGGGTCAAACAGGGTCCCGAACCCCTCACGTTACCCAGTCCGTTTAAGGATAAGTGGTTCCCCCTGCATATTTTCCAAGTGTTTCCAACCGGCACTGACCTCGAAGTGCTTGCTCTCTGCACTCGTCCAGCCTCCACGTCATGACACGGTCTCGTGATGCAGAGCAGAGCAGAGGCGGGCTCCCTGAGTTCCCAAACGCCACGGCAGTGACCGAGTCGCGGTGTCCTCCGAGGACCAGAAACTAATAAACGTCCACCAAAAACTACAGATTAGAGGCAGCAAACAAAAGAACATAACAGCATAACCTCCAAGCTAAGAAATTGAATGGATTGAGTTTTCCCAACGTACCGATTCATACATTCGTTCATTAAAACCCCAGTTCGGGACTAATGATCCTCTCAGGTTAAGCATTTCGCGGCTGCCCAGCATCACGAGTCACACACACCAGCGCAGTGACCAGCTCCCCTTCGCCCACTGGCCCGCCGTGTAGTCACTGCGCCCCCGCAGGCCAGGAGAGGAACTGGTGGTGTGAACACTGCGGCTAAAGGGGTATGAGGACCCGGCTGGAGCAGGGGGTCTGGGGGGCTGCACCTGCACTGTGGTGAACTGCAGCTGGACGGTGGCAAGCCAGGTGACCTGGCGACTGCGGGGCTCGCATGGAGCCCTGGGAAGCTGGAAGGCAGCAAAAACTCGGGAGAGGGAGCAGTGGCCAGACGTCCGCGGCAGAGACATAACATCATTGCAGGTGCAGAAGGGAGGCTGCCGTGGGGACACGGGGGAGGCCGACCCCTCCCAGACAGGTGCTGTGACAGCCTCAACCAGTGGCAGCGACAGAAACTTGGGCCAGTGGACGCACAGCCGGGAGGGAGGGAGGGACGGCAGCTAGGGAATCGGTGGGTGTCACAGGCTGAGGGAAGGGAGGCGGTGCAGCGGGCAGATGGGAGGGAGGTGGGGCGGCAGACGGGGCCAAGCAGGGGGCTGCACCCATCTTGGTCCCAGGAGAGCGCCCCTCCACTCCGGCAGGCCTGTTCGTGGCACCAAGCTCTGGTGAGAGTCATGGGGAAAACCGTGCAGACCTGGCATGTACATATTCAGGCCTCAGAGAGTGGCTGAGGCCATGAAGAAAGAAGACAGCAGAGAAGAACACGGAGAGGAGGGTCCCACCGCCACACCTGTCGGGAGGGCCTGGGTCTGAACCCTGACACAGCAAGGCCGGCCTCGCCTCCACTGCCACTGGGAATGCCGCCCGGCGCGCCCTGCTGGAGGACCGTCTGCAGCTTCTCATGCACCTGCACAGACTCTGAGGGAGGGCCGAGCAGTCACACTCCTCGGCATGTACCCGGAGGCGCGGCGAACCTGTGTCTGCAGAGACCTGCACACCGATGTTCACGGCAGGTGTGTTCAGAAAGGCCAGCACTCAACAGCAGCAAGGTGTTCTGCACTGGACAGATGGGGAAACCACGCACATCCAGAAAAAGGAGCGTCACTCCACACTGAAAAGCAGTGAACGATCAAGCCCTGAAAAGCCACAGAGCAACCTGACACGCGTTTCCAAGAGAGAAGCCCATCTGGAAAGATGACGTGTCAAAGACTCTAGCTACGTGACGTCCTGGAAAAGGCAAAACCTCGGAGACAGTGAGAGGCCAGCAGCTGCCTGGGGGGCTTCGGGGTTCGGGGGGACGAACATGCAGAGCACAGCAGGGTTTCAGGAGGAGAAAGTACTCTGTGTGGTGCTGAGGCGGGCACACAGCATCTCGCACGTGCCCAAACCCCGAGAGTGGCCTGCAGGGGGCCGTGGACTCTGGGTGGCGCCGGCACGGCAGCGTGGGCTCACCACGAGGATGGGCTCTCTGGCAAGGCGCGTGGAGAGTGGGAGCTGACGTCCCTGAGGGAGGGAGGGTGGTGAGCACTCTCTGTGACCTCCTCTCCATTGAGCTGCTGACCTAAAACTGCTCTTAAAAAAATAAAACAAAAAAAAGTGGTAAAAAGTAGGCAAAAAGAAGAAAGCAGAAGCCAACGTTTCAAAGCAAGGACTGTTACCAGGTACAAAGATGCCACTTCAACAGCATCTGGGAAGACATGTCACCGAGGGGACCTGGAAACACTGAACGTCGACGTGCTTCATGAGTAACGGCTTGGAGTCTCACGGAGCAGCACCGCAGGCGGAGAACAGACAAGCCCGCCTCAGTGACAGACCCCGGCACGCCGCTCTCAGTGACGGCGGGACAGGCAGACACAGACCCGGCGCGGGCGCCCGGGCCTCGCACAGCAGTGTGTGCGCGCCCGCCAGGCCGAGCTGACGTTCCCCGGACCACAGACGTGCAGACACACCTGCAGCACCGTCACTCATACAAGAGCAAAAGTGACCCCAACGTCCTCCAGCGGACAGTCAACAACCAACTGTATCCGTACAGCGGGACACAGTCGTGCCTCATATCGCAGTTCACCGTATGGTGGGTTTTTAAAAAAATATGTATCTAATTCCGTATCGCAGACTTTTTGCTGTATCATGGGATTCTGCGGTACTGTACTTCACTGGTGAGAACCCATAGAGAATTTTATACGTTGTTAAAACTATGTAGGTTTAAGAATGTAGAAAGTGTTTAAGAACATATGAAGTGGAGGAAAAAATGTGGAGGACACAGGGACGAGAACTAAGGGGGGTGGAAATGGGAGGGAGGTGGGGAGCACGGAGCCGGGGGGGCTGGGATGGGCGAAATAGACAAAAAACTACTTGAAAAATAACTAAATAAAACTATTTTAAAAAAAGAACATATGAAGTGTTTATAAGAGTATGGGAAAGGTTAATAAGAGAGTGGGAAGGGTTTATAAACCTTTAAAAATTACATAAATAATAAAATATAATGCCACTACTTCGCGGATTTTCACCTATCGCGGGGGTCTCTGGAACGTAACTCCCACGATAGGTGAGGGATCACTGTATTACTCAGTGATAAAAAATAAACTATCGATACATGCAATAATATAAATGTCTCAAAAAATTATTCTGCCTGAAAGAAGCCAGAGTAAATGTTGTCTGATGCCACTCACATAAAACTTTAGAAAATGCTAACTAATCCAAAAGCTCGTATTTGGAATACATGAAGAACTCCTTCAGATCAATAGGAAAAAGTCCAGTAGAAAATGGCCAGTACACGGATAAGAAAGCATTAAGCGTCACCAGTCAGCAGGATACTACAAATCACAAGCAAGGAGCACTTTGCCCACCAGAAGGCTAGAATGAAAAGGCCCACGGGTGGGGGAGGATGCAGACCGACGGGAATTCTGGGTCGCCGTTTGGAGAGCAGACTGGCGCCCCCGGCAGAGTCCCTGGAGCACACCCCAGACTGAAACGTGAGCCCCCAAGGACACAGCAAGCGCACGCAGAACAGGAGAGACTGTGTGTGGCCGTCAAACCGTGGAGTCAAAACAAACGCCCACGACAGCAGGCGGGCCGGTGCGGCCACTGCATGGAATGTGCTGCAGCAGTGACAGCGAATGCGGAGGCAGCTCAGGAGCACGGTGGCAAACGCATGACCTGGCTCGGAAGAACACCCAACATGTGTCCCACACGCAGAGCACCAGCAGAGCAACTCACACCCACGGGCCCCAGGTCGTGTCCCTTCAGGGGGAGGGGCGTGAGCAATGTGTGACAGGTGGTGGTCACCCGGCTGTGTCTGCTTGGTCACGCGCGTGCGTTCCATGTCTGGGGCGCGGCTCTCCGAGCATGTAACAGTTCGCTGCTGGAGCAGGACAGACCTGGACAAGGGCCTGCACGCAGAGCCGCAGACTCGGGGGGGGGGGGACCGCAGCACCCGTGTCCTTTCTCAGTGAGGGACAGTCCCCACGGTCAGCAAAGCAACCGCCATTAAGACCACAGGTTGGAGGACGGCCTCGAAGCAAACGCAGCTGGGCTCCCCCAGGCCACGCCCACAGCTCCCCAGGCCACGCCCACAGCTCCGACTCGGGGGACCAGGGCGAGGCAAAGGTTATTCCGATGCCAGAGCCTGCTGGTAGAATCCACCCCCCCTTCTGCACAAGGAAACCTGTTTTTATTAAGAGTATTCAAGTAACTACATTAGTCACGAACCGTTCTAAAAAGGTGATGTTCTCAAAACTCCCTCTGATGTAAAAGAGCCTGCGATAAACGTAATAAGTTCTCTTAAATGTGTTAATATTAAAAATCTGTAAAATTTCGACCAGTCCTGCCTGTGGTAGGATCTATAATAGGTTCTGAGCAAGAGCTCATGTTCTTTCTGAAGAACTGTTTTAATGAGGTGGCTCTGGACAGCTCACTTTATGAAAATCGAGTTCACAGAACACCCCGGGTGTGTCCACTTCCTCCCCTTGGCTGTCAGTGGAACCCACGGAGGGTGGATGGCCCCAGCGTCACGGGTCGGAGAGGGACTCAGGGTTCTCTGGGTCCCCGGGGCTGCGCACCTGGCCCACAGGGTCCGAGCTGCTCCACACGCAGAGGCCGCGGCCGCGCACAGGGAAGGCACAGAGGGGCGCGTGGCAGGCCAGCGGCACCGGCGAGGCACAGGGCCAGGACTCGGCAAGGCGTGTCTCGGTGACGATGCCGCCCCCGCTGCCGCCGATGGGCCTCATGGAGTGAGTCTGTGGTCCTTCCATCTCAGTCTGAAAGCACAGCACGCAGACCGCGGGGGTGACGCTTTGGGCAGACGCTGGGCTGTCAGGTGTGCATGCACGACTGCTCACGGGAGTGCATACAGCACATCACCTAGACCCCTCCCTGCTCCCAGGGAAAGGAGGCCCCGGGACACCCTGGCTCCCCACACCCGCAAACCCTCCCAAGGCCGCGTCACACGGGAACAGCAACAGCCCTGCCCTCGTCCCAGGCTCACCCCTCACTCCAGCAGCCCGACAGCCGGACGCACGGACGCAGGATCCCGAGCAGTCGGAGGTGAACAGGCCTGTGTGCTTGCAGGGCCAGTCGGGTGACGGCACTGGACGGCAGCCTCGGGACCAGGCTGGGGTCACAAACACAGCACATGTGTGTGTCAGACTTGGGAAGCTTTCCTCCAGCTCGGTTCTCGGTTCTGCTGACGTTTTCTACAGCTGCCCAGGCCTGACAGCGAGCTTCATGCTAAAAACAAAACGGCCAAAGTATCGAAGCTCCCATGACTCCCCTGGCAGACGCTGCGGCACACAGGGGCACGTCTGCCACGTGTGCGAGCTGCTGTCCCCTGGCTGTGCCCACTGCTGCTCAGAAGCATCGAGTACCTCAGGAAACAAAGGGCCACGTGCAAAGCCTTACAACTTAAAAATTTTTTGAGAATGCACACATAAAATTGTGACGAATGCTGTCTTATTTCTTTAACGCAAACTGCCTGACTCACCACTGTGATTCCTGCAGAGCTGAGCACAATCACTGGGAAAGCGCGACACTCTGAACCAGTCCACAGGTCACTTCCGTAGAAGTTAGCACGCACACTCGTGAGCATCAGTCAGTGCATCACACCCTCTAATTCTCACAACAGGCCTTCAAAGTTGGTGTTTTCTCTCCGAGTGAGACGTTCATCAGAGATGGAAGCAGCAGCAGGGTCGCCCCACCCAGACTCGAGTCTCCGCCCCTGCCTGCCTCGGGCACCCCACGGCAGCACAGGGAAAGTGTCCCTGCCTGTCCCTGGCTCCCTGGCTCTGAGGCAGCACCCCAAGGGTGCGTGCCACAATTGCAGAGACTCCTGGCATCCCTGCCTGCCACCTGGAGCCACGCACCACACCTGGCACCGCACCAGCACACAGCCAGGGAGGGAGCTGCAGAGCAAAGCAAACCTGCCCTGGTCCACTAACCACATGGACTCTCGGCACCCAGGCAGGAGGAAGACAACCCCCCCCAGTCCTGCTCCCCTGTCCCCAGCTGAAACCCCTTTATATCCGGGTGTGTTAAAGCAGGACCTACATCGGAATTTACAGTGTTGTCTCCTCCTTCCCACCTGGACCAAGGTGCCAAGGCTTATGTCTATGTCCATGTCTGGTGCTGGTGTCCCCGGGGTCAAAGGCTGGCCCTTCCTTGCAGGGTCCCCAGGGACCTCAGCACCCCATTCCCACACTGCCTCTTTCTGCTGGCTTCCAGCGCCAGGCCAGGCCTCTGAGTGCGGCCCTTTCCAGAGAATGGCAGCTCCACAGCGCCCACAGAGCTGCATGAGAGTCTCCCGGGGCCCCTTGTCCCCCTTCGCTGGGAGGAGGGGTGGGACCCGAGCCAGAGAGACGGGGAACCCTCTGCTCTTCCAAGACAGTGAGGCCGGCCCCCTGAGTCGCTGCATGTGTGCCTTTAGGAGGCAAAAGAGAGGGCCCGGCCTGGCACGTCAGAAGCAGAGGCCCTGGTTACCCACGGCTTGCTTTGAGGCCTCACCCAAAACCATGTGCTATCTAACATTGTAATTAAGAATTTAATGTGCTGGACAATGGAATATTTTCACTATGATTAGCTGAGAAAAATCTCCCCACCAGCACGGAACTGGAGATAACAGAGTCTAGGGCTCAGAGGCCCGCACACTGTGCTCCAGCCACCCGGGGAGCCCTGCAGGACACACACATGGGGACAGGAGCTGGCGCCCAGACACGGCAGGGGGTGGCCTGGCACCACTGCAATGACATGGGGCCCCTCAGATGGCACAAGGTGTGGGGGCCTGAGTGGGGTGAGGGTGAGAGCGCACAGAGAGGTGGAAAATAACTTCAAGTGACGAGAAAACACACAGCAGCTAAAACACTCGTGTCTGAGTGTCCCAGAGCTGCCATTAACTGCTCACACACATGACCAACTAAAATGTCCCAGTCCCTCCAAACACACATGGCAAATCCCTAATCCTCATATCGTGCAGAGGTGCAGCCTTCGGGAAGCGATGAGGTCAGGAGGGTGGGGCCCTCCGGCTGGGACCCCAGAGAGCTCACTGCCCTCCCCAGGTGAGGACAAAGCCAGGAGAGACCACTGCTGCCCTTGACCACCGAGCTTTCCTTTTGCCTCTGGAAACCACGAGACCGAGCTTCCCTGCAGCGAGGTGCTGGCCAGGGCAGCAAGGACAGGGAGACTGGAGGCCTAAGAAACGTGGGCTCCCTGCAAACCCAGCCCATAAAACCCTCCCATGCACAGTCCTCTCTTCTCTTCCTCCACCCACTGGCTAAACACAAGGGACCAGCAGCACTCAGGAAGGGGGAGCCACAGGAGGAGGGGGCCTCCGGGCCCCGGCATGGAGGGAAATGCCCAGGTCGTGTCTGCCTCGGGCAGCCCCGGGGGACCCTGCGAGGAGCACCACTACCAGCTGGGGTCACCTGCCACAGCGTCAGCCTGTCCTCACTGACAAAGCAACACAGTGCAGGCCACTCAGGAAGGTGGGAGAAGGTCAGACTCGCCTTCAGGCACACCGCCCCTGCTGTGCACTCCTACGCCCCGGCCAGTGCACGAAGCAGACATGCACGGGCCCAGGAGTGCGTCTGAGAGGTTACACTCGAGTCGGTGTTCCAGTGAGATCCTAGTGTATCGGAGGCTGTGCGCACGGCAGGAAAAAACTGGATGGGTGGCTGCCACACAGACCATTGTTTCAAAGCTGCGTCAGAAAGCACAACCAGACAGCAGCCCCAGGTACCTGCAGACTGCACATTCAGAGCCCTTTCGTTGATACAGAAGCGGCACCTGTAAATGGTACAAAATTAGAAAATCCACACAAGGAAAAAGGTAATCATTCTCTGTGCCTCAAGCAGTGCCACTGGTGAAGACCGTGCACCATCTTCCGAGTTTTCCCCCTGAAAACACGTGTGTGTGTGCGCACACGTGTTTGTTTTCTGGAAGGGCAAATCACTGCCACGTGGCTAGGAAAGGTCAAATCTTCCTCTCGGAAGTGAAGTAAGGCAGACCTGCGCGGTTTTACTCTTGAGTTAGGAAACAGGGTTGATCTGTAACACGCGGAACTTCCGTGGTAAAATGTTGAGCGACACCCTCCATGGTCTACTTTGCAGCGAGAACATGTAGGGCTCCCCACCCCCCAGTGCCAGCCGTGGGGAGGGCAGAGCTCCTGACACAGAGCAGCAGCTGATGGCAGAGATGTGGAAACGGTGCCGAGCTACACTTTGTATTTTCAAGTTCTTGACCAAGTTATTCAGTACCTTTAAAGATAGTACTCTTTACAATTTGCTGCTTTAATTTCTGAAAAATCAATCCCCTCTGTCGGTTTGGCTGAGGAAAGCCCAGAGAGCAGTGTCAACCAGCCTAAGGCTGTCATGCTACTGCCACACACCGCTAGTGACCACAAGTGTGACAATTCTGTATTCAGCCCCACGCGTGCCACCCCCCTGCGTGCTTTTAGTTTGTGTTCCACCAGTGTCTGCCCAAGTGACCCCGCAGGTTCTAAATCAAGCACAAGCCCTGAAACCTGCACACGTAAACACAATGAACTCCGGGCGTACGTGCGACCCGTTGAAAGACGCTGGCTCCTTTGCCACTTTCTTAAGAGGAACAGAGACCAGGTAACGAGGCCGCTCCGCGTACTTGTCGTTCGCGCAGAGCCCGCGGAGGGAAGCTCCGTCGAGGTGATCGCGGAACGAGGGACCCCACAGAGCAGTCTCTCACCTGGAGAGCCTGAGGTGGAAGCTGCGTACTGGTAAACTCCCCGAGTTTCCTTGCTTGCGCCCCGCCCCCTTCCCGTCGCCGTGGTTACAACCCCGCCGCAGCCTAGCGCCACGCCCCTTTCCTTGTTCTCGCGAGAGCCCGGATACCCATCACTTCCGGCTACTCCTTACTTCCTTGCCTTCACCCGACTTCCGGATCTTGTCTCATTTCCAGGCGCCACCGCAGTTCCGCGTCTTCCGGCGCGCCGCCCGGCCGTGGGTCCGGTGGGGAGCGGTACGCTGCGTCCGGGACAGGAGGCCAGCGCTGCCCTCCTGCTTCCGCGCGCGCGTGCCGCCTGCCCCGAACCTGTCCCGAACCTGTCCCGAACCTGTCCCAGGCCAAGCCGCCATCCGCGCTCTCGGCTCCCCGGCCGCCTCGTTATCGCGCCCGTTCTCAGCCGGGCCCTCCGTCCGCCCCGGGTCGCCGGCGACCTCCCGCAGCTGAGGCTCCGACGGGCGGTGGACGCCCCCGATGTGGCCGCGCTACCCGGAGCGCGCTAAGCGCGTCCGGTGGCTTCTCTGCAGGGCGAGCGGGTGAGGCCCCCGCGCCGGCTCCGGCGGCCATGACGGCCGCCTGGAAGGGCGCCCTCTTGCTGCTCCTGGCGGCGCGGGCGGCGTCCTGGGGCAGTGCCTCGGAGGAGGAGGACGAGGACGTCCCGGCGGAATGGGTCCTGCTGCACGTCGTCCCTGGCCATGTGGGCGCCGGCAACTACAGCTACCTGCGGCTGATCCACGAGGGCAGGATCGTGCTCGCGATGCGCAGCGTGCGGGGCGACGCGGACCTCTACGTGTCCGACCGCACGCTGCACCCGAGCTTCGACGACTACGAGCTGCAGGCTGCCACCTGCGGCCTCGACGTGGTGGCGGTGCCCGCGCACTTCCAGCGCCCGGTGGGCATCGGCGTGTACGGGCACCCGTCCCACCGCGACAGCGAGTTTGAGATGAAGCTGTACCTGGACACCACAGCGCCGCTCGGTGACGGCGCCCCCACGGACGGCGCGGGCACCGGCGCCCAGCACGCACAGGACCCCGAGGGCGCGCCCCGGGAGGAGGAGTCCGTGCTCTGGACCGTTCTCATCAGTCTGTTGAAATTGGTCCTTGAAATCCTTTTCTGATGGTTGGAGCGCGCCCTGGACAGTGACCCCGAACCTATGTGGGTGGCCGCCCTGCGCCGTAAATGGGCTCCTCGTACTTGGCTGGAAACTCATACTTTCTCCAGTTGGGGGATGGGAAATAAAGCCATACAGTTGTGTTACCTCAATTAGCACAGAGGAGGAGCAGCAGCCTGTTCGAGATCTGTTTTCCTTCAAAGATTAAAATTCCCGTAAAAGGAGTCTGTACAATAAAATGTTTGAACTTGGTTCTGGTTAGCTTGTCTGGTGCCAGGAGGACGACTGTGGTGTCTTAGGTTTGTAGGAAAGGAGTCCCAGTAGAGCACCTTTCCTGCGGGTGCACAGATCAGAAAAAGATGGACGGCATAGTTCCACTCGTTAGAAATGCTAAAGACTGGGATCCCGAGTCTGCAGTATGGTGCTGGGCTGTGGGACCGACGGACCCAGGCCCCCCGCACCCGCCCACACGGGAGGACAGCTGTACCCTGGCCACTCGGTCTTGGCACTCCTGGGGTTTTTTACACCTTCGGCTGCCTAGAGAAATCATTCCATTACTAAACAAATTTGTGCTGGTCCCCAGGGTGGGCCAGAAACAAGAGATTAGGAAAATAACGGTGGGGGTGTAATTACTTCAAATGAAGTTGCCTAATAGAAGCTGAGTCACAGAGAAAAAACCTTTTAAGTTGAACTATTTCTCCACTTGAAATTGGTTCCTAGGTTAAAAGTAGCTTGTAACAAAGCTAAATCAACTTGAAGATGCTAAGAACGTAGTTAATTTCAAAAATCTTTTATTGGCATAAAAATGAGAATTGTAAATTGGCACCAAGTAATTCACTTAAATGCGTATCACAATATCATGGTCATAAAACTATCCCTCTTTGCTGTTTTTCCCCCTTCTGCCCACTTTCCTGGGTGTTGGGGGGGCTCGCTGACAACAGTCACAAATCCAGCGACCTAGGAGAAAAATTGTTAGTTAATACACAGTGAGACTCACGGAGGACTGAGTTAAACCCCTTCAGCTCTCCGTCCTTAGCTATCACTAATGACACTCCTGTGCATTTGTGGTGAGAAGGGCAACACCAAGATCCTTCAGGGAGAGAATGTGGTGGTGAGGTGATCAGCGTGCTTGATGCCACGTGACACTCAGGTGGGGGTTGGGCACAGTGATGGTGTGTCTTTTAAAGGCCCGGAGCAAAGGTATGGGCCATTACAAGTGGAATCCTTTCTGAAATCCAAACACTACTGTGCTCCCAGGCGCCAGCAAGATCAACCATTAAAAAACCTGTTCCTGGGCTTCACCTGTTTCCAGCCCTTTTCTCTGCACTCACTGGCAACTGTGTCTCAGCACCCGTCAGCCCGGCTCCCGGGCCTGATGCAGCGGGTGGATGCCCCGCAGCGCACTCTGAGCCCCTGCAGAACTCCAGACTGCTGTTTCAGCTGCTCGCTTCTTAGTGACTCCCAGGAAACTTAGTTCCAGGTATTACTTTATGAAGCATCATACAGTGTTGACTCTGCAAGTTAGTGCTGATGTTACACAATTATGCATGTAATGTTTCAGCTAAGCTACAGATTGACCCTTCCATGTCTCCTTCATCTTCTAGTTCCCTGGAGTTGTCACGCTGCCCCAGTGCACAGAAATCTGGTCTGGTGTGTACAGAGGCTCAGCACTCACTGTGTTAAGCTTCTGTATCAACAGCATAGAAATAAAATCAAACTGATGCTGTTGCTTTAGCTATTTTAGTAGAAAAACAGGCTCATTTTTTAATCAAGCACTACTTCCAAACTCAGACTGGGTCCCTGGCATGGCCTCTGTCCTGTAGTGGGGAGATGCAGGCAAAAAAGGCCGGGGGGCTTGACGCCAGTGGCCACAGCACAGGCCCTGCGCGTCCCCGTGGGGTCTTGTGCAGCCTCCAGAGAGCACACCTGGGGGGCTCCCTTCCCCCCACGGAGCTGCCGGCCCACCACTGCGGTGTTTACCTGACGGGAGCGCACTGAGGCCCACACAGAACGTGTGGTAGCCTCTGTCACACACATCACAGAACATCATCTCCTCTTCGTGGTGGGGCTGTCCACACACAATGCACGTCTTACACTCCATGCATTGCCAGGGGTAGGTCTTAATCATAGAAACAAGCTCCATGGTCATGTCCAGGCAAGAAGGGTGGCCTAAACCAAAACCAGCGTTAGTAGGAGTCACCAATTCACACAGGAACTTTCAACTTAACACAGCATAATGAGATGCTAGTGGCTTTGTGACTTCTCAAGAGCGGCCACAATGGTTAACCGCCAGAGGGAGAAGCCGTGGAAGAAAGCACTGGCCTTCATCTACACCTCACCACCTGCCCTGCAACAACCGGCAGTTCTCTGGTGCACGGCTGGCGGAGCACCAGACGGAGGGTGGTGGAAGCGGCAAGAGGGCGCGTGGTACTCACCGCTGTTGCCGCACTGGGAGCAGTGTATGAGTGACTCGGCCTTGCCTCTCCTGCCGGACTCCTTACCCTTCAGACAGATTCCACAGAGGGCATTGGGAGGGGCCTTGGGCTGGAAGGGCAGAAGAGGGCTATGAATTCGTGCCAGAAGGACCCAGGGCGGGGGCAAGAGGAACTCGCTCACTGCTCTGCCTCGTCGCTACTTCGGATAACTGGCTAATGAGGGCCTTTCGGAAAGACGGAACTCAATTCTGCTCCCAACGCACAATGGCTGCCGAGACTCAGGTTCCATTTTGAAATTCCGTCCCCGGGGACCCCACGTCCGGACTCGGGGGCCGCAGGTGCAGGGACAGCTGTGTCATGAGGGGACGACTAAGCATGATGCCCAAACCCTATTGATCGGAAGAGAATCCAACTAGGCTCATTAGGAAAAAGAAGAGAGTTTTAAGCAGTTTATCTACTGGTTTTGTTTACTCCGATATTTTCCAAAGTTGCAAAACCATATCCACAAACTCTAAGTCACAAAACCGAGGTTTTACCACGTTTAATTGAAAGACGGCTCACGCAGATGGGCACCTGTGTCTCTGGGAAACCGAGGCGTTACTCCCTGTGTGTGCACAACACCTTCATGAGAGCCCGTGCTTGTGGAGACAGCATTCAGTATGAGATGCTAATCAAAGTTTTCAGCCAAAAAAATGGTTACTTGAAAAAGATACAGAGACACCCTTACATTTTGAGTGCCATTGATTTTTCATATTAAAAACACCTCAATCCAATGGAGGCTTTGAAAAAATACTGGCAACACATGGAATAGGACAAAGCGGAAGAGGGTCGCTGCGCCTGCAATCACCAGGGGAGTGACATGAGCGGAGCAATGCCTCCCGCGCTCTGGGCACATGGACGTCATGGACAGAGTGCAGAGGAAGCGCGGCCCAGCATGAGACAGAGCCATGGCCTCACAAGGGACACAGAGAGAAAAATCAGTCCGAGCGGAGTCACTAAATTTCTCTCTGACACCAGCCTCGCCACATGCAGCCTTCGTTCCTCGGTGACGGAGCCACAGAAAGGCCCGCGCGAGGCCCCCGCTCCGCAGTGTCTGGCTGCCACCTCCAAGACCTGTGGCCTGAACACCTTGTTCTCAATTCCTTCAGTGCTTTTACTTGTTCCATTGTCTTTCTTTGCAAAAGATGACAGAGGCGTTCAAAAATAATTTTTGGCTTATTTATTTTAAAAAGTCAACCTTATACATAAATATAATAAAAACAGTAACTCTAAACAGTCACAGATATCTCTACAAAATAATAAATATCGTGAAGTCAGACATACATGTAAAACTGCATGTGAGCTAACCTACATCTCTCGCGTGTGCATCTCCTGCATGTGATCCCCCCCCCCCACCGTAGCAGGGCCCTGCCACGTGCTCTGCCCCTCCGCTGTCCCTGGGACGTGCTAAGTGTGAGGTCCCCCTGGCTCCTCCACCTCAGTAACGACAGCCAGGAAGTGCACTTCTGGGATCCAAGCTCTAGTTCAGTTACACTAGGTCTGCAGCTGCCACAATACGCAGCAGGGAGCTGCCCCTCTGTCCACCGCAACGAGACACCTGTGGGCTACACTGCCTGTGCCGAGCGTGAGAGATACTCGACACTCAATACTCATACTTGAAGGTAGATACTGGCACACTAAGTGCTCTTATCATCTCCCACTAAAATCAGGAAAGTAACACACGATATTAAGTCCTAAAAAGAACTCCTCATAGGAGATCCTTTACAAAAATCAACAGGAATAAAACACAAGACTAGTCGTTCACATCCTAGATCAATTCAAGTTCGACAATCATTAAAATACATGAGACGCCGTGACACCAAGGAAATTCCAGGTTTAACTTCTAAGCTTAAAAGCATGTGTTGTTAAACCACTTACAATTTTCCTTACCCAATATTCTTCATCTTGATGAAAACGGGAGGGGGGAGAGAAAGAAGGGCACAGAGAGGCAGAGAGAGGGACGATGTGCTTCGTCCCAGCACTGCCTGAGGTGCTGCCAGGGTCCCGGACAAAAACTCACGGCCCCTTCCAGTGCACGGCGCTCCGTGGGGAGCCGCACTGTCCACGCCAGGACCTGGCACAGTGGACGCAGCCGCAGCAGGCTGGGAAGCTGGTCTCGGTGTGCTGTGGACTTGGGGGAGGGGGACAGGAAGTGTGTGCAGAGCCCCCCAGGGACTGACGGACAGGGCCCCAGGCATGTCTGATGGAGACAGTCGAGTCTACTTGAAAAGCCACAACATCACAGTCTCACTGCTGCCAGGGACACAGCACTCGTCCCCACCGTTCTGAGCACCTCAAACGAAAGGCTCACCAGACACTCGTTTTCCGGCTAAAAGACCAACCGCAGAGCCGTGAGGCTTCCGTGGCAGCACAGACACCGCACAGACCTCGCGGCCTGGACCCCGACAACTGCGAGTCGGTTTCGGATTAATGTAACCTAAACTCTGTCCTACACGACATTAGACACATCACTTTCCTTGACTCCCATGTTTTAGAACATTTGTATCTACGACCTTCAGCTTGGAGTTCCCTAATATTGAGGCACATCGCGGCTTATTAATAATTTTCATAGAGGTCAGCTTTTAATAAACACGGTTCACATTAACGCAGGACGTCTAGACCCTGGCCGTCCCCGCTGCGGAGCCCTGACACGTCTTCCGCACGCCGGTGCCCTGCAGCTGCCTGCGGTCCCCCCCACGGGGAGGCGCCGCGGGACCGAAGCCCTCCATTTCCGGCCCCACTGAAACATCTGCTTCCGAATCCTCTTCCAGCCCCCGATCGATCACCAGCCTCACCCTGGCCACGGCCAGCACCCCGCAGCCACTGTGAGACCCGAGCAGGCGAACTTTCCAGAACTTTATCTTTGGAGTTCATTTGCTTTTAATTATTAAGCATGAACTTAAATCTTCAGTTTAAAAAACTAGATAAGCTATGTATGTGAAAACAGGCCCCAAAATCAAGTAGCTACAGCCTGTTGACACCCTTGGAGGCCGACCCCACTGAACGAAGCTTAACTGTCCGCCCTGGGCCAGAAAACACGAGCTTTGGGTTGACCGTGTAAAGGCGTTTTCTGGCCCAGTGTGCGCACACCACGTCGCCTTCTCCCTGGAGGGGCGCACCGGGCCCCCGCCGTCGAAGGCACATGGCTGCAGCTCCCTGGGGCCGTCCCCCCATCCCAGTCCCAGCTCCAACACCCGACCCTCGCTAGCTGTAACGATCCACAAAACTCTCAGCACCTCACTCTTACACGTGCCTCCGGAACGCCCACACATCCCAGACCCAGACGCTGCCTGTTTTGCTGTTGCCGCCTACAACTAGAGCCAGCCCCGCCCCCGCCCCACCCGCGACGCTCCCACATCAGCCACCCTGCGAGCGGCTCCTGACCTGTGCAGGGGGTGCGACTCCGGCAGGAAACCGGGAGAGCGGCATCCCGGCCACAGCACGCTGAGAGCAGCCAGATCAAAAAATTACCTGGAGTATCAGAGCCCAGGCCCCCGCGAAACAGCGCCACCCGGCGGCCCATTTGCCGAGGGTTGGCCACCAAGCCTCACTGTGGAAATTGGAGTGTTTACTACTTCCTGTCAGACTGAGCTGGATTTGACAGGCCCGTCCTAGACCCTCCTCCGCGAAGGCACGACAGCCCCGCAGCCGGGCCGGCACAACCAGCAGGTGCCATCTGCCCGGACACCGAGGCCTTCAGAGGGTCTGACGACGGCGACCGTGACTCCACGGAAACCAAGCACAAGGTTCTGCCTACAAAATAACCTTTAAAAACCCATACTTGCCTGGTTATTACCTAAAAGAAAAACAAATCCTCTTATAGAATGTGCACATACGAGGAAGAGAAGCTGAACCACAGCCGCGGGGAGAGCGCCACCAGGAGACAGAGCCAGCGGAGGGGCCGACAGAGGCAGAGGCCAGAGGCGCGGCAGGAGGGGCTCCACGACCCGAGGTTCAAAGGTAAAACATTTCAGGGAGAGAGCTGGTCAGGAAGGAAGCTGAGTCAGGGGCTTTTTTCTTCTACCTTGTACCCGGGAACTGACTTGGACAGTCCAGAGCGTTTGGCAGCGTCCTTCCTGGGAGTGGCGGCTCTGTCCTTGGGCCTCGGTCGCCCCTGGAGCGGCTCCTCCTGGCCGTCGGGAAGGCCTTCGCCCTCGGACGCGTGGCCCGAGGAGCTGTCCTGCAGTCGAAGGCACAAGTGTTCCTGGAATTCACACAGGTTTGAGTCTGAGTGGTGCAAACTACAGGAACTATTCACAAAACTCCAAGTCCCATCAACTCAAAGACGAGAGGGTGATTCTAACAGGAGAGCGCGCTCTCCAGTGGAGACCGAGGAGGAAGAGGGTCAGAGCCACGCTCCACCCCCGACCAAGGCCACAGGGCAGGGCCGTCTCCTCGGGCTGTAGCGGCACAGCGAGCGCTTGCTGTCTGAAAACAAAGGCTGGGGTCCGTGCGGGGGTCTGGCGGAGTAACAGTGGCCGCTAAACAAACAGGGCCGCACGTGCTCCAGCTCCCGTGTCAGACGACGCAGGGTGGGCCTGGGTTGCTGGGCACCGGACACGTTTCAGAGGCTCTGAGTTTAGGAGTTCAGCATCTGATCGCCCGGCTCACTTTTCTAGTTAAAATGGAAACATTATGCCCATGCAAGCACCAGGCTACCCACCCTGGGACCACCAGCAGGGCCCTGCTCCCCCCGCAGTACAGGCCCGGGCTCCAGTCCCGCGCACACCCTGGTGAACTAAAACACAAAAACAGACGATTCTCGGTGCACGTCTGCAAACGTGTCTCGGTACTTTGTTTAATCATCCTGTCAGGTGATTAAACAGTCTTTGAGCTGAGTCTTCTGTCACGTGAGTCTAATCTCCCACCAACTGTGGACGTCAGACGCATTTCTAATTTCCCCCAAGAAAAGGCACGGTCAGCACCCCAGGAACGCTGCTTTCTAACTGAGCTGCGCCGGCACCGTCAGGTCCTGTGTGTGAGTCTTGTCGGTGCGTCGGCGAGGCCCATCTGTGGCACTCGTTGGTCTGCGCACAGACTGTCATCCCGGTCCCTGGAAGTGCGGGATCGCTCTCCATCGCGCCTGGCAGCGTGGGGGCCGAGGTTGCCAGCCTCACCCCCTCACCAGACAACACGCCCCTGCACCCACGTGACAGCATCTCATTTGATAAAACACATACAGTCACAAACTGTTTCGGAAGCTTCTGGCGACCGAGCAACGCCCCGCCGAGCAACGGCGGCACACTGTCAGGTTCAGGATGGTCAAGGAGCAAAGTGGACACAGGGTCCGCCACCAAGCTGAACCAGATCAGGGCCTGGCACCACCCTAGGTCTGCCCTTCCCGCCCTGGCCGCACCCACTCCCCCACCGACTGGCTGCTGCAGTTTGCTGCCAAAAAAAATCATCCGGAAAACCCACCAGCAAGCACAACAGAGGACCAGCGACCGGAACGCAGTCCTGTAGGAAGCCCAAAGTTATTACTTCAGCAAGAGGAACCCCAGCAGAGGCGCCCCCCACACCGAGAGGGCTCAGCGTCAGGCTGTGACCCGGCCTCTCGTGCTGACGGGCAAGTCCAAGTGCAAACATGCCCAGCTCGTCTGCACCAACGGCCACCGTGAGTAACTGCTCTCGGGGCATGTTTTCCAGACGTCTTCTGCAACTGTACTGTCTCTAAGAGAGGACGGTGACACGGGTTGAACCTAACATCCCAGGAAAGCAATCAGCAAAAATGCCAGGGGAGGGGCAGAAGTCCTCACCGAGGCGCCTTTACTTCTCCTCTTCTCTTCGCCCCGACCGTCCTCGGCCTCGTCGGAGTCACCGTCACTGTCCAGGGCAGGGAGCTCAGGGTCCAGCGGCGGCTCATACAGCGCCGTGTTCAAGGGCAGGTACCGCAGCTCATCTGGGGAGTACCTGCGGTTCAGAGTGACGCTCGGCTTTCTCTCATCGCCAAACACGGCGACTCGTCCCTGAGCGACGGGAACAGCCTGGAAACCTCCCCAGTTAACCCCGAGTACTTGTGAGGAATGACTGGGGGCAGAAAACATTTCCTTGTGAAGGCCAGGGAGCGGCAATATGTAAAAAGCCTAAATGTCTGTTACCAAGACTGAAACTGTAAAACATGCATTTGATTATTAATCATACAAAAATGCTGCCTCTCTCTTTTACCCTCAACCCAAGAGAATAACCAGAATGAAAATGTCGGCAGACACCGGTGAACTGCATCAAGACAGAATCCTAGACAGATGCACCTGGGGACCACGGCTGCGGCCCGTGCGAGCTCTCCCCACTGCCCACGTGAGACAGCGACAGTGTGAGGACACAATCAGCCAGCAGGCACACGCGAGCCACAGCAACCTGGGACTCGCTGTCAGTTAAGAACAAACTTTCGGGAATAAGTTACATAAACCAACCTGTGCGGTCTGTGTTCTCGGAAACGAAAGCGAGGGTGTGCCGGCCTGCACCCTGGGACCCCACTCAGGAGTGGGTGCCGGACGTGTAGCTCCCTCAACCCAGACGTCGCACCTGAAACCACAGGGCTCAGCCCCGGGCCCCGGCCGTTAGCAATCTGCTGACCCAGGAACTTAGAAAATTAAAATGCGCTGGCCCAGGACTTAAGCTGAACCTTCGAACAGCACTTTCCCGTGCTCTGCTTTCAATGCTAGTCTGGAAAGGCTGGTCTCTGTCCGAGGAGCACCAGGGTTAGGGCTGCAGGAGAGGCAGAGGCCCGGGCACAGCGGGACCCCGTGAGTGCCGACTCCAGTTCCGCAGGCCACAGTGTGGGAGGAAGTGCGTCGACACTACCTGCAGGCCTTGCTTCCCACCGTGCGGTCAGGAGCCTCGAGTGAGGACAGACTGCAGCCCGCAGGGCCGTGGCTGGGACCACACCCTGGGGTGCAAGGAGCCAGAAGCCTCGGCACCTGCCCCAGACACACAGAGGCTGGGTGGGAGTGGACCGCTGGGGCAGACAGCCAAGCTCCGCCAGCTGTGTCCACGTCCCGGTTGAAGGGCGCCCTTCACCAGAGCCCGGGGACGGACCACAGGCATCTGCAGGAGGCCCCAGCACTGGGTGCTCCCTTAGCCACAGCCAACAGGGACGAACGCGAGCGGAAGGGCCACCTACCTCTTGTAATACTCCTGGAACTGCCCGGGGATGAGCGCCACTGGGTAGGAGCTGACCTTGGTGCGCTCGGTCGGCAGCACTCGGTACTTCCCTTGGGGCACTTGAATAACCTGGCAAGCATGTGGAGAAAGACAGGCTAACCCCGTGCCGGGAATCCAGGCTTTAGGAAAATAATCTACACACGGCCACCCCACCCTGCAAAGAGCCAAAATCAGGAGACATCAGGATGGGCTGGCCACCCAGAAGAACAGCGGAGTCTTCTGTCCTGCAGGTGCGGTCTGCTTGGCCCTCCCCACGGCCGTCACCCAGAGTAAGGACAGTGTTCTCACAGCGAGGCCCCTGTGACCCAGCTGCAGCCTCTGCTGCTCGACTTGCCCGTCTGTGGCATGGGGACACCGCTGGTCTCAGCCTCACGGAGCGGAGAGAACTACGGGAGCTGACATGGCAATCTCAGACAAGACCCTCGGGGCACACAGCAGGAATCAGCGTACCCCAGACAGCAAAAGACACCCACACACACACGCGCACGCGCGCACGCACGCGCTCAGGCACTGGCAGGCCACCCAACGCAGTGTCTCCGGCTCTGGGGAGAAGGGCCCTGCTGCGAGGCCAGGCAGCCATGGCTCAGCAGCCACTGGGCGCGGGTCACAGGGGCAGTGGGTCCTTACGTGAGTCTGCAAGTCGAAGTAGGCTCTCCTCTCCTCCATGCGCTCCCGGTTCAGGTTGCTGTTAAACTCGGCGGCTTTTTTGGCAGCTTTCTTGATGTACTCAGGCACTTTGCTGGCTTCAACTTTCTGTGTGTTCTGCTGCTGCATTTGCTGAAACAAAAGCCCCAGGGTTGGAGGTCACATGCACCTTTACACAGCGTCACTGCCCCCAAACCAGACCCCAGGCACCGTGACACCCACAGAGTACTCCTTGTAGTGGTCCGTGATCCGCTGCCGCTCCTTCTCCTGCAGAATCACCGAGTACTCGGCGTGTTTGGCGGGGTACTCCTTGATCATCAGGTCGATCACTTCATCACTGCGCAGCGCTGTTAACCCTAGTTCAGACCCGAGATGGGGGCAGAAAGCCAACTAAGGCTCAATAAACAAAACCACTTTTTAAAATATGCTTTTTCTTCAAGCTACTCTGTGCTTCAAACATTTCCCACCAATCAAAACAAAATGTTTTAATGCATTTGAAAATAATAAAAAGAAACTCATAGTGAAGTCAATTTAAAAAATTACCAGACTTCCAAAGGCAAAGAAATCAACTCGCCGAGTGTTTCTTTCTGAGACTCTGTACTATAAACACACATCCCTTTATCAGATACAACTGAAAACGCGTACTAGCTGCTGGGAATACCACACGATAGCAGGTGAAAAAAACAAAGAAGTCGAAACACGTCCCAGTCCTTCTCCTCAAATCTGGTGAACTCAACTCCACCAGGAGCGTTGGCCGCAAACACCAGCCACACAGGCAACCAGGGACCCTCGCGGCAGCGGAGTGAGCGCGGCCGAGACACCGGCCCTCACCTCCTGTTGACAAGTGGCCGTGTTGCATTCAATGTTTGTGAAGTCACAAACAGAGCGTGGAGACAACCACTCGAAACCAGAAACTGAACAAAATCCGCCTTTTAAGAAGCAAGGATCAATACTTGCCAGAAGCACTGGACAAGCTTTGCACGCGCGCGCACGCGCACACACACACACTGACAGTTCTGTTGTGAATGTCACTAGCAAAGCGGCATTTCTGTGCAGTGCATCACTCTCCTTTGCACGCTCACAACCACACATAACATCAGTCCATCCACTTCACGAGTGTTGAACAAAGAAGGACACCCGTGCCCTCTCGCCTCACAGCCGCGCAGCTGGCGGAGCCGCGCCCCCGGCCGCGTTACCGAGCGTGCACTGGGTCTCCGTGATGACGTTCAGCTCCCTCAGGTAGAGCTTCTCCTTGTGCGACAGGTCCCGTCGTTCTAGGTCTCCAAAGAGAAAAGGGCAAGGACTGTTAAAAATGGTCATTTGCATTTGTAAAACTTTTAAAAGCTAAAATTACTTGTTTAAAATTAAAAAGCTAGCACCTTCAAGGATTTTTAAAAAGACTTCATGTTGCATACACCAAGTATCATTAAAGAGAACACAAAAAAATCTTACGAATTCAAGAAATAAAAGTTAGAACGAAACTGAAAGCAGGATAATTCAAAGCCAGAAAGCGACAGAGCCACGATGCCCACAGGTCTCACACGGCCACCTCCGCGCTTCAGGGCGAGGGGCGGCGGGAAGAATCAGAAGAATCCTCAGCTCATACGGCTGCAAAAGGACTTTTTCTAAAAGTTTCCCCAGGAAATTAATCTTCCTCGTTTTGCTTTTAAATCAGTTCACAAAGCGAAAGGACGGACTGACGCGGGGAGAGGGGCTGGTGACAGAGGCAGACCAAACTCGGCAGCAGAGGAGGGCGACGTGCCCGTCACCCACACCCAGACATTTGAGAGTTAACGAGCTACAAAACCGGTTAACGGCGAGCTCTCATCTGTCCCACAGACCAAGGCGGCCGGGGTGGGGAGGGGAGTACCTGGGTACTTCCGTTTGAAGGAGGTCACGCCCAAGTACTCGCTGACTTGTTCCTGGAGCATGTAGTACTCCCCAGTCTCGTCCGGGGGCCACTTGTACTCGATCAGGTTTTCTGCCGGGTAGTAGCTGAAGCTAGACACAGAGGTGCGTGTTAGGCCTTCCACGGGGCTTCCTTCTACGGCGTGGCAAGCATTTTTATTTTCAAGGATTTTGAAAAACTGTTTTACTTATATGAGTCCTCGGTCAGCCTCGTGTGACTTAGCAACACGAAGAAGTTCCACCCAAGGGAAGCACAGGGCGGCCGGGTGGAAGTTCCCAACAAAAGGGACGAGGGCAACACCACCTTCCACGTAACGTAAAGAACCAACACTCCCAAGTGTTGGAACCAAAGGCATTTCTAAGCTTAAGAGGCCGGTCAGGCCGAAACAGGCTGGAGGCCCTGGTTCCGAACTTTTCCTCAAGGGCCCGATGCCAACAGCCCCGGCTGCACCATCCCAGGGAGCCCCAGGAGGCTGCGAAGGCAGGACCCTGAAGTCCCGTCTCTCAGCGAACGGGGCCATGCACCCCACCCGGTCGCACACACGGCCTCCACAGACCCCGGGACGGAGCTGTCCAGTGGTGGCAGAGTGCTGCCGACCGATGCCAGGGATGCCAGGCCCGAGTGGCGAGCAGACCGTGGCTTCCTGGGCCAGGAGGGCCCAACCTCTGACTGTCATTGATGGATGACAGTGGCAGGAGTGGGACACTATTTCATGAAACTACCCAATGAAAAGTAAAGAACAAAAAAAAGTTCTCTCAAAGATGAGTATCAAAATTGGATACTGAAATGCAAAACTATGAAACCGGACCCTTACCTCATGGCACATACAAAAGTCAACTCAAAAACAGACCCAAAAACCTAAATATAAGAACTAAAACTAGCAAACTCTGAGAAGTACACATAGGAGGTGGATCTTCCTGATCTCAAAGTGGGCAGTGGGTTCCAAACGACATGAAAAACACGAGCAACACGTAGGAAACAGAGAACAAGGGATTCAGCAAAATTTAAAACTTGTGCACGAAAGGACGTAATCAACAGAGTGAAACGACAAACCCACAGACGAGAGAAAATACTGGCAAATCATGTATCTGATGGGGATTAATATCCAGAATACATTTTTTTAAAACTCCTACAACTCAAAAACAAAATAAAAAGCCCAATTTAAAAATGGGCAAAAATCTTGAGGAGACATTTGTCAGAAGATACACAAGAGGCCAAGAAGCACATGAAGAGATGCTCAGCGTCCTTAGGCCTGAAAGACTTTCAAATCAGAGTCACAGCGTAAGCTCTTCACACCTTCCAGAGCAAACAAAAATACTGCGTGTGCCCCGCACTGGAAAGCTTCCTTCTTCACAGACCCTCGAACCAGGGGTTCCTGCCAGTGAATCGATGCCATGACTTTTGGCTGACAAACCCGTGTAAGGAGAAGTTGGAAACTTCTAATTCTCTTGGCAGGACTATAACCCGGTGCCTCTGCCGTGGAAAACAAAAACTGCCACACAACCCAACTACTCCACTCCTGGGAATGTACCCAGAGGGACACGACACAGGGACTCTGGGCAGACACAGCTCCACCGACATTCACAGCGGCTGGTTCCGGCCCAAAGGTGCAAACAAGCCAGGTGTCGTTGGCAGATGAACGCACCGGCAGAGACGGTGTATCCGTGCAATGGGGTGTGATTCAGCCTTCGAGAAAAATGATAACGCTGCTCACAGGAGATGCCGGAAAAGGCACAGTCACAACGACAGAAGGTAGAGTGGAGGTTGCCAGGGGCTGGGGACAGGGGACGTGGAAACTTCTAGTGCTGGACGGTCATGGCGTTTCTGTTCCCAGGAAGGAAAGAGTTTTGGAAATGGATGGTGGTGACAGCTACACAACACTGCAAATACAGTTAATGCCACTGAACTACAAGGAAAATGGGGACTTTACAGGTCTTTTACCAAAATCTCTAAAAAACTGAATTGCATTGGGAGCAAAAGCCACTGTGGTGTCACACCGTAGAACACGACAAGAAATACCCGCACCTGTCCATGACCGCCTGCGCCTGGGCTGAGGGGAGCGAGGAGGGCGCTGACGCAGGGCGGCGCGGAGCAGGGGGTCCTGGTACCTGAGGTCCTGACTTGAGGTCTCGCAGCTCCTGGAGCTGTCTCCTGAGCCCATTCGCCTCCTTTTGGGGGGCTGGGTCCCATCATTGGAGTTATCTTCATTATCATCCTGTACGTTTGAAAGATTTTTTTAAATAATGGGAATAATAAGGAAAGAAGGTATCTTCCCAACTTGTCAAAATGTTCATCATAAAGAGTTTCTAAGGACAACTGGTTATATAGTGTTAACTTCCTATGATGATTTTTAAAAGGCCCAAGAATGTGGCATAGGTAAAACCCAGGAAGAGCTAAAAACTGATTCTCAATACAATTAAAGTTAAAAAAACCAAACCTTTCAATTAACCTCTAACTCTAAATCTACTTTTACTTCCTTACCAACCAACACATCGACCCAGGTTAAATGCCTCCCGGTTTAAACAGACATGTAAAATTGCTGTAACAAGTTGAAGCAGACCCTCCTACCCCAGCTATGAAATATATATAGATCATTTAGTGTTTAACTAGAAAGAGAGGCTTAAAATTTTTTTTAACTCACATTATCCATTGTAACAATGACTATCATGGCTGAAAGATGGACCGTTACGTTAAGAAAATAAATGAAGGATCAAATGTTAGGAAATTGGTCTGTTCACATGTTAGCTAAGGCCTAATGAGTAGAAGGCTTAAAAATATTTCTTAAAAAAACAAAACTCAAGGTAACATAGCTTGCTAAGACTAATATTTTATTAAATACCGTGGTCCTCTTGCTACATTTTAAAAGGGAAGCAATCCTGCAGGAGAGCATGGACAGCTAGTACGGTATTTTGGACAGGCAGCCGGAGCTGGGGCCTGGGGTCTTTCTGGGCACTGCCCTTCACTAGCTGAGCGGTTATCCTCTGTGAGCTGCTCCTGATCTGCAAAACTGAGACAATAATGGCGCCTGTAGAACTTGGCTAAGACAAGGATTAAAGCAGTTAATGCACAGCAGTCACTTAAAAGAGAGATCTAACAAATAGTCCAGTGCCCGTTAGAAGTCAGTTAACATGATTATGGTGATAATCAGAAAGCCTCAAACGGCTCCAGCCCTTAGGAATTTACTCAGATTCTTTCCCAAACAGTAAAATATATGGAATATGCATTTTCCTTTTCAGTTCCTATAAAACAAGCATTCAATTAAAGAGCTCTGATACTCCTATTAAGAGGAGCGACCAGGTAGGCGATGGAGAACAGGCTGAATGTATTCTTCAAAGATTTGCATTTAACAGTGTCACAAAGGAAACATTCATATTCACTACTTGAAGTATAACTCCTTTTAAGCATTCAAGTGTCATTCTTTCTATTTTACTTGTTTCTGAGGTTTTAAGGATTTCTGTCAATTTGTTTACATTCCTATTGACTAAAAAATGGAGACACTCAAAAAGAGACAAAAGTTAAAAATGCAATGTCCTAAAAAAGAAGCTGAAACTACAATTTTGTACCTAGTGTTCGAACTATTACAGATTCTAGGCAAACGCATCATTACCTTAAAAAGAACATTAGTCAGCTATACCAATTTTTCCTGATATTTGATGGGACACAATTCAACTTAAAGCATTTGCACGGACCGAAAGTGCATGTGTGAAGGCTGCTGCACGTGTATCAGACCCGAGTTGGGTTGCTCCCCGCTGGGGATGCAGTGTCCCAGCGCGTCTCAGGCCGAAGCGGAGGCAGAAGCAGGCAGACGTGCCCTCCGCCTGCGCGTGCGCACCGTGCACTGAGCCAGCGTTACGCCCCGCGGGGCGGGGCGGCGCGCCGAGCAACTCGCTCACAGCCAGGAGTGGGGCCGCGCACTTCGGAGCCCTTCAGAGGCTGGTCCCAAGCAGCGGAGGCACCGGAGTCCCCGACCCCGCGGACGCCAGACTTCCGGGGAGAGCGGACCCTGAGTGCGCCGCCCCGCTGCGTTCCCGCTGCACGACTCTTCCGTCAGCTGAAGTTCCAGCATCCCCCACCTTCCGCCACACCGACCACACTTTAAAAACAGAATGTTTAACGCAGCCCATCCTGCTCGTCTTCTTTTTTCTCCACTCATCTTTGGCTTTAAAGATACTACATCATTTTACCTCCTGAAAACAGTACAAATTACATTTAAGCAGCTTCACTGAACACATCGGGATGGCTGTGCGCGAATTTAGGGATTAAGCTCCTCGTCGACCCGGTCTTTCCATACTTGTCACAAGTCCTGACCCGCAGGACGTTTCCGAGCAGGCGCGAGGAGCCCGCGCGGACCTGCAGGCTCGTCCCGAGCCCGCGCATTCCGCGGTCGGTGCGTCCGCGGCCTCCGGAAGTGAGCTCCGAATCTGCTCGGACGCACGCAGCGCCGGAAAACGGTGGCCCACGGCGCGGGTCTGCCGTCCTCACCCGGCAGCAGGCAGGCAGCAGGTGACGGAGCCGGGGTCCCCACGGTCCGCTCCCGCCCTCTGTGCCGGCCGCTTGCCCAGAGCCCGGCCCTGCCCGAGCCCCCGCCCGCCGCAGTTGGCCGCCTCCTTACCTTCGGGGACTGTGCTCCAGGAGTGGCCGGGTCGCTGTCGCATGGCCGCGGGGAAAGCGCCGTCCCAGGGCCGGCCACTGCCGCCATCAGCCCGAGCGCCCCCCGCCGCCGCCTTCGCCGCCGCCGTCGCTTGGTCCCGGCCGCCGCCGCCGCTGCTGCCACCGCCGCGCGGGCCGCCTGCCGCCCCGGCCCCGCCCCCTCCGCCCGCCCGCCGCCCGGGGGCCGGCCCCTCCCGCCGCGCGCCCCGCGGGCCGCCAGCGCCGCTGCCGCCACCGCCATGGCCGCCGCCAGCGCCTCACGCCGCCCGCCTGGCCGGTTCCGCTGAGGTTCGACCCCGCTGAGCCCCTGCTCCCGGAGCCGCCGCTCTGGCAGCCCAGCAGCCGCTCCGCCCTTAGCTGCAGCCACCCGACGCTCCCCCAGCCCCCGCTGCTGCGCCGCGCACACCCGCCGCCTGCCGAGCTCCCCGCGACGCGCCGCCCCACCTCCCGCCGCGCCCCCCGCCCGGCCCCGCCCCCGCCCCTCGCCCCCAGCCCGGCCCAGCAGCACGTCAGCCCCGGGGTCCCCTCCCCTCCCCCGCCCTCCCCCGGCCCGGGAGGCTCCCGCCCCGTCCCTCGTGGCTCCAGCCTTTACTGCTACCCCCTGCCCGCCTTTGTTCTCCGCTGGCGCTGCCAGTGAGCCACCTGCCCTGATATGTGGACTCGCCACAGCCACGGCCACGGGTGCGCAAATCGTAAAGCGTCAAGGCAGCTGAAATTCCGCCTGCATCTGGCAGTCTGTGCTGGGGTGTGGCTTATGCAGTAGCTACGGCTACGGAAGACAGGCCGGCCTGCGGGACAGGAGGGATAGACAGCCGCCGAGGGGCTGCAGGAGGCTTCCTCACGCGGGTCCGACGCGGGGGGGGGGGGTGACACCGCAATAGTCACAGGATTTTGGGGACCACGTTGTTGTTTGGGTTCTGGCTCCATGCTCACTCCAGTCTTGACAATTTCTTAACCTCTTTTCTCATCTGTAAAGTGGGGAGAAATTCTGAAACTCCAGGATTCCTGTAGAGGGCACTGTGCACGGTGGGCCCCTGGAAGGCATCCAGAGGATGGGAGCTGTTTCTTTGGAACGGAATTTATTATTAGTCTAACTTTTTAGGCTGCACTTAGTCACTTCTGGGACTTCATTTACAAACAAAAACAGCCCTGGCTGGTGTGGCTCAGTAGATTGAGTACTGGCCTGTGAACCGAAGGACCTCCAGTTTGATGCCCAGTCAGGGCACATGCCTGGGTTGTGGGCCAGGTCCCCAGTAGGGGGCGCGCAAGAGACAACCACACGTGGATGTTTCCCTCTCTCCCTTCCCCTCTCTATAATAAAATCTTAAATAAAATTTAAAAAACCACTCAGGAACTGAACCTTAACGCATGGCACACAGCTGTGATGATGACAAGGTGCCAGGAACTCGTTCAGGGTGACCTAGAGGCACACACTTTATGTGTCAGAACTCGACTCCTTTGGGGGCACTGGGGGGCCAGTAGGCTTCCCTTTTTACTCGTTATTTCTGCTTACATTCTGCAGAAACAAGTTGGGAAAGAAGTTGGGATGACTTCCAGCAGAGCCATTAACGCGAATGGCCACCCAGACAGGCCCGCTGGCCCTCTCCCAGCCTCTGACTAGCGTCAGGCCTGAAGTGGTACCACCTCCGACTGCACCCAGTTTGGACTTGGCACTCTCGGTCCGACCAAGACCCCATTTCCCTCCCAAGAACCTGCCCACTCCACTCAACACCCACAGAGACCCCAATCCCAGGCACAGTGCAAATGGTCCAGTCACAGCACAAGCTGCTGGGGGCGGCTTGGCAATGTCACCACCGATGGTGCCGTGGCCCTGCTGTGAAATGCGCAGCCTCGGGAGGAGGCAGCACCCTCTCGGGTGTTCAGTCTGTGCCCAGGAACCCCTGTAGTCGGTGGAAACCCACCGCTCAGTGCCAGAGGAAACGGGCTTATAGAAACAGGTCTCTGTCCGGGGCCCTGATTGGTCTGTCCTCATGCAAATGAGGCTCCAAATCGTCCCGTGGGACTGGCTTGTTCTCGCTATAAAAGTTTGGTATGTTTTCTATAGCAAAGTAGCAACTGCTCACTCCCTTTGCAAAGACTTCTGGGACTGCGACTATCAAGTCTCTGCTGTGTCGCCTGGAGCTGTTAGTCCTGGATCATCCAGTCATTATGACACCTCAGTGAACCCTCTCCTCCACCTTCCCATCTTCCCATTTCTAGATGATTCCACTAATGGGTATTTTTACTGTGCATTAAGTTTGACGTGGCGTTTCAAGTTCTGAGTGTAGACACGCCTCCCTTCGTTGCATTTTGCTTTATTGTGCTTTGCAGAAGCTGTGTTTTCATCAACATCAAAGCAAGACCCTCCAACCCAGCAAAAAGATCACGACTTGCTGAAGGCTCACATGACGATCAGCAATTTTTTAGCAATAAAGTGTTTTTTAATTAAGTACATCATTTTGTTTTGTTTGACGTTATGCTACTGCACACTTAATGGACTATAGTGTAAATATAACTTTTGGACGCACTGGGAAACCAAACATTCATGTGACTGCTTTATCGCGGTGGTCGCGGTGGTCTGGAGCCAGACCCGCAACATCTCCACCCTCTGCCTCTGCAGGCGCGTGCTGCTCACAGACAGGCTGCGCTCCGAGAAATGAGTCATTAGGCGACTTTATTGTGCAGACATCAGCGCGCACGTGCAGCGCCCACTGCACACCTGGGCTACGAGGTACAGCCCGGCACTTCCGGTCCACTTGCCGAGCAGCCGTGATGCGCGGCGGCAGGTCCTGAGGCGACGGGCAGTTTTCAGTGTTATAATCCCATGGGACCACTTCACAGCACTGTTCTGCATGCGGCACGTGACTGTATCACGAGGAAAATCGCAGGGCTCGTCACAGGCGGTGGCGCCGCCCCCTCCCCCAAGCCCAGCCCTTGTCTCCTTGCTAGAAGAGCGCTAATTAGTCTTCTCATGGCCAGCGTTCCAGGAAGACCGGTCCCCGCCCCTGGGAGTGGACAAGCAGGGTAGCTACGGGGACGTGGCCGAATCCTACCAACTCACACTGAGGCACACAGAAGTCTGTGGGGAGAGTGCAAAGACAGAAGGAATCTGGGTCCTCGATCAAATACTGGGAAACACAATTTTCCTCTTAAAAAAACAATTATATTAGGTCTTTGGACCTGGCATCTAAACAGAGCCTAACTGACTGTCAGATAGAAAGACCACACATCTATAAGCATTTTGACGGGTGTCATTAGTTGGGGCAGAATTAAATACATTCACATTTTTCTTTAACACTTGGTCATTCAGCCCTGGCTGGCATAGTTCAGTGGATTGAGCACAGGCCTGTGAACTAAATGATCACGGTTCGATTCCCAGTCAGGGCACATGCCTGGGTTGCAAGCCAGTTCCTGGCAGGGGACTCAAGAGAGGCAACCACACATTGATGTTTCTCTCCTTCTCTCTTTCCCTTCCTCTCTAAAGATATATAAATAAAATCTAAAAAAAAAAAAAACTTGGTCATTCATTCCTTTCAAAACAATGCATGTAATGTATTAAAATACCACTCGGAAGACATCTATCTGCCTTTAGACATTTTCCAAAATTTATGTGAACATTTACTTAATTTGATACTTTACCAGGTTGTGTTGTAATTTCCTATAGTCAATTATAATTGTCTTGAATCCAAGAATGATAATTTTCCCATACTATAATTTATTATAATCATTCGTGTATTTATATGTGGATATCTTTTAATATTGTCAGATAATAGAGTATTAATAAATATAACTGGAAGTATGAAGGTAGAAATGTGGCTTTTACTTGTTGAGAGAACACAAGCAAGACAGGTCAGCTGGAGGTAAAAACGCGGCCAATCGAGACTCCGGAGACGCACAGGTCTGTGGACTCCCTGTGTTTGAGAAGCGGAGCAGCAAGCCTTGTCTGGGACGGGTCACTCACAGTAAAGAGCAAATATCAAGGTCAATGCCATGTAGGTTTCCGTCTCATGCTTCACGGCGACCCAGCTGTCCCACGCAACGTCCCAGATCCACTGGCTGGCGACCTGGAGGCATTTTAAAAACTTAACTTTAGATTAAGCATGTGAAGAAGTGACTTTCAAGCCTGCACATGTTTGGTTTCTCAAAGATGCACCGGCATGTTGGAAAGCTGCATTTAGCAAGTGCTCTGTCCCCAGGAGACCTGAGAGTGACATCCCCAGACCAGCTTCTCCTTCACCACAGCTGGTCACGGCAGCACAGATGGACAGGCAGCCGTCAGAGGTGGGGTCAGGTAGCCCTGCGCACAGGGTGGCCTGCGGTGTTGCAGGCCACCCTGAGGAGCTCCTCTCCCCACCCATGGACGACTTCAACTGGAAATGTGCCGGGGTCTTGTCTGGAAATGGAGGAAGGGCACCGACCATACAAGCAGGCCGCCAGAGTCAGTCCTCACTCCTGTGCTTTGCTGACAAAGCCGTCTGTGGTCTGAGTACGGCCCACCTTTCTGTTCGGAATCTCGGAATCTAAGACGGCCGCAGACCATTTCTGGCCTCTCCCATCAAGAGGCTGAGTCTGTTCCCTGCTCTGGTTATTAGCTGGCATTGGGACTTGCTTTGAGCGAATGTGGCATTGCACACACCCCAAGCCAGGCCTTTGAGGCCGTCTGCTCGCACCTTCCGGGAACGCTGGGAGGAGACCTGGCGGGCAGGAGGCCCTCAGTCCCCGGGGGTGACGGCTCCTGCGTGCGGAGCCCAGGGCCCCAGCAGCCACCAGCACCACTCGTCAGACACGGGGCCCAGCTGAGTGAGTCACCAGGTGGCTGCGAGCACCTCGGTGAGTCCAACGGAAAAGACAAAGAACAAAGGACATGCTCCCGAATGGGGGGGGGCGGTTTGCAGTGCTGGTGACATTACTGCAGGCACACAGCACCCCACGCCCCACTGCCGGCAGGCACCCCTGCCCTCCCATGTGGACACCCCCCATTTCCTCTCCGTGGGAGTTCTGCCAGACCCCCAGCACAGCCGGGGGTTCTCCTCGCCCTTCAGCCATCGGGGGTCTTCCCTGTCTCTGCAACCCCCGTGAGTCGCTCGGTCACTTGCTCACATTGCCAGCCTGGACGTCCTCTCTGGAGCACTAACCGCCCCCGAGGAGCCTCCAGTCCCTTAGGTGGGAACTCTTCTCCTGGACAGAGTCCGGACAAGCTCCTGCAGATGGCTCCCTGCCCGCCTTGTCGGCCTGCATTCTTACTCGTAAGTAACAATAACCATGTCGCTGCGTACTGGGGACTCTGTGCTGGAGAAGACGTGAAGGATTTTAATGCTGTTGGTCCCACTGGGCCCTCGCTACTGCCCTGGCAGGCAGGTTCCGCCACCCCCGTTCTGGATGGGAAGCCGGCGAAGGCCGCAGTGGCGAGTGTCGCTGCCCCAACTCTGGCCGGCAGCACAGGTATGCACGCCCGGCCGTCCCGCTGCCTGCCTCACTTTACCTTCTCAAACTGCCAGCCATGTCGCTTCACCCCCTGAACTGGAGCCAGCGCTGTTGGGAAGCAGGCCTACGCCTCGTCACTCTGTCACTTCTTTAGTGATGCCTAACACCCTTTCCTGCCTAAGACAAAGTCACTGCTTACTCGCTAAATGGTTACGAAACAGGTGCATTTGAGAAACAGGCTGTCTGTACAACCTGATAAACCAGTAACAGGAAGCTGTCATTTCTAGGTTAGCATTTTTCAAATAATTCACAGTAAAAGCACAGAAATGGGGCACAGTGATCCCATCACTCTGCGGCACCACCAGACGCGGCAGGGACGTCACAGCCTGTGTGACAAGGCCGACGGAGAGACGCCCCAGCCACCAGAGAGGCCGGAGAGGTGCTAAGCCACAGACAGGGATCGGCAGGTTACTTACGTTTATTGCCTGGCCAGTCTTTTGAATAAATAACACCTTTATAATGAACTTATAGCGCTGGTACCCGAATTCCTTGACCGCTAACAACATGCTGTCTGCTAATTCAAGCGACAGATGAGAGAAGACTGTATCGTCATACTTGACATCTTTAAGACTTTCCTTTAAAAAAATTTGTAGAAATTAATTTTCTAACCAAATCTTTTCGAAACATTCCAGTAAAAAGCATGTGTCTAAGTAATACATATAACTTTTTCACCAAATAATATGAAATGCATATTTTGCTTACCCATTTATTTCAGTAAGAATTTTGAAGAAAACTCCTTCTGGTTTTTTAATTATGTTCACTTACTCTTCATTAAGCTGTAAGTTCTTTTTCATTAGATTACTCTTATCAAACAACCAAGGAGACAAGAGGAATTTTAACAGAACGCCCTGGGAATTCTTAGGTAGAGGAAATAGATCTTTTAAAACTGACCTACTTGCTGGAACCCAGATTCGGGGTTTCCCGGGGCGCAGACTCCACCGCCCCAGAGCAGCACTGGTCCTGCCCACCTCCCGCGGCCCCTGCTATCAGTCTGCCGCTCTCTAGTCCCTCGCCGCGGCTGCCCACTCAGCGCTTGTTCCCGTGGCCTGCTGTGGCCTATGGGTGAATGCCAAGGAAACCAGGTTTTCTCAGCACAGGTGTGGACGGCTGGCGTGCAGCCAGGACACACGTGTGGCCACACCAACCAGCTGGCGAGCAGATGCACGTTACCCAGAATAACTGACTTGCACCAGCAATAAATTAACCATGTTCTGGGCTCTGAGTGATAACAAACGGGCTCCTAGCTAATTCGACAGGCAGGTAAAACCGGGGAGGTGGCCCTTTTTGTTTGAGGTCCCCCCCAAGTGCTTCCGGGTCAAATCTGGGTCTGGGAGGCTCTGCTTCCCCCCAGCAGTTGGCTGTGGCTCTGTCTTCTGGACACTTAGCAGCATCCCCTTCTGACTCTGCCTAACATTCTATCTACCTAACGGCTCTTTAAACATTTTTTTAAATGTTTGTTGATTTTAGAGAGGGAAACATTGATGTGAGAGAGAAACATCAATCGATTGGTTGCTTCCCACAAGCACCCCATCAGGGGATTGAGCCCACAACCTAGGCACGTGCCCCAACCAAGAATCAAACCCCCACCTTCTGGTGCACAGGGTGACGCTCCCACGGTGCCACACTGGCCAGAGCCTTAAGGGCTCTTTTTAAAATAAATGATGGCACATCCTATAGCCCACAAGCTCTATCAAGATACACTATTCCCCCCTGGTTGGTGCGGCTCAGTGGATTGAGCATGGGCTGCAAAACAAACGGTCACCAGTTTGATTCCCAGTCAGGGCACATGCTGGGGTTGCGGGCCAGGTCCCCAGTGGGGGCCGAGTGAGAGGTAACCACACACTGATGTTTCCCTCCCTTCCTCCCTCCCTTCCTCTCTAAAAATTAATAAATAAATCTTTTTTTTAAAGATACACTATTTCCATATCTGGAACGATGTTCAGTCTTCCCGGAACTCAAGGGGAAGACCCCTGCCCTCTCTGAGACCCTTGCCATCCGCCTGCACATCCAGCAAGCGCCTCTCGGCCCCGTTCTGCCATGAGAGTCTCTGAGTTACCACAGGTGAACATGATGTGAACTCCCACCACAGTCAGTGGGTCTGAACGCAGGCCCGAAGGCGGGGCTGCGGGAGACACACACCGAAATGCAGTGTCTCACACCACACAGGCTCACAGTCAGGGTTTAGGTCAGAGAAGGAGGTAATCGGCGAGTGTTTTATTGCATTATTGGGTTAAGTGGAATTTCTCCATTTCCTGAAGCTGGGAACTGTGGCACTCTCACCGAATGGGAGCTACGACCTCTGGCCCAGTGTGGAGGCGGGGCTGTGTCTGTGATGCTGGGGGAACTGGGAGAGTGAGTCACCGAGCTACTACTCCTCGGCATTGATGAAAGCTCATCCACCGGAAGAATTAAAGAGGCAGTCCTCATTTATACAAACTGAACTCCACCTACGCTGTCCCCAGCGACTGGCTCACTCCAGCTGTCATGGAAGGAGTAAGTCTTGTAGACTGGAGGGGGTCACTTTCCAACGTGGCCACTTCCACAGTGGGACCAGGCTGGGTGTAGCGCCAGCAGGGTCTGGGCATCAGAAACTCTGTCTGCCAGGTGCCCCCCTGCCCCTACTAGAGACCAAAGATGGAAAGAGGGTGCAGAACAGGTGGTCCTCAGGCCAATTCCTGTGACTGAAAACCTGTGATTTGGTCCTGTGTCAGGAAAGGTGGTGAAGGGGATTCTCTCCATCCGAACAGTGCAGCCTTCAGGCACCCAAACTGTAAAATTAGTGTCGGCATTAATGTTAGGGCTGCGGTGTCGGTGTGGTGAAGTGGGGAAGCCTTCCGACTGAGCCTGGGATCGTGTGCCTGACTTCAAATAACTGTCTTGGATGAATGCTACACCCCAGTTGGTGTGAAGAAGGAAAATCCCAATGGTGGCCAGCGGGTGGAGGTGGGGGCGGGGGGCGGCCTGTCTGAGGACGACTCAGCACAGCCAGGAACCTGCTTTCGCACACGCACGCGCACACACACACAAGCACGTTTGGCGTGTACTCCGTCACCCATCCCTGCACCCACGGGAGAAATGTGGAAACACAGGGGTGAATAATTATGGGCAATTCAGATGAATCAGATGAAAGACTGCCAGGCTGCCCCATGTGCGGCAGCTCATGGTACCGATGTGGAGATCACCGACTACAAAGCTCTTTGGCATTTTCAGAGACAAGTGCCACGAAAAGACCAATTGGGACGGTGACACTGCCATGCACAGGAGCACAGTGCGCCACCCCCCGAAGCTGGGATATGCTTCATAGGTATCTGCCCGCCTACCGTCAGTATCCGCTGGACTTTGGTTTCCACGGCTTGGGCCCGGAACTTCTTCGGCGGCTCCATCCGGTACGTGTTGGCGAACTTCAGCCTGGCCAGGGCGCTCTTCCACTCCTTGCCCAGGTCGCCGGTGGAGTCCTCCAGCGGGGGCTCCACATACTGAACCTCATGCAGCGACTCTCTCAGCCTCTCTCTCAAAATCTGCGCATACTGGGAGACAGGTGGGCAGGCGGGTCGCTTTTCAAACTGTAACATGGACTTTAGACCCGCTACCCCCGTGGGACGGCAGAGGCTGACGCAGCATTGGAAATGCATTATAACCCACTTGTACGACAATGTCATTGTTAAGCCCTAGGTGGACTGATTCACCCCTTGCTACCAATTTGGTAAGAAAAGAAGAAAAGAGTATCTAGCTAGATGTCATGTAGTCTGTAAATACAAATACACATGAAAACAAGTTTGCACACACATATTTAGAATATCCACAGGTGAAACGAACCAGAAGTGACAGGGTCCTCCAAAGGGGGCGGCCAGGTGTCTCGGAGACACGTGTGCAAGGAGCACCTTTCCTGTTCTGTGCCCTGAGGTTATGAAATACTATTCTTCATTGTATATTTGCAATGTTAATTATTTCACTTTATCTTTGACCGTCACCAAGGGGACCCTTCCGTAAGTATGAAGTTGAGAGATAAGTGTACTGAGTCGGTGCGCACATCGTCCTGTGCTTCCTGACATTCGTGCATTGTGTCAGGCAACGCACTGTAAGGAAATCCTCATTTAGCGCCTGACCCGGTCCAAAGGCCCTGGGCCCTGAATGATGGCCGTGAGCTCCATCACAACGGCCAGGTGTCAGCTGTCGCCCCTGCATTCACCCCCAGTCTCGGGAGCCCACCAGGGAGTGGCAGTGCTCGTGGGAGGGCCCTGAGGGCCGGCATAAAAGAGCACAGGGGACGACTAACCTAGGGTGAATAGTGGCAGCTGTGCCCCAAATAAGTCACGTGACTTGACAGAACCTGGCTGTGAGGGACCACCTGGACAGAATGGTCGGAGGCGGCCCGCTGAGGCAGGGCCCAGAGAGCAGGCTGAGCTCGGCACATGCATGTGTGTGCCTGTGTGCGTGTGCGGCATGAGACGAGCCTGAGGAGGCAGGGAAGGCGACCGAGGGGGATGCAGGGACTGCGCAGAAAATCCAGGGAGGAATTTGGATTTTGTTCCCAGGACAGTGGGGAGCCATTGGAAGGGCCAAGCAGGTGACCGATGTTATAAATTCCAGTTTTCAAAGGTCATGCTGGCGGCTGGGTGGTGGATCCATTAAAGGGTGGTCAGGGCCAGAAGGTAGTAGCTTCGTTACGCTTTTTACAAATAGTGTTAACTATACTTAACCTCATAACCTTTTAATAGTTTTTCTAGCTAGGAATATGCTTTACTTCTGATTTTATATAAGAATTTTTTATTTCCAAGCAATTCTTTATGTCACACTACTCTCTGTTTTCTATGTATCATTTTGATGCTCCCTTTCGATTACTTAAAAATACACTTTGTGTTTTTAGGAGTAGTTTAATACGCAACTGCTGTTGCACCAGATGTTAAAATTTTATTCATTTTAACGCTTATTACCTCTTGATTTTTCTAAAAATAGTTCCACATACTGGGCTGGCCAAAGAGTCCATTACGATTTTTTTTGTATAAAACACACATTTTTTTCATTTTCGCCAATAACTTTATTGATTTGGATATTTTCAGTATGTTGCCTATGGGCAGAGGTCGGGGGCGCTGCTGAACACCTTCCAGTGCGTCAGACAGCCCCACAGCAAAGGGTTATTTGGCCAAAATGTCAAAAGTACCAAGAGACTTTGCAAACCACTTTTGACACGTTCCATCAGTCACAGCACCTTCTCCATACACTGCACAGATCTTTTTTTGCATTTCAGCTGCATTTTTACCTTTGTTAATAAAGCAAAATATGCTAAAAATGTTGCATATCTTTTTTCATCTTCAATATTAAAATGGCTGCACAAAAATTCACCAATTTTGATGTTTTTCTTAAATGCATTTTATATTTAGTGTTTCTTGTAGCTGTCACAATACAATCTAACAAAATTGTTTCAAGTTGAAGACAACTCAGCATTTTCCTTGAACAATTAAAATAAAAAACAAAACAAAAACAAACAAAAGACAACTGAGCGGGACCAGCGCCGCCGCCACCGTGCAGAAGACAAAGGAACTACTTGCCCAGTACCCGCCTTCGAGTTCTTCCACCAGCGTCAGTGTTCAGTGCGTGGGTCTTTCGTCTTCTCAGTTAAAGTCATTCTTAGATATTTATCCTTTTTTGATGCAATTGTAAGTGGAATTAATTCCTTTTTCTTAAAGTGCATTCCTGGAGCATAGAAACACACCAGATTTTTGTAGATAGGTTTTGGATTTGCTGGCTTTGTTAGGTACAACAGTTTTTTGGTGGAGTCTTTAGGGTTTTCTCTGTATAACATGTCATACGCAAATAATGGCAGTTTTACTGCTTCCCTCCCAATCTGGATACTTCTTCCTTTTTCCTGCCTACCTGCTCTGTATGGGGCTTCCAGTACCAGAGTTGGCCGACGAGTCCCTTTCCCTGCACACCGGCTCCTGGCAATGCCTGTAGTGAGTTCTGCCTCTTCACAGAAAAGCCGTCCACTGAGCTCTCAGCCCTGGTCCACGTCCTCACCTTTTCTCTCAAGGACACGAGGCAGACAGAGTTGGGGCACACCCTGGCCCTCATTTAACCCCATCACGTCATTAAAGACACCGTCTCCACACACACTCACACTGTGAGGTGCGGGGTGAAGTCATCGTACGGAAACTGAGGGCACCCAATTGCACCCAATGGGTCTTTCAAGTAATCGGTGCAGTTCATCCAAGATGATGAACATATGACCCTGTTATTTCTAGTACTTTCTTCTGATCTTTTATACATTTATTGGGTCTCTAGTGATTTCCCCTTGTCACTCTTGGTACTGAGTTGTCTTTACTTTTTTCTGATTAGCCCGTCTTGAGCAAGAGCTAGACCAGACCCACCAATGAAGTTCACCAACCTCTGGGCTAGAATTTCACCAACTTTATTCTTTCCAAAATATCATTGGTTTCATTTTCTCTAATGTTTTTGTTCACTATTAATTCCACTTGCTTTTATTACCTCCTTCGTTTTGCTTACTTTTAGTTTGCTTTTTCCCCCACTCATTCCAGCTGACAGTTGAAATACTGATTTAAAATCCTTCTAATAAAGGTATTTAGAACAATAAATTTCCTCAGGTATTGCTTTAGCTACATCCAACAATTTTTCAAATGGTTTTTATTTTCATTCAGTTTGGAGTATTTTTTCCCTTCTTTTTACCCATGGGTTATATAAAAGCGTATCACTGACTTTCAGATGGTTTATGAGTTTCCATGTTTTCCTGGTATTGATTCCTTATTCCGTTGTGCCTAGCAAATATGCTTTACATTATCTGAACCCACTTAAAGTCCTTGGAATTTGTCTTATGTCCCAAGGCATGTTGTATCTCAGTAGAGTTTCATGTGAACTTCCAAATATTCATTCCACTGCAGTTGCAGTGTTCTGCAGAGCTCCCGTAATTGTACTCGGATTATAGTACTATCTTTTATATCCTTAGTAGTTTTTTGTCTGCTTGTTCTACTAATTACTGAGACGTTAAAATTTACAACTGTAATCATGGATGTCTGTGCAAGAAATACACTTTTGCTTTCTGTATTTCAAAGCTCTAAGCTTAGGTACACATTTAGGATTATGTCTTTCTGATGAACTGCCCTGGTAGATTATAAAATGACCCATTTATGTCATAGTTTTGTTTAAAAATGTATCTTCTCTGGTATCAATATAGATACTCCAGCCTCCTTTCAGTTATTGTTTACACAGTATACCTTTCTCCATCCTCTTCATTCCTTAACCTGTTTGGTTATGCAATTACTTAGCCTTTATATTTAGTGTGTTTCTTGCAAACATTATATAACTGCATCTTGCTTTCATAACCAATTCAACAATCTCTGAATTTTAATTTGGCTATTTAATGAGGTTAACATGATTTCTAGAAAACATTTCTGGAAATATTTGTTTCCTATCTGTCCTATCTGTTTTTGTTTCCTGTACTTTTTCTGCTTTCTTTTGAATTATGTATTTGTAATGATTCCATCTGTCACTTGTTAAACCACCAGCTTTTTCTTTTCCCTGTGGTGGTTTAAGGCTTGTAGTACGTCTTTAACGTACCACAATCTACCTTCAAGTCCTTACACAAAAGTATTACTTCCTTACTCTCCTCCCACCTCTCTGGCTTATGTTGTTTAAAACCAATAATGTTATACTTTTGATTTACTCAATCACCTTTAATAAATTTAAAAATAAGAAAAAATATATACATTTTCAACACTTAGAACTCCTAGTGCTTTCTATTCCTTTCTAAATTTATATCTCATATGTTCCTTTTGTTGAAAGGACTTCCTTTAACATTTCTGACAGTGTAGGTCTGTTGATGAATTAAACTCAGTATTTTGTCTTTGTTTTCGGAAGCTATTTTCACTAGGCATGGAATTCTAGGTTGGTATTTTTAAAAGGCTTTACTTACTTATTTTCAGAGAGAGACGAAGAGTGGGAGAAAGAGGAGAGAAAAATTGACGTGGGAGAGAAACACTGATCGGGTGCCTCTCATACACGGGGATCAAACCCGACACCCAGGCCTATGCCCTGTGTCCGAGTCGGCCACCTTTCACTGCACAGGACAAAGCCACCCAGTGGAGCCCCGTGGGTCAGGGTTGGGCTGGTGGTGTTTGTCCCTTCAAATGTACTTTACAGCATCTTCAAAAATGGAAAGGTAACTCAATGTCTTCTTCCTTGCATTTTTTCTGGTGAGAAGCCTTGCCATTTCATCTGTGCTCATCTGTACTTTAAATGTTTTCTATTTGCTTTTAAACTTTTGAACCACTGGTTTTGAACAGAATTTTGCTTCTTTTGCTAGGACTTCAATGAGCTTCTTGGATTTGTGGGGTTATAGTTTTCATCAAGTTTGGCAATTGCACATCATTAATTCTTCAAGTATTTTTTTCTTTCCCCTCATCTGTTCACTTGGGGACACAAAATGTAAGAATAAAATTTGTGCCTGAGGTTTTCCCCTACCTCACTGATATATCCTAATTTTTTCAGGTTTTATCATTGCTGTCTCTAAATTCACTAATCCTTAGCAGTGTCAAATATGCTCATTGTTACTTTATATCCCTTGACATCCTATTTTTCACCTGCAGCAGTTTGATTTGGATTTAACATGCTCAATCTTTTCTCTACAGACTTGAACGTACAGGTTGTAATGTTTAATAATTATGTAGTACTTTAATAAAACTTATGTAATACAACTGTTTTATAGTTACTTTGGTGTCATCCCATAGTAATTCTATCTTTTTATTTTTTTCCGAGTGCATTTACTGATTGTTTCTTGCCCTCATTTTGGACTGTATTTTCCTGCTTTGTGGTGGGTCTGCTAATATTTAGTTGTGACACCAAGCATAAATTTTACCTTATTTGCTGCACATTTTGGTAGTCCACTAACCATTCTAAGCTTTATTTAGAATGCAGTAACTTGCAGTAACTCATCTTCTTGAGGCTCGCTTCTCAGCTCTGACAGGCCAGACCAGAAGAATCCACGTTCAGGATGTTTTCACCCCTCCCTCCTGAGACGACGCACCCAGCACGCTAAGCAGTGCCCTCTGATCGCCTGTGTTTCCGCTCTTGCTAGTGGAAACACAAGTTAGTTTGGGTGCTACAAAGGTGTTCTTTTTCTGCCCCTTCGGGCAGTCTCCTGTCCAGAGGCCCTGAGGCACCGAGTGGAGACCCAAGGAAAGCCCCCCGCAGGCACTGGCAGCTGAGCTCTCCCCCAACCCTGTGCTCCGCTGAGTCATGCCCCGTGCCCTGCCCTGGCTCACCTTCCCTGCTTCTCCGCCCTCAGAGAGCTCCGTCCTGCCTTGCCTTACAGCCAACCCGTGGAAGCAGTTGCTTCCGACATTCTGCATTACTTTCAGTAGCTTCTCATAGGAGTTCGTTTTTCCATGCTGGCTGCTGGAAGTACTTCGTCAGAAATAAATCTGTTTCGATCTTCTGTCAAACTGCTTTGTTTTTGGCTGAGGAAGAGGCATTATTAGCTACCTAAACCACTTTAAAAAACAAAGCCAGTTACCATTTTCAGCGAGAGAATGCTTCTCCCTAGGGTAATCACCATCTTCCCCCCACAATATCCTTCAGGGACACAGCCACACTGTGTAAGTGACAGTGGCTCCCAAGTGCAGCCTCCCTGGGAGACAGGGCATGCAGGTGTGGTTTGCAGGGGACACCTCAGGAGACACTAGCACACCAGAAACTCACATCTCTGACTTTTCTTTATTATGTCCTCCTCAGGAACACCTTAGCCCTTTATTAAGGATCCTCACGATCACTTCTGAGAGTCAGAACACGCTTTGCCAATGACCAGTTTAAATAAAACAACCTGGTTCACTTAACCTATTGTACAGCACTTGCCTACACTGAGCCCAATTACAATCCCAGCACAAACGTGAGCTGGCCATGTCGTCAACGCATTTCTAACTGCTACTAGCTAGTATGTAAGATTTCCAAATGTATGTACACAAGGCAGATTGAATAAGTTTCCAATTTTTGGTAATCTAAGGTTTTGGAATTTTGGGTTGCAAGCTATAGGAACTGATTTCTTGTTGAGCAAAAACTTAATGAAGTGGAAGGAGTTCCGCAGAATGAAAGGCTAAAGGACCAGGCAGCACATGAGGCACTCCAGTCTGTCCCCCTCATTCTGAATTATTCTCCACCATCTCCTTGAACTACAGGAACAGGATATCCATTGAACCGTGTTTTGGTCCAATCCTCACAATATTAAAACAAGTGACTGTCAGCCCCACCAAAACCCCATCCAGGGGAGAATGAGTTAACTCTACAAGTAAAAACTGAGGTGTGACTATGAGGAGGGAAGAAAAGATGCAGGACATAACAACGTCAAAATATTTTTACATGGATTAAACTGTGGGTCCTAATTTTTCCTATGTTTGGACCAGGGGAATCGTCAGCGGCAAGTTAGAACTGAAGCATTAGTGCCCTCACTGTCCTCTGTTGCGGTTGGTGAGCAGTCGTGGAACTTTTCTTAGTCTCTCCCTAATTACGGGCCCTTTCCAACTTCTTACCCCTGAAAGCTGATTTTAAAGACAGCTATGCACAATCACACCCACATCACATAACCCAGAACTGCCTCGGTCCACATCCCCTTGGTCCCAGATTTCGGCCTAAACATGCCGTGCAGCTGGGCACCTCCTCCTCTGGCACTGGGGCCCACTCCCTTCTCAAGTTCCTTCTCACCCCCTGGCGTGAAGGTCAAGAAAGGAAGCTCCGCTGCCTCAACACTCAGACATTGCCATTATGCGCGGGCAATGCGGCAGTTTTGGGGGCACGAACGATAGGGCACTACACGACCGGCCGAGGTCTGCGGCCTCGCTCTGCTGGGGTCCCCAGCTGTGCAGATGTGGCCTCCGTTTCCTCCCTTAGTTCGTCCTTTCCTCTCGTCTGACCTGTTGCAGCGCCTTCAAAATCAGCGCGCGCTCTCCCCTTCCTGTCACTTGCGCATCCTCTATAGCAGTTTCGGGAAGAAACCATTACGGAGGAGAGAACAAAGCAGTTCCTAGTCTCAGCTTTATCCTTGGATCATATGTATCTGTATCCTTGGGAAAAAATTACTTTTCTGTTAAAGTGTCAACGAAAAATAGAGTCTGGTTTTACAACACAGGTTTTCAAACTACGGTCACAGAAAAGTCCTGGTGTTACACCGCCAGGTAAAACCGAATGGCATTTTCCATCCGTTTTAGACAATATGTGAAGGGGCACATTCTTCAACCACTGAGTCTCCCGCTGTCTTTAAACTGAGAGCATCTCCTTGTTCTGCTCAGTAACTCGGTGGTTTCCCCTCTACACGCAGCGCGCCCCCGCCTGCGGCCCGCGCACCGGGTCCGGGCGGGGGCGCACTCGTCGCACCGCCGCCGTGTGTGTCTGGGCAGAACTCCGCCCGCTCCGGTGACCAGGAAACGTGCCTTCCGGGGATGCTGAGGACACCCGAGGAAGCCCGGAGAGACTCTCCTAGGTTCCGTGGGACCGCCCGCGCTAAGCTACGGAACCAAGGCCGCGCCAGCCACGGCGCGCTCCGGCGCGGACGTTTGCTGCCCTACCGGGGACGCCTGCCTCCCCGCTGGGCAGCCCGTCGCCCGCCACTCACAGACTCCTTCTCAAACATGCTAAGCCGCCTATCTTTCCGAGGCGTCGTCGCAGACTGCAGAGCGAGCTGGTTCGAAGGAACCTTCCCTCCTCGACCCCGCTTCTCCATCCCTCCCTCCTCTGCGACACGCCCAGCAGCGCGTCTCCACCGCCCACAAACGACAGGCCGCCTCTCGTGAGAAGTCGAGGTTCGCGCCTGCGCCGCGCCGGCCGGAAGTGCGGGCCGGAGTACACGTTATCACGCGGCGCCGGCGGCCTGGAGCCGGAAATCATGGAGGTAGAATCGGTAGGGGGGGGGATGTACCCTGGCGTTACCTTTGCGCGCCTCTAGCGGGGTACCTTCGGCGGGGCGCGCGGCAGTGACTGCACAGATCCCCGCCGTAGGCGATGCCCTCAGGAGCCCCCGGCATAGGCTGGTCGGCCACGTCCGCCCTTTGTCAGTGACCAGCCTGAGGGCGGGCGCCTGCCTCGACCCCAAAGCGCAGCCCCACCTAGGTCTGTCCCGGGCCCGGGTCGACTCCCCTTTGGGCCCCCGGTGTAAGGGCCTTGTAGGGGCGGGGCGCCGGTGCTCGGACGCGGGCACAGCCTGGTGGCTACGAGAACGTAGAGCTGTTCGCCGAGAGCCAGGGCTAGCGGGCAACTCCAGTCACCTGCTGCTTATTCCCACCGCGCCGTCTGTGTCGTACACCAAGCAATGTGGGCGGTCCTGCGTCGTGAAACGGCCTCTGTGGCTCACACTTGCCCACTAAAGTCATCTTTGACCTTTTTAGGCCAATCTGACCACAAAATACCTAGTCACAAGGACGTTGTTGGCTGTAGGTGGGACTCTGCTGTTGCCATGAAATAAGGACTTTGTGCATTTCCCTTCACGCAGTTGCATGTCAGACCTCCATCATCAGCAGTGGTCACTAGTTAGTACTACATGCTGGGTGCTCTTCAAGTATTATCTCAAATGTCTGCTGTGCTGGAAGGGGATAATATTTTTGCACCACTTTGCAATTGAATTGAGGCTCAGACACGTTCTGAGCAAGAGGTAACTTTTTCAAGGCAAGAGGTACAAAAATTCTGAGAATGAATTAAAATTTAAGCCTTTCTGGTCCGAAATAGGATGTCTGCACAACCCCATGCTGCCCTGATCGAGACTTCAAAGTCCCAAAGGAGTACAAGGGCAAAGCTGGTGCAGGCACCTGTCCACGGGTGGCTGTGGGGGCTTCGTGTGCAGTGGGGAAGAGGTGCTTGTAACGGTTCCACGGGACATGGGATCTTTCACAATGGACAGTTTTAAGTATTGTAGCACCTGATATTTGTTGATTCAAAGAGGTGCAACTCATTCCTTTAGAGTTTGGATGCTTTTTAAAAATGCAGAATCCCTTTTGATGTGAACAAAGGCCTAGAGTATTATGTTTCTGTATCAGTCAGGAGAGAAACCACACTCGTTTTTAGACTAAGAAGTTAACTGGCCCAGGCTGGTGTGGCTCAGTGGATTGAGCACTGGCCTGCAAACCAAGGGGTCACTGGTTCAATTCCCAGTCAGGGCACATGCCTCAATTGCAGACCAGGTCCCTGGTTGGGGGCAGGTGAGAGGCAGCCACACATTGATGTATCTCTTCCTCTCCTCCCTCCCTGCCCCTCTGTCCAAAATAAATAAATAAAGTTCACTGGATAAAGATAAGAAGAGATCTCTCCAAACCCGGTGGTGGCATCATAGGAGCATTACTTTCCCCAGCACCAGGGAGCCACGGAAAAGGGGTGGGGTTTTACAACTTAGAACTGAAGAGGAGGGTCATCTGGAAGCAACTGTTGAGGGGACGTGCTGGACTCTAGGGTTTGGTGGGGTCAGGGTGACACCAGGCCTGCATGGGTGGGGAACCTGCAAACCACTCAGCTGCTGGTGCAGGGGGATGACAGCAGACACCAGAAAGTGGACAGGAAGTCCCCAGGCTGCAGGAGCAAGTCCCATGCTCCCTGTCTTCTTACACTGGCCACCTGCAGTGCTCCGCTGAGCCAGAGAGAACCTGGAGTGACTCAGGCAGCCGTCTGGGACAGCTCCCCAGCTGCCGGGCCTGCAGGCACCGCGCCAGCGCCAGCACCAGCACCGAGAGAGAGAGAGAGAGAGAGAGAGAGAGAGAGAGAGAGAGAGAGAGAGAGAGACATGAACCTCCCCGAGGGCAGGAAGATGCTGAGCAGGGTGGGGACTTACACTGGCCAGCTGCCAGCTTAGGGAGCCCCCGGGGCTTTATGACCAATGTCACAGGTGACACCTCGCAACCCGACCCAGCACATGAAGGCCCAGGTGACCTTGGTGTCATGTGGGATGGTCATGGGGACCCTTCATGGAGAAGCAGTGTGGGTTGCTGCTTTAAACACTTGAGTTTTGTAAACTCATGCTTAACAAACATTATGATTAAGTAAAGTTTAAATGTTTAAACATTTATTTGAAATTTTTTACATAAGTTATCTTTAATTACTATTTATGTTTTAAAGACTTTGTTTATTTTTAGAGAGAGGGGAAAGGAGGGGGGAAGGGAGGGAGAGAAATATCAATGTGTAGTTGCCTCTCACATGCCCCCTACTAGGGACCTGGCCCACAACCCAGGCATGTGTCCTGACTGGGAATTGAACCCATGACCCTTTGGTTCATAGGTCAGCACTCAATCCACTGAGCCACACCAGCCAGGGATCTTTAATTACTATTTAATCACAATGGCTTTTTTTTTTGTTTTTTAGTTTTTATTTATTGGTCTTTAGAGGGGCAGGGAAGTAGAAAGGGAGAGAAACATCAATGTGTGGTTGCCTCTCATGCGTCCCCTGCTGAGAACTGGCCTGCAACCCAGGCATGTGCCCTGACTGGGAATCAAACCGCAGTCCTCTGGTTCGCAGGCCCACGCTCAATCCACTGAGCTGCATCAGCCAGGTTAATCACAATGTTTTAATCATATGGTTCTTGTAAGATGCACAGTGTTAACAGTAGTTGTACCTGAGTATATTCTGTACGTAGAATGTTCTCATGTTACATGGATAACTAGTACTCCTCTGGTTTTACTCCTGTGGAACAGCATCTTTGACGTTCTCTGTTTCAGATTGCACTAGAGGATTCTCTCAGCACTTGCCTCTCGCCCTCCGTCCATGATATGATCTGCACACTCGGCTTTGAACTCAGAGAAAACCGAGACATCAATAGCATTGTCACTCAGGATGGGGACGTGTGCTGGCGGACAATCACAGAGTGTGTGACTGACGCGGGACCAGGTCTGCCCCTGCTCCGCACCCCGGACCCCTGTTGTGCCTTCTGTTTGAAATGGCTTGACGTGTGAGACACCCCTTCTGACGGTTACACTGTTTGGTCAGAGGACGTTATCAAACTGGTCTGACTCTAGAGAGGGAAGGAATTGGGTGAGAAGAGAGGGAATGAGGCCGGAGAGGCGCAGGAGAGTTTTGGGCACACCAGGCTGAGAAGGCCTCCTGCGGGAGTGAGAGGTCAGGAGGCAGCGAGGGTCAGCGGGCTGCAGGTGGCTCGGGTCTCAGCTCCAGGCCTGCAGTCAAGGCTGAAAAGGGGAGAAAGTACCAGCCATGGGTTAGGTATAAATGACCAGTGACACACTACCCAGTTGTTTTACATCTCTTCCACCCATTTTCATGCATGCTTTGGAGCAGGGAGTTGCCCTGGACATATAACAATAGTTTTCAAAATGACAGGCAGATGTGCTTAGCCCAGCAGGTCTGTCACAGGAGTTTATGAGACTGGCACACTTACAGACAGGAAAGCGTGGGTGTGCAAGTCTCCTTGCCATGTCGTTTGTAACCACCAGGAAGACAGAAGCACTAGAGACAGCCGGCAGCAGGGATCAGCGAGGAAAATCACGACCATTTCAGAGGAATATTAGGCAGCAGAGAAGAAGGATGAGGGCCCAGCTTTCTGGTGTCAGCATCTCAGAGCCACATTGCTAAGAGCAAAAAAGAGGATCGTGTACTTGTATTTGCTTCTATATGTGTAACTATTTCTAAATGCATGCGAGGGATTAATAACAGCAGCAGCTCCAGGAAGGAGAAGTCAGTGGCCAGGAAGGGACTTACCCTTTTCTGTTTTCTGGTCATGAACCATCTGGATACTCAGCCCCAAACATATTTAAGAAGTTTGTAACATAAATGTGTTCTGAAATAACTAAGGTTGCTGGAAATTTCCCAGTCTAACAATGTTAGACAAAATTCAAGTTAAAATATTACATATACAGCATGAACTGGATTTTGTAAAAACTTATATACAGGTAAAGGAATTGAAGAAAATGTTTTTTTCTCTTGTGTGAGCCGTTCTGTATTTTCCAAACTCTCTGCTGGTAGCCTATTTTTCTTTTGTCATCAGTTAAGCACTGATTTCCAATGTAGGTGTATCTTTTTTGTTGTTCCCTTATATAAACAGGTGTTGATTTTGTGGAAGTTCTGTAATTAGAGCACCGCTCCTTCGGTGATGCTGACATGCGCCTCCTGTGCTTTGTGCTGTGACACTGACTTGTTTTCTTGCTCCTCGAAGCCCAGGGTCTGGATTTCCGGGAAAGCGTGCGGCTGCTGGGGCCGGTCTGTGAGGCCGTCCACTCACACCTGCTGTCCCTGACCGAGGAGCAGTTTGGGATGCAGTACACACCCTGGCTCCAGTGGACACACGCCCCAGAGGTCCGCCTCTGCAGTCCCTCTTAGAAACCTTCACTACTTGCTAATTTTAAAGGGGTCTCCTCGGGGCGCCTCCTCTGACCGTGAAGAAGCTGAGAGGCCCATGAGGGAAACTGGGGCTGCCCTGCAGCGTCTCCGAGCCTGAGCTGAGAAGCAAGCCCTGAGGCCAAGGGTGGTGGGGGGCGCAGTGCCAGGACGGGCTTGGTCTGTGGGCGCAGGTGCTGGGACAGAAGTCCAGTGAGTGTTTGCAGAGAGAAGAAAGGCCTGGACAGAGCAGTGGGGCCCAGAGCCTGGAGAGGGGCTGCGGCCTGGTGCAAGGCGACGTGGACAGGGTGGGCGTTCAAGGCCTGCACCTCATTTGGGTTTGTTGGTTGGTTGGCACAAACCCACCATCGCACTTGGCATGTCAAACCCCGCAGTGCGGCAGAAACACGTCCGGTCGCAAACCTCCCGACCTGTGACCTGGTGTGGAAGGGCCATGGCCTCTCCCTCTGCAGTGGCACCCGCGAGTGACACACTGCCTCGTGTGTCTCTGTCCTTAGGAACTAATCAAAACGGGAGATAAGGCGTAGGTCAGCGTATTGGGCTTTTCAGTTTACAATTACATCACACTTACTGCTTTCAGTAAACATTTAACTAAAGGGCTTTCAAAGAACTCCTTAGATAGTAAGTTTTCACTATTTAGATATTGTCATATTTATGCAGAAAATGTTTACAGATTCCAAGAAAGTCATCTAAATACGACAATCAAATCTTTAGAGGTTTGAATTTTGTGAATAGTCTTGTTACTTTGAGAAACATTTCTTATTCAGCCCACAAATTCTAACATGTCTCTTATTCCGAACAGTTATTCCCGGAAATCTGTGACGCCTTGGCGAGCCGGCATGCTCCTGCCATTTCTCTGAGCTTAATGAAGCTGACGTCCTGCCTGGAGCGGGCCTTGGGAGACGTACGTGCGAGAACCTGCGTCCTCAGGCCTTCAGAGTGTCTGGGTGACAGTCGCCTGTTCCGTACTCACCCTCAGACCCCCCCGGTTTTCGTTGTCGTTCTCCCATAACGGGCACTCACCTGGCACTTACTGTCTTTTGGATGACTGTGAAGTGAGCACGTGGGTGTCCCCAGTACTTGTCACCCTCCCCACGTCTGTGGAAATGCGTGGTGTGAGTCGCTTTTTTCTGAGGTCACTTGGCTCCTTATGCGATTTTCGTTTGGATTCCAGGTGTTCTTGCTGGTTGGGAGAGAGTGCCCCTTCCTCTTACGGGACCTGCTGGCATCGCAGGAGCTCGCCGACGTCTTCGGGAAGCCCGTGGTAAGCTCGCCGGCCCGCGGCTCGCAGGGCAGGTGCAGCAGGGCAGGTGCTGCCCTTCCGTTCCTCGGAAACAGATGCTGATTATGGGGGAAGTGAGTTACAGCAGTGTTTTCAGCACATCCGTTCCCACTTCTTTGAAAGTTGCTGCTCCAGAAGCCAGAAGACACGCCCCCGCCCTTCCCAAGCCTGACGCGTAGCTGAGTGGTGTGACCGCCTCGGCCAGTCGCATGAGCCACTTTACATCCACTGCTTTCGTTACTTAAGTGTGACGATTATAACACTGATTTGTTCTGGAACAAGATTCTCCCTCTTCACAGATGTTACGATTTTATTCTGAAATGTCAGTATTTTCAACATGAGATTATGCCCTTTGCAACTCTGCAGATTTGTGGCGGACAGTGTGAAAGTCAGTCAGGAAACTGTACCGTGCAGAACCTTGCGGCCGGCCCGCGGCCAGCACTGCTGGAGGCCGGCTGCCGGGCCCCAGGGAGAGGCAGGGCCCAGGGGAAGGAAGACCAGGCGCCAGCACCTGGCGGGGGAGCCTGCTCAGCCGGCAGACGTTTGCAACAACCGAATCACACCTCGCAGGCTCGACACACGATTCCTGGGTCAGGAGAGCTTCCCAGTCTGTTCGGGGCCTCCTCACCCCTCGTCATCTTGAGGATCGCTTTCTGTGTTTTCCTACTTTTTAATTTCTTTGTGGAGAGTGTGGGACCGAGGAAGGTGGGGTGTCTGGCTGCCACACGGACGTGGCGAACGAGGGCCGAGCGCCTCAGCTCCGACCTGCCCTTCCCAGCCTCTGGTCAGCCTGCAGCGGCTTCCCCCAGGTGGCCAGTCTCTGCCCGCTCGGGCGGTGTGAACAGCTACATAAACCTAACGTTAAATTAAAGTCAACGACATTACATTACTTCTATTGTCAGAGTCCCTGGCAATTGATACTGAAGGGTCAAGGTCACATGTGCAAAGCAGCCTGGAGCAGCGTGGGGGGCTGCTGTGAGGTCCTCTCTCCGAGGTCTGCGCCCTGGCTTCAGTTCGGCTTCAGTTCGACCTCAGGGTGGGACTGGACAGTCCCCATCGGCCCCCGGTCCCTGTCCAGGGGGCACAGAGAGGGCTGTCCTCCCTCCGCTGGGCCCCGCAGGCACAGCTCTTCTCCCGCGACCTGGCACTGTGTCCTCTGAGTCTGGGGCCCTGCGGTCTTCTCAGTCCCTTCAGAAGTGTGTGCTGCACACCCAGACGCCACCGTGAGCACAAATGCGTGGTCATAGCCGTCCCTTATGCAGGGTCCCTGTCATGGGTGTGTCATCACTTGACAGGTGGAGGTGACCCGGGAGCTTCAAGTGCGGGAGGCCAGCCGGTGTCTCAGTGGCTCAGCCTCTCCAGAGGGCCCTTCCTGTCCCGCTGCACAAGTGCCCGTGGCCCCAGTGGTCCTTCTGTGCTGGGCGGTGGTCGGTGTCATTTTCTGGAGACGGGAGGCTCGACGATGCCCAGCACCCACGGGACAGACCTCAGCCTGCCCTCGGGTCGCTCCTCTGAGCTCCCGTCTGCACAGTGCCACCCTGGCGCTTCACAGGGGCTGTTCTGAGGGCGAGTGGGTGACAGGTGTGCACGCTGACTGCTCGGTGAGCGGTGGCGGCGCCAGTTGCTTCTGTGCCGACAGTGACGGGGGCGGCACACTAACCACGCTGCCCCTGGTTCTGCTCCTTCTGAGGAAGGAGAGCGTTTTCCCTGTTCAGCGTCCGAATGGCGACTCACCTGACTGACCCCGGTGTCCCTCCCGTGCCCAGATGCAGGTGCTGACCGTCCTCGTGGGCTCGCCGAGCGGGCTCAACCTGCGCAACGTCCTGTGGCATGGCTTCGCATCGCCCCGGGAGGTGCCTGCCAAGTAGGTTGCTGCCTCCCACCGAGAGTCTGTCCGTCTGTGCTCTCACGGCCCGGACACCTGCGTGTCCGGAAGCGGGGGCAGGGCCCCTGCAGCGGTGACAGCCCTGCTGGGCTGGCGGGCACCCCGAGGGCAACTCAGCGCGGGAACGGGGTGGGGACATCACCAAGGTCGCAGCTCACGGGCATCTGAGAGTCTCCTCCGACCGACACAGCACAACTTCACTTCGCTTTCTTACGCTGGAACTTCTAAAAGTGACGCTTTTTATTCGCGGGACTGGTTCATCTTCTTAGCAGGTTGCTGGCATTTCCCACCAGGTACTGTTCGACGATGGTGCTGCTGACGGCCGGACTGGGTCAGCTGCTGCGGATGTACCTTCAGCGGACTGGACGCACGGTGGCCCCTCGGCCCCTCCTCACTCTCACGGAGTCCGAGGATTTGCTGGTTTTCCCTGGCAAGTACCGCGTTCGGCACCGTCCCCCGAGTGCCTGTCCATACACGTGTCTAAGCCATCAGGTGGCACCCAGATCGAACTCTAGGTGGAATGCGGCCCACCCTCTCCCTGCTGTGACCTGGGCTGTTGTCGGGGGGCATCCGTGGGTCCGTGTGAGGGGTGGATTTGGGTTGTCTCCCACATGGACCCACACACACGTGGCCTCAGACCATTGTGCCACATGCTTGCTCTTCACCACTTTCCCTCGCGCTGCGTGCTCGTGGGGCTGTGCCAATGGTGCCGGGACCGTCGGGGTCCCGCCGCCCCTTCTGCTTCTTGCCACGGGCCCCAGCAGCTCACCGACGGCGGGTGGGCGGCCGGGACTCTGACAGAGCAGCTCGACCCCGTGTTTGCCCCGGGGTCGCCTTCTCCATGTTGGTGGCTGTGGTGTGAGGCCTGCGTCTGCCCGTGAGGCCCGGGGAGGGGACAGGGTGGCTCCTGCTGCCCTCGCTGTCTCGGCCTGTGCCGCGGACCCTTCTCATGGTCTGGACTGTCAATAATGTATTTAAGAGTTTTTTAAAAGTTTTAAGTTTATAGCAAAAGTGAGGGAGAGGTACAGAGACGCCCCTGGCAGGACAGTCTCCCCAGCCGATGTGTTCTCAGCCCCCCCCCCCCGGCTGGGGTGTTAGTCACCAAGGATGAACCTGCTTTGACACGTCACAGGCTCCCCAAAGTTTGTGGTTTATCTCAGCATTCACTGCCGGTTCCTGTGCCGTCTGAGGATGCGTTTTCTCGGTCAGTGTGGTCAGCCGGTCAACCTTGAACTCTTGTGCAGAATGTTTTAGCCAAAATCCCCGAGGAGGCGCAGCCGCCCGCAGCCGCTGCCTTCCAGCCCCTGCAGTCGCCTGCAGCGGGGCGTGGTTCGGGGTGGTCTTCTTCGCCTTTGGCCGCGCAGGGTCCTGGGGGCGGCAGTTCCCCTCCATAAGGAGAGGGGCTCATCGCCTCGGTCCCCGAGTGGGCAGGTTCTCGGTGCGTCAGAGGGTTGTGCGCTAAGTCCCTGCTGTTCTGCAGACGTTACTGATGAGACACTCTCAGTGTTGGAGGAAGTGATGAAGAAATCCCCTTTCATATTAAAAATCATGTTGCCGTATTGGGAAGTCGCACTGATGAGGTTCAAGTCCCACAGGTAAAGGAAAGGTGGTGTCGCACGGTGGCGACCGAACTTTGGGGGCGGGTCCTCCCCCAAACCCTCCGCCCCCGACCCTGGTCACTGGTGGCATCTAACTGGTCAGCGCCGGCCGGCTGGCGAGCAGGGCTGCTCGGGAAGCGAACACCCGTGTGCGGCGAGGGGAAGGTCTCGGCATCATGTGGTCGGTGCCGCAGTGCACTCGAGGGGGTGGCTGTTTTCTGGAGCCAACTTTGTAAAGTGCACTGAACCCTTCTGTGTCCAGTGTCCCCTTGCCAGGGAGCCGGGGAGGGGCCGGGGCTGCTGCCGTCGCGGGCCCTGCGGGCGGGCATGTGCGCGTCCCTGGGGGGTCATGGGTCTTCGGTCCCTCAGGCCACGTCTGCGGCCGTGGCCACATGTGGACACTGAGGACCTGCCGAAGTCCTGGGGTTCGAGGGTTTAGACGGGAAATGAATCAAGCAGATTTGGTGATGTTTTCCCACTGAGGCACCTGAAAAGGCCCATCTCACATCGAAACCCTGGGAAGGTTTGCAGTCGCTGGTCTGGAGCGACTCCGATGCTCCTCCCGTGTCATCGCAGCGAGGGACACCCCCTCCCCACCTTGCGCGGGACACGCGGTGGCGTGTCAGCCGAACGCCGCACCTGGCGGCAGAGCCAGCGCGCGTTTCCTTGTTTTGCAGGTTTGCCGACTGCGCCGTGTTGCTGCTCACGCAGCTGGAGGCCGGCCTCCGGAACGTGTTTGCCGCCGTCAACAGGTGCCCCCGGAGACTGCTGACGGCCGAGGTGCGTGCGCACCAGTGGTGACCGGCGGTGGTGGCCGTCCTCCAGGCCCGGCCGCTGGCTCCCAGTGGCACATCTGTGTCGGCATCAGATGCGCTTCTTAGCCACGAGCTCCCACGTTTGTGTCGCTTCCTCTCGTCGTGATTGTACAGGGTTTGTGTCTGTCTCACGCACGGCTGTGTTTGGTCGTTCCGCGTGTGCCCGGTGGTCTCCCCGTCCTGTCGTGAAACTCGTCACCCGTGTTCTCTCTCCGTAGCCGTTGGTGCCACCCCACAGGGTGGTCCGAGGTCCACCGCACGTCCCTCGTTGAGGACACGGCTTCCTTGTGGCCTAGCTGCACCGTCTCTGGGTGGCTGCCAGGGAGCCCACGGGCCAGGAAAGGCGGCCCCGAGGCACAGGACGGACGGCGCCTGCCGCGCCCCGTTTCCACACTCCTTCCCCTGCTGGTCTCCCCCTCGAGCCCCTTTGTGCTGATGTCCCTCCTGGTCCCGTCCCCGGTCCTGTGCTGTCTCTGCACTTGCCCCTGGAGCCCCCACAGCCGCACCGAGGCAGTCGCCGCGGTGGGAGCCGCCGTCAGACAACACTCGGGCCCGTGTCCCCAGGCTCTGCCTCCGCCCCTGGGTGTCCTGTTTGCTGAGAATCCTCCTGTGGGTTTTGCCCAGCGTCTCAAACTGGCTTTATTTCAGAGAAACTTGTTCGTCTCCCACGAGTTCCCTCTCCTTCATCTTCCCTGTCGCCCGGGCCCCAAACATCAGTGCTTCCTGTGGTTCTGCCTGCACTTTGTTCTCCGTGGCCGGCAGCTCGGTCTCCGCGCAGCTCACGTCAGACTTCGTGCCTTTTCTCTTCGGCACCGAAGCCTCGCCTGGCTGCTCCCGTGCTCAGCTGGGCTGGCCTGCCACCCAGTGGTCACGGCGCCCTCCCTGCTGCACCCACTCTCCCGTGGCCACTGCCTGTCTCCCACCGACGAGCCCCCGGGCCTCGCACACAAGGCTCACGCTTTTGACACAGAGTCGGGGGGGGGGTCTCAGCGTCCGGCCCGGGCTCTCTCCTGCTTCCTCCCCCTGATTTCTCTGGTGCGATTCGGCTCCCCACCGTTCAGTTCCTGAACCACCTGGCTGTCCCCGTTGGTCACCCCCGGCCCCTGCCCGACCCTGTAAGTCCGTGACAGTGGCCGCCCAGAGCGCTGTCTGCGCAGGTTCTCCTGCTGTATGTGGACGCACTGCGGCGTGGCCTCCTGTCGCTCTGTGGAGCTCCCTGGTGCAGGGTCCTTGAGATCAGGGGGCACTCACATTGTCCCCCGGGGCCGACGCCCGGAGCCTGTCACGCAGGCTGTGCCAGTCAGTGTGGTGAGGTTTCAGCAGGAGGAGCAGCACTGCCCGTCCCCACGTGGCTGTGCCGTGTGTCTGTCGGGTTGCGTGCCTTTGACCGAGCAGGCAAACGTGGGACTGTGCCTGCAGACGATGTGACTTCCAAGGAATTTCCCAAATGTCCACCGAGGCTTCTCTCCAGAGAGAGAGCTCAGCGTCGGTTTATCTGCGTTGAGGTCGGAGGGTGAGAGCGACGGCGCCCCTGCCACTCACACGCGGAAGAGAAAAGGCCCTGCACGCAGCCGACTGGGGCAGACGAGAAGCTCCGCCTCCGTGCGGGTGTGTGTGCTCCGCAGGCCGCCGGACGGACGTTTAGAACTGCCCGGGTTTGGGAGCCAAAGGCACAGGCTGCAGAGTCCCCGGCACAGTAAGGGACGCTGAAGAGCCCTTGCTAATGTCTGGTTGAAAACGCAGTATGAAGCGTTAGTAAGTAAGAACGCTTCGTGATAGCTGGCCCCGCAAAGTGCTGACTTCATCTCGTGATGCGTGCAGCCTTCCTGAGCGGGTCGCTGCTCACGCCTGTGGTGCAGAGGGACGCAGCCTCTGGAGGTCGAAGCCGGGCCTGGGACGCTGAGGGTGCTGGCGCCAGAGCCTTCCTCTGAACTCCCCACAGCGACACCAGGGAGGGCTGGAGGAGGTGCCCCGGTGTCCCGGCTTCCTGCGCAGCCCGGCCCCCTGCAGGGGCTGTGTGTCTGCGAGGCTGTGGGACCACCACTGCGAGGGCGTCCGAGCCGAGCCACGCACGGGTGGGGCCCGGGCAGCGCCAGGCCCGCTGCGTTCTCCTGTCCTTAGTGCCGAGTGCTCTGTCCGGACATTCTTCCCAAAGTGCTGCCTGATTTTTCAAAGAGGGTTTCATATTTGCTGCCATGTAGTAGCATTTTTCCTGCTTTGAATAGTACCATTGTGCTTGTATTTTGCTTAAATTGTTTCTTTTTTTTTCTTTCCTTTTCTGAAGTCGACGGCTCTTTACACCACCTTTGACGAAGTAAGTAAACGTAGAAGTTACAAGGTATCTTCAAACAAACACAAAACTAGAGACTGGCCTAAGGCCCGTGCTTGCGGGGAAGCGCTGATAGTCATGTGAACGGGAATCACTGTGGAGGGTTCGGTGCACTTTTCAGGCTGTTGGGGACCCGGTGCTGTTCACCAGGTTCCTGCAGTTACCACAGGCCAGCGCCCTGACATCAGGCGGCACCAGCAGGCGCGGGGCGGGCCCTGTGTGCGCTGTGACGACTGTGGAGATGCACCTGTTGGGCGGAAGGGGCGCTCCCTCGTTTTGCACGTGAAACGCAGCCGCAAGGCTGTCGTGTGCGCTGACACGTGCCATCCACATGTTCTGGGGGTGGGATTCGGAAGGTAGCATTGCCATTGGAAACACCTCTTCTCCCCCCTGGAGTGTGAAGGCTTTTGTTTGCACTGTCCTGGATGCCAATTCCCCTGCACCTTGGAGTTAGCCCGCAAGAGGAAGCAGGGGGTCTCTGTGGGGGCGCAGGCATCCGGGCCATGCTGCCTCAGGGTGGTTATTGAGTCCTCAGCAGAAAGGCGGTAGGGGATTGAGGAGGTCACGTGCTGACCTGCAGTCTGCTCTACCAGGTGAATGGTTTGAGGTTAGTAACCGCACACTCGGTGCCGTGGGGTTAGACCAGGCGGCACAGCCAGGCCTGTGTGGGGTGGGGGTGGGGGTGCGGGGCCGGACCAGGCTGGGGTTCCACCGTCCGAGTGCTGTGTGGCTCAGGAAGTGACTGGAAGATGCCAGGCACACTCACATGTGTACATGCAAACACACACACTATACACAGGTGCAAGAACATGTAAGTACATGTACACACATGCATACAACACACTTGCATTTACCAACACATGTGGGCACATGAACAGATGCTCGTGCAAGTATACACAAACATGCATGTGTGCCTGTAAACGCACATACAATATACGGGTGCTCGTGTGCACGCATACACGTGGGTACATGTAGACACATGCACACACAGACATGCCCACACAGTGAAGGACACGTGTGCACTCAAGGTCACCGAACAGGGGGAGAGGAGCCCCCTGACTGGTACCGGCCTCCCGTGCCACTGCCCCAGTTTCATCTGGCCGTCGCGGGAAGTTCTGAACTCACTTGTTTGTGCCGTTTCAGATCTTGGCAGAGCACCTGGGTGACGGCAGGACCAACCAGCTTCCTCTGCTCCTCGGAGAGCCCGCGATGGTAAAGTGTCCGACTCCTCGGTCCGCTGCTCTCGTCTGTGTGCGAGTGACGCGCGGTTCCCAAAGCAGCCTTCGCCCCGGCCCAGGCTCCGTGGCTCATGCCAGCTCACGGAGTCGCTGAGCTGCCGTGCGGTCCGAGCCCACGTCACCACTCGGGTGGGGCCGGCAGGGGTGCTGGCGGCGCAGGCCCACCTCCTGGGCGCCGTGGCCAAGCAGCCCAGTGCCCGGGACTGCGAGGCCTGGCTGGTGGCGTGGACTGTGCTCTGGGAGGCAGCAGCGTCAGTCAGGGGAGAGGGACGGGGGTGCCAGGCGGAGGAGCGTCCGTGGCCGTTCAGAGCCGTGGCATCACTGTTTCGAGTTTCACGAAGGTGTTGGGGCGACTCCTTGGACTGTCAGCAGTTCTGTGCTCGCTCCTCCAAACCGGGGCTGGCGGCCGCGGCGCTGCTGTGCCACGCAGACCCGCACGCAGGCCGGGCGCCCCTTCCCGCCGCTGGGAAATTAGGGCGGCGAGTGCCTTGCCCAGCACCTTCTCTGTCTTGAACCTGGGACACCTCCATGCCCCGCGGTTTGCCTGGGTCAGCAGCGCTCGGCCCCTTCCCCTCGAACCTGCAGGGCAGGCCCCGGACGTGGGCCGTTTAGAGGACAGCAGATGACAGGGGGGTGCCTGAGGGGCCGTGGGGCGCAGTGCTGGGGGGGTCCTCTGTTGCCTTGGAGACCTGGCTCCCAGACGCTCACTCAGCAGCTCTGTCGCTCACAGGAGGTGACGACAGGAAAGGGCGTGTTGCTCCGGCCCCGTAGCTCAGTTGGTTAGAGCACTGTCCCCACGCACACGGTTTCGGGTTCAGTCCCAGGGAGGGCACGCGCGAGAATCAACCAGTGATGCATGGGTGCCTCGGGCAACAAATCGGTGCCTCTTCTCTTTCCCTTTCCCCCTCCCCCTCTTCCTCCCCGCCCCCTTCCTCTCCCTCTCAAATCAATAAGTAAAAATCAAAAAGAGGAAAAGAACGGGTGAGTTTCATTTACCACTGGGCCAGGGGCCTAGGCCCCAGGCTCCTTTCCAGTCTCGCCCCCAGTGGCAGGGTGCGGCGAGGAGAGGGCTTCCCAGGAGAGTTCAGCTGGTTCCGTGCAGCCCGGTGGCCGTGAGCTCCGCCTCTCGGGGGCCGGCTCCAGCCTGCACGCTGCTCCTTAACCGTGTCGGGTGGGGCCCGCCGCCTCCCTCCCCTCTGCCGAGACCACTCACAGCGGGTTTTCTCTGTCTGCTTTCTGGAAGGAGTTTCTCTGGGACTTCCTGAACCACCAGGAGGGCCCCCGCGTCAGAGACCACCTGAGCCACGGTGAGGTCAGCTTGCCCAGCTTCCCCAGGGGGGTGGCGGCTCAGCTGCTCTCGTTCTCCCTGGTGCTTCTGCTGAGGTTCGTGGGTGGAGACGCCGCGTCAGAGTTGAAGGTACCGTGTCAGGGAGAAGGCCGATCACTGTTGCTCAGCTCGGAGATGTAGAGCTTATTTGTAATGCAATTAACTGTTCCTCATCTTAATTTGTGTGGCCTCCGTGGGGACGAGTGGGTGTGGGCTGGTTAGGTATACACATGTGACCCCGGCAACGAGTAAGCCAGCGCTGCCCTGGTCTGGAGAAACGTAACCCATTTCTCAAGAGCACCTTCGTATGGGAAGCTGCAAACCGAAGAACCGGACTAGGAGGCAGGACTCGCCGAGTATTTGGAACGGAGAATTTTACAGGCGTCTGTCTCATGGGCGGATGCAGTGTCCATCAGAAAACTAATTCTTTACTGTAGTGACATAAATGACTCGGGTTACAATGTTACTGATATTTCCATCTTTCCAGATGTTACGTGCCATAAGTACTGTTAGAGCCGTTTAGCAGCTCCAACACGGCAGGAACAGTGATCTGGTGGAAGGGGAGTAGCTAGGAAGTTGGGGGAGAGCGGGCCGGAGGGGCGCCTGCCAGGCCGACTCAGGACGGCGGACAGCAGGCCCTCTGCACCGGCCGTCCAGCCGCCGGGCCAGGGTCCTGCTCTCCCCACTCCCCCGCCTCCCAGGTTCTGCCCTCCCTGGAGAAAGGCGTCCCAGCCCGTGCGCCGCCCCCCCCCCAAGACCCGTGGCCGCCACGGGTCTGCCCGCTCACTGTGTCCTCAGCACAGCAGGCAGATGGGGCTCGGTTTCCCTGCTCAGGAGCCGCCGGCTGTCACCTCCGGGCAGAGCCCGTGCCTGGCTCTATGCGCCATCACGGACCTTCCTGCCATGGGTCCTGGCTGCCCCCCACATGGGGACCCCAAGGGCCCCTTCTGCATCTTGTGACCTTGTCTCGGGACCCCCTGCCCCCACCGCTGTGCGACCTCGGACTTGGGGTGAACGTGCAGCCACTCGTCGTCAGTCTTGTGACACCGAGGACCCAGGCACTCCCTGCTCACGCAGGACGGCCGCTGACCCCTGCCCGCCCCCGCCCCCGCCCCCGACGCCTCGTTTGCCCTGGTCTCCTCCCAGCTGACTTGGGCTTTCTGCTCCCAGTGGTGCCGGCTACACTCGATGGCGTTTTCACTGTTTCCAGGGTTTGTGTGTTTAGCAGTTACGCATTCAGAACCACGTAATTCTCTCTTGGTTGTATTGATGTTTTTTAAAGTATTTTACTTCTTTATTTTTAGAGAGAGGGGAAGGGGGGAGAAAGAGGGAGAGAAACATCAATGTGTGGTTGCCTCTCATGCGCCTCCTACTGGGGACCTGGCCTGCAACCCAGGTGTGTGCCCTGACTGGGAATCGAACTGGCGACCCTTTGCTTCACAGGCTTGTACTCAATCCACTGAGCTACACCAGCCAGGGCTGTGGATTTTTAATGTTTAATCCTGTCTTTAGGAGGATCTGTTCAGTTTTCCAAATGTTTAGAATCTCTTTTTCTCATTTATTTCTGGTCGTCTTGCACTGTGGACGAGAGTGGGTGTGGCCTTTTTGTTGCTGATCGTGGCTTCTTTTGAAGCCATTCTATTGGTCGTGAGGGGACTGCGCCTCACTCCTTCTCTAAAGAAGAGCATTGCAGGGGGGGGGTCACATGAAGGGAAGTGATGGGAGATCGGACTCCCACGTGGCTCGAAACACTCAGGAGGAGGCGAGAGCGGGAGGCCAGACCAAGAGCTGAGCGACCCCTGTCTGTTTCCTCTCCGCCAGGAAGCAGCTGCGGTGCAGCCGCTGGTCCGTCTCGCGGCTGGGTACAGCGCCCGCTTCCACCCCGCGGCCCTGCTCCGGAAGCAGGTGAGGACACAGCCCTGCTGCACGGCTGCCCCGTCGCGGCAGCTCTGGGGGCGGCAGATCTGGCTTCCTAACTGTGGCCTCGGGCGCCGGCTCAGCGGCATGGTGTCGGGCACGCTGCCCGGTCCTTCTGAGCTGTGGGCTCCGCGTGCCACAGCTGGAGTGACGGTGACGTGTGTGTCATCGGGTGGCTCTCACACTACGTGGGCGACTGCGGACGGAGCCTGGCAGGCTGTTCCAATTGTCGTCATCAGCCCCGGACCGGCTGCTCGTCCATGATGGAGAACATCACATCTTCTTACCAGCTTTTGCTGACTTGTACGTTCTCTGTTTACTCACAAGCAAACAGAAAAACGGGGCGTGCTCCTGCCAGGCGGCTCCAGTTTGGATGTTAGCTCAGGTCGCGCTTCACTCTGTGCCATGCAAAGCGTGGAGGTGGCCCCCGGGTACAGGCGGGCTGGGCCCACACTGGCTCGGAAGTTCATTGGGGAGACCAAGCTGTGCCAGACGCTGTGGGGATGGCACAGATGCCCGGGGTCGTCTGCCAAGGTGACGAGGGGAAAGGCACCTTGTGAAGCCCCGGCCTAGCGACCACTGACAAGCAGGGACACCAGGGAGAAAGTTCTCTTCTCGGTGGACATGCAGAGATGGGCACACCGCCGTGCCCATGTGGTGTGAGGGTTTGGCCCTGTGCCATGTCAGGTTCTCAGGGCCATGCACTGGTTGTTGCACTCGGCCGGGCAGGGTCTGAGCTTCCCAAGGTCAGTCTGCCCCTGACTCTGGGGAGGACACCGGTGCCTGCCTGAGGGCAGCCGGGTGGGAGAAACCAGGAGGGAGAGGAGCTTCAGGAGGGAGGCTTTGCCCTTCAGCCCCACCAGGCTTCGTGGCTGCAACTGCTGCCTCCTGCCCCCGGCCCCCACCCTGTCCCTTCCCCACAGGGGATCTCAGGCCGCCGAGTTCGCCCGTCACTCTCGCTGTGCCGCCTGGTACGCGCTTCTTGTTTAGCAGAAGCTCTCGCACCCTCTTCTCTTCGAGGTGATGGCTCGGGTGTGTACAGCTGCCTCCCAAGTCACTACGTTCAGCCGTGCTGACAACAGCCACCTAACTTACTGCCCTTCCGCACATCCAGCGTTTGGGATGGGCCGTGGGGACTGCCGTCCCATCTCATGGCGGAACCCAGTGCTGGCCGTGACCTCCGAGGCCTCACCAGGGACAGGCCCCCCCCAGCGGCCTGGTGCCCTCTGTCGGGTGCTAGGGACCGGCCGCCCACTAAATCCAGCCCTCACTGGGGTGGGACCCGCCTCCGAGCCTAATCGCCGGGGCGTTGGGAGAACTTCTGGACATGACCCGCCCTGCCCTTCCTACCCGAGACAGTGGGAAACTGACACCGCAGCCTCGTTTTCAGGCATAGGGCCTTGTCACAGTGTCCCAGACACGCTTCCAGAGAGACCGTAGCACCCGTGACAAGGTAAAAGCACTTTCTGGAACTCCACCGTGACACCTTTACAAGCACGGAGACCTCTCCCTCTCAGGTGCTGGGCTGCGAGACATGCATCCGGGGCTGGCCGCTGCCGCCTCCGCCCGAGGAAGCCGGGAGGGAAGCAGCCAGGTGAGCCGCGCCCCCCGAGGTGCAGGCCTGGAGGTCCTAGGTCGGCCAAGCTCGCAGCCTCGGGTGGGGGACACCCCGCAGGGACAGGGAGGCCGCGGGGCACGGGGGTCTGGCTCGTAGGAGAGCAGTGGGGCCCGAGAAACTCGGGTCGCAGAGTCGGGCCGGCAGAGTCCCTGGTCACCTTGGCCAGCAGAGCGCTGTGCACCGCCATCCCCACCGCCTCCGGCGGCGGCTTCTTAGTTCGCACTTGGGAGAACCAAGTTGCAGGTGAAGTGCGTCGCTCAGTAACCCAGTCACGTGAACACAGGGACGGCGGGGCAGGGCCTGCTGGAGCATGGTTGGTCGGGTGAGCACATGGGTGTGATGACTTATAGTTGTGATCTGGACGTGTCACCTGAAATGCCACGTGGTACACTCGCGTGTGATATTGTTTAGTTACAGAATGATGTGCTTGTGAGTTTGGAATAAAAGGTTTTGGGATAAGGGAGGGGCGTTACTTGTGCCAGACCCTGGACTAATTTGCATGGGCACTAATTAGGCATCTTCGTTACTGTCAGGTAATTTAAATATTTTCTATTTTTCAGATTAGAAGAGAATTCTGAAATAAGCGCCTGCAACTCTTTAATTATAAAAATCATGCGTGAACTGTACGGCCACATCCCTGAGAACCACCGTGTCCTCAGTGACTTGGAGGACGTTCCTGTTGAGAGGTGAGTGCCGTCCTGAAAACCGTTGAAAAGTGGGCGAGCGGGTCAGGGTCGGAGTCTTAGCTGCTTTCTCTGCGGCACGTTTGACGGGCGTGGCAGTGGCGTCGGTGTTCACGGCTGCTCCCCAAGAGGAGCTACAGATGAGCCTCGCGTGTCTCTGTGCACACGCCGGGCTGCCTGGTGACCGCTCGCCGCGGTCAAGCCTGCGCAGACCGCGCCCGAGCCGAGATTACCGGGGCGCTAGTGACCGGGAGCAGGCACCGGCTGGCCACGCCCCCGGATCCAGTGTAGCTGCTGGTGCAGGTGTGGTGGGACCAGCAGCCTCACGCTCTGACCCGCAGGTGGCCCCGGCTGCTCCCTGGGCTCTGCGGCATCCACGTCCCAACCCTGTTCTGGCCCCGAGCCGCGCTGGAGGTGCTGACCCTGCTCAGAGGCATCAGCTCCCGCTGCGCCCGTGTGGCCCTGCAGGTGGCCGCCTCCTTGGAGCAGAGACAGCGGCAGTGGGCGGAGAAGGCGCTGCGCTCGCGGCAGAGGCGGAACTTCCTGCACATGCTGAGCAGGTGAGAGGCTCACACTGGGGCGAGAGTCGCCTGCGGATGCAGGTTGGGTTCTTCAGAGGAAGTGCTTCTTTTTAGAGAAAGTTACGGGACCTATTTTAACACGGTCGTCTTTTCGATCCGAACAAGTGCTTGGAGCACAAACGTCACGGCAGGTCACCTGGGACATGCCGGAGGCCGGGCTTCTCATGAGTGTCCCCCTCAGGACATCGCCGCTTTGGACAGATGCCCATGGCTTTGAGTTGGGCGGTGTCTGAAGTCGCTTGCTCCTGGGTCACTCCTGGGGTGTGCACCCGAGTCCCTCTCTGCCCGGCAGTTTGCAGGGGGTGCTCGTGACGTCACTTCCTCCCCCGACAGCCTGGTGTTAGGCCTCTGCCAGTGCCACGGGGAAGGTGGCCCCTCACGTCCACTGGAGCTGCTCAGGGCCGCAGAGGTGTGGGGCCCACTCCACATGGAAGCCGCTTCCGGGTCTTCCCGCGTGACCCACTGCCCGTCAGGTTGTGAGGAAGACGCTGACAGGTGCAGAGAGAAAGGGGCGTTACGTCCAGGAGGGCGGTGCCAGCCGCTGCAGCGCAGGGGCCTCTGGCTCAGACTGGGGCAGAGGTGTGGGCAGCCCAAGAGGGACTCGGCGTGTGCAGGGCCGGGCCGGCGGCAGCGGGGCTTCCCGCACACCTCGGGCATTCCTGCCACGCCGCCTGGGGAGACGGCGGCAGACTCGGAGGGCTCTTTGGAGAAGCTTGGATTTCAGGACTCCAGACACAGGGCTGGCCGGGCGCAGCACTGTTTTCTTTGTGAGACCGAGAACCATCTCATTTAACGAACTGTGGCTCCTTTTGCGCACTTTCAGCACCAAGCTGCTGTCTCCGGCGCTGACCCTGGTGTTGTTGCTGATCACCCTGGAGCTGCTCAGCGTGCGGGAGGTCCTCAGGAAGACGGCCCGGGGGCACCGGCAGTACCTCAGGTGCGTGCGTCCTGCCCCTGGGGAGAGCACCCGGTGTCCGGAACGGAACAGTCTGTACTGCCCTTGGGTATTTTCCCTGCTGATTTTCTAGAAACCCCGTGGCCTGCCAGGGCCGCCGTGGCTCAGTTGGTTGGTGCGTCCTGTGACCCAAGGGCTGTGGGCTCAAGTCCCAGTCAGGGCGCAGGCCGCGGCGGCCCCTGGCCCAGGCGCACACGGGAGGCGACCGAGCGATGCGGCCTCCCTGCCTCTCTCCCTAAAACCACGGAAGACCCCCCGCGGGTGAGGGTGAAGGGAAAGCCCCGCCGCCTGCCTGGCCCTGCCCTCGTCTTCACGGTTTCATGGGGCCCGTGAGCGGTCGGGGGGGCTCCCTGTGCACTGTCTGTGCGAAAGTTACGGCGACCTCCCGGAGAACGTGCTGGGCGGCCCTGGCCGCGTCCAGCCATCTTTCCCGCAGGGGAGCCAACGCCGCTGCTGTTTTGAGCGCCGTGCAGACACCCCAAGTCAGGGTCAGGGCTCAAAACCAAGTCTGTGCTTCACGGCAAACACCCCCCACTGTGGGGAGCCCACTCGGCGGGGGCCCGGGTCTGGGGTCCGAGAGCAGGACACCCTTCATGTGACAGGTTTCACAGGCAGCGACGCTGGTGCAGAGGCAGCCCCAGGACGTGGCCGGGGGGTCGGTGTCCAGGGGCGGCCCGCCTCTTGCTCCCATAGGCCCCCGGGTTTCGCTGGCTCTGAGCTTCGAGGGCAGCAGGCAACTCTCGGGCCGTCCTGTGCACAGCAGGATGGCTGATGGCACCCCGGCCGCCCCGCCCGGAGCCCACGGCTCCCCCAGTGTGACGGACAGGGTGGCTTAGGTGACGCACTGTCCCCTTGACTGAAAACCCTCTCAGGCGGGAACTGCTCACATGACAGAGAAGCCCGGGCAGTCCTGAGTTCTTCTTCCACCTCCCCGGTTAGGGCTCGTCCAGACTTCAGAAGTCGGAGTGGACTTCAGGGCACTAACTTCTTGGGGGACTGTGAGCAGAGCTCAGAAAACGCAGGAGCCCCGCTCCCGTCAGAGCGCCCTCTGTGGGCACTCGGTAGGACCTCTGATGAAACACACAGTGAGACCACGGGCTGTCTCCAAGTGGGGGTCTCCCAGGACACGGGAACCCCCGTCCTGGAGGGTGAGAGCTGACGGGCAGGCGGACACGGGTCTCTCGGTGCCTGGAGGGCGGTTCACCGCCACGTAGGAGGTTAAGGCCTAGCGTGCACACCCGGCCCCGACCCGAGCACACATCTGAAAAGGCAGGGTGGGTGGGACTCCTGGGCCCCACCAGTGACGGCCTCTGCAGGGGCCGCCTCCACGTGACTTGTGTCCTCTGTCCCCTCGTGTGCACGCCCTCTTCTCAGACCGGCAGACACAGGCAGAGAGAGCGTGCAGTCGTTCCCACGTTGTCCAGGAACACACAGCGATGACTGCTTTTCTGAGCAGGTTCCTGAAGGCGCTGCTGCAGTACACGGAGAACCTGGAGGTGCAGAGCAGCTGCGGGAGGAACCAGTGGGGCAGGGTGGTGGCGCTCACGCACGCGGCGCTGCTGAGGATCCAGGCTTTCGGGGAGACGCGGCAGATGCTGGTCCACTCGGCCGGGAAGCCCGAGTGAAGGGTCCTGGGAAAGCCCTGGTCAGGGCCCCGTGGGGACCAGAGCTCCGTGGCGGGCCAGCTGGAAATGCAGAGGTGGGCGGTTCCTGGGACACTCAGTCCCCCTGCATGAGGCCGTGTCCCCCTCGATCCATGCACCAGGGGACACGTTCTGTCAGCTTGTCCCCTTCCGGGTGCCGGGAGGCTCGGCTTCGTGGGCGAGGCGGGCGGCCTGGCCTTGACCACGGAGGACGCTGGTCTGTGGTGAGCAGCCGCTGCGTGGGCAGTGACTGCGCCCGTGGACACTTCCGCCTGCCCTTCGGGTCTGATTGATGAGTCCCACTGAACCAGTGTTGGTCTGTATAAAATGATACTATTTTTGTCACGTCTTCTGTTTTTATTACCAGTTTTCTGTGAAGAGATACTCCCTCCGACCATCCTGAGCATATTAAAAGGGGTGTCCAAGAAGATAGAAAGTCCCTGCTGTTCAGCACATGTGTGGGTGAGGCGGGTGGGGGAGGACAGTGGCTTCCTGATGGTCCACCGTGGGGGTGGGACACGTCCCCGCTCCAGCTCACTGACGGACAGCACGTGCCGTGCACGCCGTGGCCTGTGGCCCGTGGACCAGGCCTCTGTTGGGAGCAGGGACCGGTCCGTCCCGCGGAGACGCAGGAAGTGGGCGAAGAACCGGGGCCCGGGCTGCCCTGCTCGGTCCCGGGAGACACAGCCCAACCCGGACAGCCTGCGCCCGGCGTGCAGGTCTGCTGTAAACGCACGTCGCAGCCGCTCACCCACATCCCTGCCGGCTCTCCTGCCGAGCGGACCCTGAGCCCTGGGATCCCAGCCCGTCTCTGCCCCCACGGGACACCTGTGGGGCCAGCCCAGCCAGCCACGTGGGAGAGGGTTCTAGAAACGGTGAGCCAGGCAGCAGGGGTCTGTCTCGGGCTCAGAACAGGTTCTAAAGGCAGGAGCAGCCGCAGCTGGAAGGGGAGGGCAACTCATGGCCTGGCAGCCGCGCTGGACGAGGTCGGCACCGGCGTTGGGGAGAAGGAAGTGCTGGGGACACACAGGCCGCGAAGGCCAGAGGAGCAGCTGGGCCGGCAGCTCCTGGGCCTTTGTCTTCATGGCGACTCTGCCCCACAGGCATGGCTGTGCGTCTGTCTGTCTGTCGGGTTAGAGCTGGGAGGACCCGAGGTTCCCCCTGAGAAGTGCCCCTTGCCGTGGGCACCCCGGGCAGGGGGTGTAAGGAGAGCCACCGGGGCACAGGCTCCTTACTGCAGATGGTGAAACCCGGGTGACTCTCGGGCACCTGTGGTTTCCCAGCGACGCCGCGGGGCCTGTGGACCTTCTGCAGGTGCTGCGGGGACTCCGTGCTTGCATTTTCTCTGGCCGGCCGCCGGGGGGCGCCCTTTAGCAAGGCACCGACAGAGAACAGCTGGAGCCGCGCTCCTCCTGGCCCCGCTGCTGAGGAGAGGCCTCGCCAGGGTGGGGACTGACGAACCCGAGCCAGGTGTGAGTGCCGGCCCACGGGGGCAGGGCGGGCGATTCTGATACAGCGAAGTCACTGCATGTCAGCTGAGGCTGCATCCGTCATCCGGTGCCTCTGGAGCCAGTGGGGACCTCAGAGGAGGGGGCATCACCCGGGTGAACCGATTTGTGGCCAGGGTGGCAGGTGCGAACAGAATGGGGTCCTGACCAGATTGCACCCGGGGCGCATGCAAGCAGGCCTCTGACGTGTCAGGTGCTCACTCCAAAACGCGAGTGTTTCAGGGTGAGGTCAGAGGAGCCGGCCACTGAGCCGAGCCTGCACCAGCAGTTCCAGTCTGGGAGGCGGGTGGGCCCAGACTCACTGTCACCGGCATCGCCGTGAGGTCACCTATGCCCCAGGTGCACAGCCCTGGAGAACTGTTCCTGTCGGGGAGCACCCCTGGGGCAGACGGTGTCCCCGAGTCCATGGGGAGCGGCTGGTCACGCTGGGGTGCCCGGGAGCCACCACGGCCGCTCCTGGCTCCCCTTCCCTCCACTGCGGCCGGGACCAGGCATCTGGTGACATCCCAGAGGAGACCCCACCACCGGGGAAGAGGGACAAGGACAAGGATGGAAGCCTGGGAAGGACGAGGCAGAGGGAGGCCCTGGAGGTGGCACGGGACAGGGCCTGAGGCAGCCGTGGGCCCCACGGGCTCGCAGTCGGAAGGACATGCTGAGCGAGAGGGGCCGGGAACACGGACGGACGGCCGCCCACGGCCCCTCCGCCCCAGGGGACGGAGCTCAGTGCTGTGAGAGGCAGCGGGGGCCTCCCCTCTGGAGAAGGTGCAGCTGAGAGCCAGTGCCCTGGGCCAGGCGACGGGAGAGGCTGGTGTGTGCTCCGGGGCCGACCCCGGAGGGCCCGTCGGCGGGGGAGTGGGCAGGAGCTAAACTGACTAATCTGGGGAGAGTTGGTCTGGAGAAAGAGAGGGACCAGGCGAGGGTTCAGCTGGGGGAGAACAAGAGCTCGGCCTGGGGTGTGGGCCGTTCTCCCAGTGCAGGGAGCCATCCGTCTGTCCTTCCGTCTCCCCACAGGGAGGGACCACCCACTGGCCCCGGCCCTGAATGTCTCTAAGACAGACGACATTCAGTCACCCGCAGGCGGAGAGGTGCCGGAGGTGGCCGGGCGTGGCGGGGCCGTCCTCAGCAGGGCTCTACAAGCCCATCTGCCTTGTGATGTTTACCCACCAGGGACAAGCAGGAAGGTGTGAGTCGCAGGGACCTGGGCCGGGGGCCTGGAGATGCAGCGTCCAGCCGACAGGGACAAATGGTGGCCTCCTTTAAAGTCCATTGTGTCCAGATGGCCACCAGGACACCCAGCCACACCACTGTGTTCACACGTCCTGGGGGCCCCACCGCACCCCTCCCCTGGCCCTCCTCCCCCCACCTGGCAGGAATCCCGGTGGGCGCCCTGCTTTGTGCCCTGTCCTGCAAGCAAAGGCCAACCCAGCAGCCTCGGCGCCCAGGACCCAGGCATTTCCAGCCCCTGCTCTTCAGCATCACCTGGCAGGTCCTAGCTGTTCGCACCCCCCGGGGCTCCAGGTGGACACGGTGCCACCCAGAGCCAGGGAGGCAACAGCTGACTGCCCCCCATCCCTCAGAGCCCACCCAACCTGTTCTAGAACTTACCCAAGGGCAGGTCTGGTTTCATTCAGGATGCAGGAGTCGCCGTGGTCAGGAGATGAGCGGCAGAGCCAGCGGGCAGCAGGGGGGAGATGACGTCGCGCAGAGCTTGGCCCGCAGCCCAGGACCGGGCTGGCTTCCATAGTGAGGGGCACGGACGGCAGCCACTGCAGGTGACCCGCCCGGCAGAAGGCGTGGCGTGGACACGGGGTCCCTGTCTGCTCCAGTGCCTTGTACCTGTCACCTAGCTTCATCACACCTGGTCCCCACTCCAGCCCCATGCGGTGGCCAACCTCGGAGCTCAGGGCTTTGGCGGGTCACTGACCTGGAGCCGGCCAGGGGTTTTCCTCGGGGACTCGACTCCAGTGGGAGGAACCAAGAGCCCAGGCCTTGAACTGCAGCCCAGTTTTACTGCATCTCCAAGAGATGCCTTCATTCAACGCCGATTCCCCAGGACTGTGGAGTCCGCTGCCGCCGCCCTCCGTGCTGCCCATCATCGTTCTGTGCGTTTGCTCAGGAGCCGCACAGCCGTGTCGAGGTCGGGACTCACGCACAGTTTGGGAGCTGGCGGGGGCCTCCCTCCCGCAACCCGGCCGTCACAGGGTTTTCTGTCCTCGAGCCTCTGTTTCCTTGTCTGTCTGAACCCCAGGGCCAAACTGCCCAGTCCTCGCCCCGCGGCAGACGCGGAAACACAGGTGCGGCACAGCCTGGTCCTTGCGTGTAGATGGATGGCGTTGACTTACAAGTTGGAGAAGTCAGTGTTCTAGACGTTGAATCTTCCTAATGAGCGACACAGTATTTCTCCACTGGTATCATTTTTATATGAACTTTTAAGGGCATTAAAAAATGCTTCCCTACAGGTCCTAACCTGAGTTTATCTTGAGTTTTTGGCCCATTGAATGGGGGCAGTTTCTCACGTTCGAGTTTCTAAAGCTATTGGTTTCTCAGTATAAATTTCACACCCTGATATCTCACTCAATTCTTTTTTTTTGTCTATAGTTATTGACTTTTGGGCTGTATCTTACCAAGGTGAGGAAATATTTATCTAACCTTATTTTACTAAGTTTATAATGCTGAGTTTTATCTTTCTCATCTTCTGTTAAAAAATGATTCTACTTTTTCTGATTCACTGAAAGATAAAACAAACAACGAATGCCAACGGCAGCTTCTAGACCAGCCCCTGCGAAGTTCAGCGTATCCACCCTGTGACACCGTGGGGGTGGGGGCGGGGGGAGTGGCTCCAGCCCCGGGCTCCACGGGGACCTTCCCTGCGGCTGCACCTGGCGCTCCACAGCAGCGCCTCGAACTGGTTGAACGAAATACTGCAGCAGAGCAGCGGAGTGCTGGTGCGCATGTGCCACTGTGGAAAAGCTCACGTCCTTCCCTCTGAACCTGAGAGAGAGCGTGCGTATTAATGCAGGAAGCACAGCATCTCATCCTTCCCAACAGACACGTGTGCGGGCGCGGGTGCAGGCAGGTAGGCGGAATGGATGAAAATGGCAGACAGGGTGCACACTGTTCAAATCCTCCCCAAAACTAAATAAATGCGCAGGAAGGTGAGCAGGGAGGCGACCCACACCCACAGATGCCATGCCAGCTTTCAGGCCTGACCTGCCCTCGCCTGTCTCCATGGCGACGGAGCGCACGAGCGGGGCTGAGCCGCAGCCGAGCCCATTTTGTTTTCTGAAACGCGTCACCCCTGCGGCCGCTGTCACCTGTCTATCAGTCCTGCGGACGCAGATGATAGCTCCGGGATGACTCCGTGGCGACCGGGAGCTCCACCTCCAGGCTCGTTCTTTCGGGGGAGCGTCTACGGGCGTCCACCGCACGCATCCCTCCCGGGTCTCCACGGTGCCAGAGCCCACGCTGTGCTGGGACCTGCCCACTCACTGCCACACGTCCAGCACTCAGATCCCAAGATGCAGCGTGTATCAGGGAGGGAGGGGCCTGTGAGTGGTCCGTGGGCGCCGACAGCCAGGCCATTTGTCTGTCTGCAGAGCAGCGGCACTGAACCCCTCACCAGGCAGGTGGGGGCAGCTACCACACCCGGCCTGTTAAACAGGGCATTTCCCTCCCCGGAGCTGCTGAGCCCAAAGCAGCTGGACAGGGCGGTGTCCCCAGCGGGGTTGGAAGTGGTGCCAGTCTCACTGGGCGCATGGAGCTCGCCCGGTGGGGGGTGGTCCGGGAACGGGGCTGGACGTTCACTGTCTTCTCTGAAGCCCCCAGCACTTGCATTGGG